TGGATTTTTTTTTCTGTAAAAGTTCATTGCTCTAGACAATAGTTTTATGGTAACGGTATGCTCCATGAAATCTATACAGGTTTTGTTTCACCGTAGGGCTGATACGTTAGAACGTTAGATATTATGGTTTATCACATATTTTCCCCTTTATCCCGTTGATATAGCTCATGTGATATCGTTTTCGTATCAACACTATGTATACCTACGCCGTGTGACGTAATGTGAATAAACAAATACATGTGTATGATGGAGATAATGACTTAATTTGTCAAATTTCACTTTATTTGATATATTTTAACGTTTTCATTCATGAATTTAAAAAAATAAGCTCTGAAATATTTTCTTTCTTTTATTTTTGTACGAACTATTTTATACAGCGTAATATTATTAATTACGTTATTTGGTCCGAGGTAACCGAAAAGGAACTTTGAATTAGAAATAAGGACAAAATACACATTTATAGTGAACAAAAATATGTGAAAAAAGAATCTCATATGGTTTGTGGTTTAATATGATTTTTATCCAACTCGTGTGTTTTCTATCCCCTCGCCAAGGCTCGGGGATAGAAAACACACAACTCGTTGGATAAAAATCATATCAAACCACAAACCATGGGAGATCCTATATTTATCTCTCGTATCAATCCTATTTCGTATCAGCCTGTTACTTGAATCGATGATAAACTTCTATAGTACTCTACTTATAGGTAAAGTTCTATATGGTTTTCTTTTCAAAGCTTCCACGTACAGTGTATATTTTAATTGTAACAATAACCAAAAGTTGACGGAGCAATTAATACATGTACATCTATTATCTTTGTAAATTTCAGAAATACCAAATTTAACATTATTTTATCAAGGTTATGCGCTGCATGAATATCGTAGTAAGCAACAAAAATCGATAGTGTTGCATTTTAAGATATGTCAGACAAATATTCATTGAAATAAAGAATTCATTGTAGCGAAAGTCTTAGACTAAAATTTTTCTTCTATAAAACCTTTGTAAATAAACTTCAATTACAGGCCACGGGGTACATTAGTTGTTTGTTGTTAATTGATCAGAATATTGATATATACAAGATAAAGAAGGGTGGCTTTAGACATGGCCGGAAATCAAAGTTCTAACGCCGATGTCTCCGAGGTTTCAGCAATTGATTTGCAGCTTACAACGTTTGAGTCATTATTGATTTTGAATATTTAAAACGATACCAGGATTTGGTACAAAACAGCTTCATTTTCTTAATAATTAAATAACTACTAGAATTACTTTTTAACCAAAAAGTTGTTTTGAAATGCTGTCATTTTTTTTCGGCAAGTACAATTGGCAAATATTTTGTAAATATTTTGTAAATATTTGTGCATAAAATGCTACTCTGTGTAATAGTTATCGAGTGCGAATTTTTCAAAAACCAATTTCCTGGCATTAAAATACCGGGGGTATATACATGTATCGTGTCTGTACTAAGCAATGAGGGGCAAGGGTGCAACACTTTAAATCACTTCAAGTTCTCTTCTGTAATTTGCCAGCAGGTGCTCTTGCGGTAGACAATCTTTATGAAAAATTCACAAAAACTTACAAACAAAAAGTGTAGTTGCACTTTCAGTTCTTATAATTTTCAGAATGGTTACTAGTTCAATTTAAAAATTTTAAAATTTGAAATCCAGTTTTTCTCAACAACTTCCTAACCAATAGAGTTTTATTCTTTCTGTTTGGACACACTGGTTTTTGCAAAATAGTATCTTTATGATACAATTTTTAAGGCAGATTGAATTTTTTTACTGGAGCCACTGAAACAAAAATTTTCAAAATATATACCGTAAATCGGGAATTTTTTACTGTAGATAATAGCAAATTTGCAAATTAGTCAATTTCTAACCTTTTGAAATTTTGTAAAAACTTGTTCACTGCTTTTAAATCTGCCGCTGTCAAGGCATCATACTTATGCAACGGCTGGCTCGCTAAACCAGTATTTTTCTTTCTTTCTTTTAGTTTTGTTTTTTTTCCTCTGAAATACTCGATTCAAATACTCAAAAAATGCAATGTGGAACCTCTTTGGTAAAGCATTAATCCATAGTTAAAATGCTTTATCGCTGGAGGGCAAAAGCAAATAATTCTCTTGCCTGATATACATTTTAAATTCATGGACAGGAACTATTGCGCCGTAAGAAGTGTTTAGACATCGGTTCTTAAGATTTTTGACTATTTTCACAATTTTGAACAATTTAAAATATTGAATTGAAACTTAATGATTTCAACTATATATTTTAAGATGTTATATACTTTTATTTTTACACTTTTTGAGTAGAAAACACTGCGATATCTACCTTTTGAAACAGTTGACTTTCGTAAAAACTTTAACCTAAGTTCTGGCGATATATAATTTGATAAAATAGGGATTATCCTCCTCCAAAAGAAGAAAAGGGGAACAGTTGTCGATGGTTAGTGTGAGCTTTTCCCTTGGTTGAATTTTATCTCTACAGACTCCGGGGAAAGCAGGATATGGGGTACATCTTACTTACAATATCGGTGTTTCCACCATAGTAAGATATCCTCTGGATTCTGTACGTAAGAGATGAAATTTTTCCGAGGGATTATCTCACATTAGGGCCCTCTTTTTAATTCCGTTTTTCTTTCTTATAGTAGGATATTCCGAAGTTTTTAGTTTTTTGGAGCAGTTTTCTTTTTAAATTTCTATATTGATTAGACATGCATGGAAGATGGTTATATATTGTACCAGTCAAAGTTTCAGATGCTGCAATTTCAGCAGAGGAATGACCAGGTTAATGTTTTTGGAGCAGGTTAACATTTTTGGTGCAGTTTTTGGTGTAGGTTTCATTTCCAAGTAAGTACAATCCCTATGTTGACCAAACTTGCATGGATGATACATCTAAGGATGGATACAACCGGGCTTGCTTCGGATGCTAAATCTGACCTACATTTTCCGGTTGAGTAAACAGGTTAAAGTTTTTGGTGCAGGTTTCATTTCCAAGTAACTATAAGCCCTATGTTGACCAAACTTGCATGGATGATACATCTAAGGATGCATACTACCGGGCTTGCTTCGGATGCTGAATCTGACCTACATTTTCCGGTTGAGTGAACAGGTTAAAGTTTTTGGTGCATGTTTCATTTGCAAGTAACTATAAGCCTTATGTTGACCAAACTTGCATGGATGATACATCTAAGGATGGATACAACCGGGCTTGCCGGATGCTGAATGTGAAATTTTAACTGAAGGTAACTATAAGCCCTAGTTGTAAAACCGGGCTTGCTTCGGATGCTGAATCTCACACACAAAAAATCATAACATTCTATGATTCAAGATCCTCTTCGGATGCTGAATCTGACCTACATTTTCCGGTTGAGAACAGGTATATCATTTCCAAGTAACTATTTGTTGACCAAACTTGCATGGATAGAATTTTGAAATGTATATGTATACATTTTTTATGTTGACCAAACTTAATTTCTTTGCTTCAGATGCTGAATCTAAAAAAAAACCTCACTATTTTGTCATATAAATCCTCCTTTTTGCTTTGTGGGTGTGTAGAGAAAGTTTTAAAATTTATGTTAAAATTTTTTATATGAAAAGTCAAAATTCACATTTTTGGAATGTACACTATTTGTTGGTTAATTGTGTATTTTGTTAAAGACAACATTATATGTGAGTTGAGTTTATAATTTCCTAAATTATATAGACAATAGTTTGGACATAGGTTTAATTGAAAGATCTATATAAAAAAGAAATATACAACCCAAAATTTTAACTAAAAAACACAAAAAATCATAACATTCTATGATTCAACATCCTCTTTCGACGCAGCGGTATATCTGTTTGTTCTAGAATTTTGAAATGTATATGTATACTTTTAGTGATAATTTCTTTACCTATAAAAAAAAAACCTCACTATTTTGTCTATAAATCCTCCTTTTTGCTTTGTGGGTGTGTAAGAAAGTTTTAAAATTTATGTTATTGAAAAGTTTCACGTTCTAAGGTATTTTGTTAGTATATGTGAGTTGAGTTCCTCAAAAGAAAAGATCTATATAAAAAAGACAACACTAAAAACAAACAAAACGAGGCAACGATTTTGCAGGTCGAAACCTCGACCACAGTGGTTTTACATTGGGCTTGAAAGAATATATAAATTCTTTCAAAGTTTTAGAAATAAATAAATTATTTTAATTCCTAGGCAGCAGCTTTAAAAAAACAGAAGACTAAGACAGACACTCACATTTAAGTTTTATTTGCATGTAGTTTTAAAAGCAATTGGAGAAAAAATTTAAAATAAAATTCATTCTTTTGTTTCTATGGATACGGTAAAATTTGTCCATTCTTTAACTTTGTACTATTTCTTTCAAAAATAAGTTCAATGATATGAGAAATTAAGATTTTAATGCTTCAAAAGAGACGGTTTGACAGTTTATGAAAGAAATAAAATTTAAATTATATAATTTGTATTCTTCGCTTCAGTTCGCTCATTGCAGTGTAACTGGTCTTGTCAGTTGGAAGAAGGTTCACTTGTTACAGTGTGTCGCCTCATCCCCCTCTACATTAGTTCAATATTTAGGTGAATTGGCTCTGGGGAAAATGCATTCTAAGCAATTATAACTATTACACAAAGCTGGATTTCCCCCGAGAAACTGCGTCTGATGTAAAATTTCCGTAGGAATCGTTTCCTACTCTATAGCCTATTTTCCTGGAGATTTGTAATCTAGTTTTCCGGGGGAAAGAATTTTAAAGAAGAAAAATAACTCTTAAAGACCGCACTGTCTAAAATCCGAAACATTTTTTTTAGGTTGGAAGTTTAACATAAGGACGAAATGCTACATTGTAAACCTTTCCCCGTATAATAATTTTTCTGTCTGTCTGTGTGTGTGGAGGGGAGGGGAGTAACATTTGAGAAAGTTTACTATATGACACAGGCGGGAGAAGACTGCCGCCATTACAAATTCATATCTTTATCATTTTCTTATTCTGAACTTTAAATATATATTTTCAGGTATTGCAAATCTTCTTAACAGAGGCTTCAGGTAAGCTTTATTTCTATTTTCAATATCCATTGGACAAAATAGTGTTGCAATAACTTAATTGTAAAGAAGTTCTAAATTTCTGATAAACCACTCGTCTTTTACAGTAAAACAACATATTCCCAGTACAGTTCATCACCAAGATATAATGTATTCCATTTTTAGTTTAACCTATACACATTTTTTTTATGTTTTCCTTTTATTTATTTCTATGATTAGAAAAACATTTTAGTGAATCATCTTACAAACAAAGACAAATCCCTAATAAAGTATTTGCTTTTGGATCTTGCTTTCAGACTTTATTTCTGTTGAAATCTCACGGGAACATGTATTCCTATTTCGTAATTAGGAAATGTTTCATTTCATTTGTTAGGAATATTGTTATGAAATGGTTTGGCAATTAGCTGATTGTCCAAAATTATAAATAAAAATTCTGTATTGAATTCCAAGTCTTTTGCTTAGTTTTTCTTAACATCAGTCGTCTCTTTGATGGTTAGAAATCAGTTCTTAATTAAATTGCAATTCATTAACTCATCCAAAATTTATGGCAAGCAAACGATAATTTATTGGTACAATTTTCATCAGTCAAGAACTCGGAAGCCAAACTAGGTCATATATCAACTACAAACCGTTTAAACCACTTACGAATGTGGCTAATAAATAGCAAACCATTCACCCAGAAAATGATTTAGAATTCAGAACTATTCCGGTCTGAGATAAGAGTGCCGCGTGGGAGAGATAGCTAATCTCATTTCCATACACAGTTGTGACGTTTTTGTTATCACTGACATATTGGCTTCTTTCTTCAAAAATATATCTTTTTTACACAGATCAAACAATAGAGAGATAAAAAAAATTACATTTCTGAGCGAAGACAGAATATCTAGCGGTTGGTGTCATTTCATGAAGAGCAATTATTCAAAAGTTTACGATAAAACTCTCTCGGGTGCTAGAAAATCATTGTGAACATAATATTTTACAATCATAACTGGTCAAGGACAAATGCCTTGCAAACATTATCAGTTTTGTTGCAATTCATCTTGAGTTTATATAACTACAAAACGATTGAAATTTTTCTTTGCATTTTGATTTCATTTGCATCAAAACCAGTAAACTCAAACTATCAGTGCAACGTTATTTTTTAAAAATGATCCTTTGATTAACAGATAAGCAATAAGCATTCATATTCATAATTTTCTTGGTGAAATATCTTGTGTAAACAGTTTTGCTATTTTACTGATGACAAAACATGATGACAATTTCAATGGAGAATACAACGGTTAAATCTTTGACGAGAAGGGGAATTGCAAAAGAACGACACCATTTTGTCTTTATCCTCTGAAATTTTTTTAAAGAACCTAAATTGGGCCCAATGCCTGACATTGTTGTCAATTTCTTTCTTAGAATCCTAATTGATTATTGATGTTTGATGGATCGTCAATAAACATTCACAGTGAAAGTATCCTAATTATTCACTGATTAGCATTCTAAATTGGGCAATTTGAAATATCAGATTCCCTCTTTATATTACAAATGGTTCCTAAACCGTGTTATATTTCCTCTGGCCTTTCAAGGTTGTGTTCATTGATCCAGCTTCAAAGACTTGTTGATTAATTAGAGGCTTTCCTCTTTGAAGACAAAAATTGAACCCTAAAAAAGATCACCTGTTATACTTTGAGCACCACTTGAGATACTAAAATATGAAATGAAAAATCTATGTTTGCACATCGCCCTCGGAGGAGTGAAGAAAATATAATTGTGCGTAATAATTTTTATTCACAATGCCAAAAATATCATTTAAAGAGCGTTTATTGTTACTCATTTCAAGGTTCCAATTACTGTAGAAAATCAGAAAAAATGTAGAAATAATAAACGTGATCATAATAAACGTGATCATACTCCTCTTGTTGTTAACCTTTACTCCTTGATAAAGATGGTCCGTGGAATGATTTCATATCACGGGTTTGAATGTAAGATAGTGTTCATCAACTTCTCGTTTTTAGTTCACCTGAGCCAAAGGCTCAAGTGAGCTTTTCTGATCACATTTTGTCCGGCGTCCGCTGTCTGTCTGTCTGTCCGTCTGTTTGTCCAGCTGTCTGTCTGTCTGTCTGTAAACTTTTCAAATTTTCGACTTCTTCTGAAGAACCATTGGGCCAATTTCAACCAAACTTGCCGCAAAGTATCCTTGGGTGAAGGGGATTCAAATTGTTCAAATGAAGGGCCACGCCCTCATTCAAGGGGAGATAATTGGGAATTAGTGAAAATTTGGTGGCATGTTTTAAAAATCTTCTTCTCAAGAACCGCCGTGCCAGGAAAGATGAAACTTATGTGGAAACATTTTCAGGTAGTGTAGGTTCAAGTTTGTTCAAATCATGACCCCTGGGGCTAGGGCGGGGCCAAAATGGCCGATCAAAGTTTTACATAGAAATATATAGAAAAATTCTTTAAAAATCTTCTTCTCAAGAATCACAAAGCCATAATTGCTCATATTTATATGGAAGCATTCTCAGGTAGTCTAGATTCAAGTTTGTTCAAATCATGACCCCAGGGGGTAGAGCAGGGCCAAAATGGCCAATCCAAGTTTTACATAGAAACATATAAGAAAATTTTTTAAAAATCTTCTTCTCAAGAATAGCAAAGCCATAATTGCTCATATTTATATGGAAGCATCCTCAGGTAGTCTAGATTCAAGTTTGTTCAAATCATGACCCCCGATGGAAGGGCGGGGACAAAATGGCCGATCCAAGTTTTACATTGAAATATATAGAAAAATTCTTTAAAAATCTTCTTCTCAAGAATAGCAAAGCCATAATTGCTCATATTTATATGGAAGCTTCTTCAGGTAGTGTAGATTTAAGATTGTTCAAATCATGACCCCCGGGGGAAGGACAGGACCAAAATGGCCAATCCAAGTATATAGGAAAATTCTTTACAAAATCATCTTCTCAAGAATAGCAAAGCCATGATTGGTCATGGGACTGCTTTTGGATTTAAACTTTTCAATAATGAACCCATTTATTCTTTTCCCAGCCACAATGCTCAGGTGAGCGATGTGGCCCATGGGCCTCTTGTTTAAGAATGTCATAACGCATGCCATCCTAGTAAGTTTGTAAATATCTAAGTATCTTTATGATCTTTATGATAAAACGTCTCTCTTACTTTTGTATGTTTTTTTTACACAAGTAATAAACTCAGAAATTAACTACTAGTATCTTCAGCTTGTAAACCATCCCCTCTCATTCCACTGAGACTTTTTCATTTGCTGAAAAACCAAATGTTTGTAAAACCGATTCGTAGGATCATAATAAGCATCGGATTCATTAAAAGTTCGAGGATAATAAACAAATGTTTGATATGCATGCTAAATATAAAGAAAATATTTGGTAAAAATAGAAATAAATGATCCTAATCCTTTCTTTTCTTCGAAAGATATATGAAATTTATGTAAGCAACTCCTTACTTCAACACTTTATGTTATTTTAGCCATTTCTTGAAAGTTGAAACTGATAAGTAGATGTTATAATTCAAGCTTATCATATATTATCAGTTATTTTCTGTACAAGGAGATTAAAAACATCACTTTAGGATGTTTGTTTAATATAAAATGAATTGATTGAATATAAATGTCATTTTCAGATCCAAAAGGGTGCTACAAGGAGAACAAAAGAAAACGATATTTTAGCAGCACTCCCGGGGACTTTGTTCCGTCTTTAATGACCCCTGCCATCTGTGCTACAAAATGTGGGAGCTTCAATTTTAACTATGCTGCCGTCACCCAAGGTAATTTTCCCGCCAAAAATACAACAGGCGTTTTTGTATTGTACCTATGTTAAATCTACCTGCACTTGTACTTAAAGGACAAGAACCAGTAACGAATAGTTCCCAGTAAACACAATGATTGAAATTATATTAAATATATCATATTAATATGAAAATATTTAAATAAATTTGGAATTTTTCATTAATTATTAATAAATCTAAGAAAAAGTACTATTCACTGCGATTTGTTCTTGAACTGCAGTTCCTTTGTCTCAGAGTGTTGCCACAAAAATTCTTATTACTCTCCACAACCTACCCACCAATGGATTGAAAATGTCAATATCTAAAAAAAAAAAAAAGAATGCTGTGAAATGAAATTTGTCATTTTAAAGCTTTTACACTAAATTAAAAGCAGAAAAAGAGAGAGACGCCGATAACTATGAAAATTTAAGTTACATCGTATGTTAAGTGCCAATTACTGACTGGAAATGAACATTGATGTCGGGGGAATTTACAACTGCAAGAAATCTTTGTATCAACTGAGAAATAGACAATGAGCAAAGTTACTGTTAAATTTCATTTAGACACTGTAGATACATATTTTTGAAATCTTAAAATGAAAATTGCTGCTTTAATGCTGTGGATGTTTTTCTTCAAGACCGAGGTAGTGTAAATAAAATCGTCAATTTAAACAAATGATCGAAAAATATTTATCCTATTTCCTTTTCACACTCAGGGCAGTTTTGTTTCTGTGGCGACTCGCTTCCTCCATTGTCAGAAAAAGATGTTTCAGAAGCATCCTGTTCCGATATGTGTGTCGGTAATACTTCTATAAAATGTGGAGGACCAGACTATGTTAATGTATACAGCACATCTCCACCTATCGTTGGACTGGAAGTTACACCAAGTGTGTCTCTCATTGAGACCGGAAGTGACGTTTCATTCACTCCTAGTTACGAATCAGCAGGAGAAGACTTGACATTTCAGTTAGATTATGGAGATGATGGAGGAAAAACAGACAAGAACCAATCAGCGCCTGATATGTGGACGACGAAATATTTCACACCAGGACGGTATCAGATAACATTGTTTGGAAATGACAACCAAAACTCCATTGTGGTTTGTATAAAACTTGTATACCATTTCATAATGAAAGATTCTTAGCAAGGATTGCATATTGAGATGTTTCTGATTTTAAACTTAAAATAAATACCTTTTATATGCCATTGTACAGTTTCGTAGTCTATTGTAGGAGAAGGAAGCGACTACTGCAGTGCTGGTGGAAGCTCGTCCCCACAACGCATCACTGTCATGTCCAGACAATGCAGCCACACATGAGGAGACTATTTGTATTCTTACGGTGATGGCTGGAAGCAACCTAGAACTTACAGTAGATATAGACGGTGTCCAGCACTCTAAATTTTACATTTCTGGTAAAATGAAAATATTCATTGCATCTCGAGTATTTACATCAACGTACATTGTCTTCCATAAATTCAAAGAATTAAATATATGGTGTTAAGTGTAAAATCATCTTAGGGTTTTGTGTCTTCCTGAAGTAGAGGTAGTTAAAGAAAAAAATGGTAGAAAAAAAGAGGTATCAGGCATGAAAATGTAAAAAAAAAAAATTTACCCTCATTTGGACTTTTCTTCGATTCTTAACATTTCCCTTGTGCATCGCTTTTATTTTATTCTTTGCAAAACAGATCCACCAATATACACTGCAGGACCTGCAATTGTTTCAATGTCATCATCTTTATTGCCTGGGGAATCAACAAGTGATTATATAATTATGCCGGCATCAGAAATACAGCAGGATGGAACGCTGATTGGTTTTGAGTATTATACACATACAGTGGGAGCGGTTGAATTCTACGTAAGCTTCAACAAACATAACGTTTTCATGAAATATTCATGTCGCAAATACATAGAAAACATATTATTTGAGTTTTACTTCAGCAATGCCAGTAATCATAAAATGAATTTATGCTTTGTTTTTAACAGATTTTACGACCTTCTTGTGCAAATTATTGCTTTGATAGCAACCAATGTACTGGAACTTGTGAAAATCTTTATCAGCGCACCTGCTCGTCTGGTCTTCAGTTCTGCCCTGCTTCTGGTGCTTGCTGGAATTATGTTTCTCCTACATGTGCTTCACCAACACAAAGATACAATGGAACTCAAAGGACAAATTTAGCACAAGTTGCAGCAATACCTCACACTTTATTAGCGTCCCCTTCATATGACTACTTTTCCATTGATCTAACTGCAAACAAAATAAAAGTCAAGCCAGGCGATATAATAGCATATAAAAACCTAGGTGGTGTTTTAAAATCTTTTTCTAGTAATTCTTCAGACTCTGATTTGAAAAGTGTCGACTTTACTTTACTAACAAATGCAGCCTCTCTGGGATCTCCTAAAAGACATCTACTAAGAGCAGTTGTATCAGCTGGAATCGACGTAAAATTACCCTTTACATTTTCAACGCCAGGTTCAAAAACTGTTGGAGCACTTGTCAAAAATAATGATCTTGCAGCATCTCTGGCGCTTTCTGAGGTGGTGAATATAATAGAGGGCATTGACATGTGTGCATTGGACATAGTAATGTATGCAGAGACATATAGTCCTGTTCAATTTCAAGTGTTACCTCATACAGGTAAGGACCGGAAAGTTAAAGTGATTAGTGTTAAATTTTTGCATTATTATCTAAGCTTTACATATGTATTACCTATATTTTCTATTTTACAGGTACTAGCATCATCTATACTTGGGATTATGGCGACAGTTCTACCACAACAAATGTTACAACTTTACAACACACTTATACCTACTCGACACCTGGGACGTTCCCTGTTAATGTCACCTGCTCAAATGCACTTAGTTCTAAATCGAACTATTCTACTATAAAGATAGAAACAAGAATAAATGGTCTTTCTTTATCAGCTTCTCCAGCAGTTACATCGGAAGTGACGTCAATAACTCTTGGAATGACGAATGGATCTGACTACACGTGTGTGTGGAAGAAGAATGGTGTCTCATTTGCGACGACAACGTCAGTAACTACACCACCAAACGGCAACTTTGATCATATTTTCACTGAAGATGGAACTTACGAAATAACTGTAACATGCAGCAATAACATTAACAGTCAATCAGGGTCTGTTACTGTGACTGCCCAAAGGAAGATTACAGGCCTCGCCCTTGTTCGCACAGGGGCCCTGTTGAACACACCGTACACGGTAGATTTCGTCTGGGATGATGGATCTAATCCTCAGTTTTTGTTGGAATTTAATGGAGTTTTACAAACCCTTTCTATTGACACATTTGCAAGAAAAGGTACATCTCCTGTTTTTCCAGCGGAGGCCTCCGTTACCTCTTTTCCGCTAAATTTAACAGCATACAACTTGGTGAGTAATGAACAAATCACGACAAATTTTGGAATCGAATCGGAAATAACTGACTTGACAATTACGTCCGACAGTACTATCAATCCTACACTAGGATTTGGAACAGTTGCTAAGGATGATGTTGTGACTCTTACAATCATGGCAACAGGAGGAACTAATGTCAACATACAATGGGAACATACAGTTGGCAATTCTCCACCCTCAGTAACGCCACAAAACATACCAACGTGGACCGGAACTGTAACAAAATCGTTCACACTCTCCACTTTAGGAAATCACGAATTGAAAGTGTCAGTCAGCAATGCATACTCTTCAAATATATCCACTTTCAGTTACCTTGCAATCGCCCCAGTCAAAGATATCCAGTTCAATACAATTAGCCCCGTTTTGTTTTTACCACCAGCTGACGTAGTTTTCACGTTTTCCCAAAGTCCAGTTGGACTCTCACCAAACGAAGCAACAATAGAAATAGATTATGGTGATGGAACTCCGATGGCAACTCTTCCATTTTTATTGACAAATAGCTATCCTTACTCCTACAGAGAGGATGGAACGTTCACAGTTACCGCCAATATTTCCAACATCGTAAGTCACCAGATTGTTACGACAACAGTTGAAGTAGTGGAGAGGATCGTTGATCTTGTGATAGAACCAGAACCTCCTCACGCACCCCTTAATGATCCCGTAGATCTACGAGTGAAAATGAAAAGAGGAGGAACTGGTTCTAAACTGCAGCTAAGATGGCAAATTGAAGGAACCTGGACCACCTACCAAAATCGAATCGGTAAGATAAGCAGAAGACTCTCTTCATGTGCGATGCAACCGAAGATTTTTTTATTGATGCCTTGTACCACTTAAGGCATAATTAGAAGCATAAATTTTTTTGCATCTACTATATTCAGGTTATTATGTTGTATGTGGTTTATTAAATATGCTTCCTTTGTATATAATCAGGAATTAACAAGTTGTTATAAATCAACATTGCAGGAAATAGTCCTGATGGCTTTGATTCAAAACTACACACCTATACAAGCTTAGGTTCTTCCACAGTCATAGTGGAAGCCAAAAGTGTCTTGGAGACTAAGTCGGCCACCTACACGATCTTTTGCGAGGAAAAAGTCACAGACAACTTTCAATTGACATCAACCTTTCCACAGGATTTTGCTATAAGTTAGTTAAAAGTATAATTAGATGAATCATTAATGTACATGTGTTCGAAGATCACAATAATTAATTAAAAAAAATTAAGTTTCAATCAAAGAATATTTTATGCTAAATACAAAAATCAGAAATATTGAAAAAAATTATATTGTTATACTGAAAAAAAAATGCTGTTAAATTTAACAGTGCCAAAGATAACATACACGCTTACCTACAACGATCCCATCCCAACCAATGCCAAGATAAATTTTGATTATGGAGACGGAACAACAACGAGTGATGTAATTCTTCCTATTGTTACTCCGGGAGGCAGCAACCAGTGGGACAAAACGTACAGTGCAGCTGGTCACTATTCCACAACAATCACAGTGTTTAATAAAGTCTCGTCGGTCACAAAAACAGTTATGGTAAGAGACATTTTCAGCCTGGATAATCATGATTTTTTAAATGATCTTTGCTTGTATTTTTAATATCTTTTCACATTACCTATTTTAAGAGTGGCGTCTACAGAAAGTTTGACAGTTGTGATGCTGTCCTAAAATGGAAGCCCATAGTTCCATTAAATGGGTCTGATTTGGATGGATTTGGACCTCTCAAAAATATTTTTCCGCGTGACAGACCTTTGAGGGTACACATTACATGCACAGCAGGTACATTAATTTTCTTGCTTTTATGTGACATTCATTATCTTTAACTCCAATTCTAGTAATGTCAAATCCGAAGATTTATCGCGTGAATAAATTGTGTGTAAAGAAAATATAAAAAATGTTATTTTAAAATATATTTTATTATTTGTGATCTTATAATAATTATGGCCATAATAAGTAGAAAAACAAAATCACTCTGATACTTGCTTCTTGAAATATTTATTTCACATTCCCACAACAGGAACTCTTGTTTACTATGATGTGTTTGCCCAAGGAATAAATAACTTTTTGGCATGCAACAAGACGGAGAAGACGTTGTTCGAGTTGGACTTCACCAGTCTAGCAGTCAGTAAAATGAGATTTATTACATTTTCTTTTTTTTTTACAACTGACGCTTAAACTACTCATTAATACATTCCTTTTTCAGGCTGAGACATACACACTTTCTATAAAACCAATTAACCCGATACACCAGGTTACTATAACTAAAACCATCCAGATGCAAGACCCATGTAAAGATATAATAGTAGATGACGGTGGCCAACAGGCTTCTGCTTATCAGTGGAAAAAGTTTAACATCACCTTTGGAATGCAAGGTACTGCTACCTGCATACATGTAGATTTTGGCGATGGTACTCCTGGCGAACTGTATGGAGATGCTACGATGTGCGGTCCTTTAACTGGAACAGCCTCTTATATAGGCGCTTTATCAAATATAACAGAAGTACAACACGAATATATGACAATGGACACATTCATTGTATTTGTAAAAGGATTCAATGCGTATTCCACTTGCTCTGCTAACTTTACTCACGTGATATCAGATGTAGATTGTTCACAGCCAAAGGTTAGTATCAAAGATTTGAGACCGGTATTTTACAACCCAGAAGAGGTGAAGAGAAGTGCTCAAGTACGGATCGTCGGTGTCACAGATATATATTGTACACAAACTCTAGACAATGTAAAAACATGGACGGTCCACATGATTGATGAAAACACAGGAGAAGATGTACAGGAAATAGACATCACAAACTTGCCATCTCATCAGACCGCAGAATTAGCGTTACCTCCTCGCTTCTTGGAGTATGGTTCATACAGGGCAAACTATAGGATGGAAATGGTGTCAACGGACTTTGTCCAAAACGAAAACTTCAGTGCAAATGTCGATCATTACATAAGAGTTGTCAAGAGCGATCTTGTTGCTATAGTGTATCCTGGTGGTATGACTAAAATTCAAAGAGGATTCTCTAAAATGATCACAATTGAACCCATGACATATTCATTTGATCCAGACGTTGCTACTGGGTTGCCTCAGGTATGTTTTTCTTGAAAAATGTTTCCACGGTTACAGAGGATGTTTTTATTGACATCTTTTCTTCTATAGCAATACCTGAAATATTAACACTTCTACAAAAATTACAATTGAAGTCGACAGATATTTTTAAATTCAGAGAAGTTACAACTGATCTGAGCAACTTAAGTCATTCTTAGGTTATTTCTTATCATTGATGCATCTTATATTTATATAAGCCAAGAACAATGAACCGTCTATGGGTGCAAAGCTGTACGCTAGTTTAATGATAAAATAATACTTTGTCTTGTAGACTTTTTCAAACTTCACTTGGTGGTGTAGAAGAAGTGATGAGACCTTTCCTAGTCCAGATGTTCTGGTTGTTCCTTACACTACCACACAGTTAGGGAGTAACCCTGCTGATAATGGCGGCTGTTTCAAACAAGGACCAGGGAGAATCGATACCAATAACGGAACACTAAGTTTTGACACTGCCAACATGCAAATAAACCAAACCTATGTTTTCAAAATTCAAGTTCGAAAGGACGATAGAATGGCTGAAACGACTGCAGAATTAGAAATAGTGACAGGGGATCCTCCAGAATTGACTATAAGGTTAATGTCTAATATATATACATTGCTTGTAAATTACAAGCGACAGAAATTGTTTACATCAAGACAATGTCAATGGTTTTCAAATGTTTAAAATAATAATAAAACAGACATTTTTCTATGGCAGCTTAATAGTTTTTTTTAAATATATTAATGCCATCTGAAAGCCAAATACTGTGAAAACACTTATTTGCGGGGGGGGGGTACTTTTTCATGGTTTTAAGGTATAAAGAAAGCCACGAATTCATTTAGACCACGAAATGCAAATTTTCACATATATTACTACTGAACAATTCTTCAACAACGAAATCAAATCCTTTTGAATCATATCTCAAACCACGAAAATTTGACCTCTCGAAAATATGTGCTTTTACTGATCGAAACACTGAAGCATATATTTACAGTCCTTTACAGTTTGATAAATACATTATAATTAGTCAAAATCTTATTAGGGATTTTGTATTTTAAAGTTGTGGAAGCGCCCTCTGTATCCCACGACCAGGAGGACAACTCGTACGTCCTTCTAGTCGATTAAGTCTACTTAGTGAGTGTTCGGGATGTACGCCTGGTGCCCAGTTCGAGTGGAAAGTCTATCAAAGTAACTATCAGTGGACCTGGAAGGAAATTATACAGCTTCCTACTTATGTTGACGGTGGGTATTCCTGAGCAATTTTAGTTGCATGTCACGTGTACAAAATGAAATGTCAAACATCATTTGAAGTGTCATGCACTGCATTATAATTAAATTGATATTTTTTTATCGTTTTGTTGAAAAAAAAACATGGAAGCATAATTTTTCGTACTTTCAGGATCTCAACCTTTGCTATGGCTTAATTTTTTATAACTTTTATATTGCTAAAATGTTAAACGCGCCTTTTAATATAACATAAAATAGTAAGAACAAAATATATTTCCTAAGGATAAAGCATAAAAACGAATGGTTCATTGTGTTGAAAAATGGCTTTTTAAGGGGGTAAGGGAGACAATTTTTATCCCTGTAAACACGAACCAAGAAAAAACTAAGAAATATCTTAATTTATATAATTGCATTTCCTGTTGCACAAACACAAATCACTGTCTTTATATATTTTCTTTTATTTATCAATCATGGCCAGATTTACTTTTATATTTTTTGTGCATGGATTAACTATAAACAAATTGTGATAATTTCTTCATTCTTTTGATGCAATTTATTTTTTTCATGTAACTTATTTCAGCATGCAATATTGTATTTACTAACCAAATATTTCTTTCATTATGCTACTAATATTAACACTTTAAAATCTACTTTCAGGAGTGACTGGTAAGCAACTGTAATTGTCATTACCAAACATTTTGAAAGATTGTAGATTTTTCGTCCTTTACATCACTTTCTTTAATGTTTAAATGCGTTTTATAGCAACTTTTAGTCACATTGAATTTCTATTATTAGCTTATCTCAGAGTAATATGTTGTTATTTAGAGAATTCTTGTTGACTTTTTATAATGATCCATGTAGTTATTTGATCCCTACATAATCCTTCACTGGTGAAATTATTCAAGCAAATTTAAGCAATTGACTTAGGACAGAAGTACGATTTAAAAATTTGCAAGTTGAAATTTATCTGAAATGTGTTATTATTGTATCATTAATACTAGTATATCTGACGTCGAAGCTTTTTAAGATATATAAATTGTATTCTATTTTTTTTATATAAAAAAAACAAAATGAGTGAAAACTACGAAAAGACATTTCTGAATTCAACTGAAACTGCAGACATCAACATAACAATGTACACTTGAATAAAGCCCCTTTTCATTATTTATAGAAAGTCAGTCATGTTCTATTTTGATTGAATTAAATAGCTTGCAAAAAAGCAATGGCTTTACAGATGGTCTTGTGCTATATCAGTAGTTTCATAACCGCCGTATTGCGGCTGGTTTCATAATGTCGAACGAATATACACTAGTCACTGAATGAAAAAGAGAAACATTGACTAGCAACAAACTTCATTAATATTTCAGTGTTACATTGTTGTTCCTCAAGAAGTGATTTCATTTTTGAATATATAGGTAGCTGTCATCACTTGAGAGTTTCTTTTCATTATTTTTCTATGTGTGGACCGAAATTAGCTCTTAGAATTCATCATGTGTTTAGAATATTACATCGAATTTTGTCTTTATACCTTTATATATATTTTAAATGTAATGTACAGTACTTTTGTTCCTTCATTAAACTTTGCATTATTTTAATTCTTTGTGTGTTTATTTGATCTAAAGGAAATTTGAAATCTACCCTTCCACAAACCTCGCAATCGAAATGTTCTTTATTTGCAAGTTAAGAATTACAATTGATAAACGATAAAAAAAACTAAATTGCTGTGATTTTCTCTCTTGATAGGGGTGTTCTCTAATAGCATTGCAATCAAAACATCTATGTTTGAACTGGACAAAACTGTAAAGACTTATCTGGTTGAACTCTACGCCAAGCCCGAGGATGGACAGCAAGCCAAGGCGTACATGAAGCTATTCTTGAATGACCCACCGCGAAATGGAACATGTACAATCTCGCCAAACGCTGGTGTAGCGACGGTAGCCACTTTCCAGGTCACGTGTTCCGGATGGATTGATGAGGACGGCATAGAGTCGTACCGTATCTACGGTAAATTTTCATCATCTGAAATAAACATTTTGAATTAATGATGGCATATTTATGTTAGCTAGTTTCGCAAAATACAGAAGCAGCTTGTACTTGCATAATGTGTGATTAATTATGTTCTTGAGAATTTATTCCTGTTTTCTTCGTGTAAAATTTTATTAAACGGCCCTTTCTGAGTTTCTCAACAATAAACAAATTTTCTACAAAAATTGCAACAGTTTTACCTTACACCAAGAATTCCGATTGCTCTTCAAATTATTTTAGTCTAACGTTAGAATAAGCTAAATTAATGACTGAAGAATTTTTTTACAAATAGTTAGCTTCAAAGACGACCCCCAGGAGCGACTGATCATATACGGCAGCGTCTCCTCCTACAGTGTTCAACTTCCGGTAGGACCAGATTATGACGAAAACAAAATGCAGGTCTTTGTCCGCATTGCTGACGTATACGGTGCAGCCGTTGACTACAACATAGGAATTGTTCAGGTACAGAATTCTGCATTACTGCTGTAGAACAAATGAGAAATAAAATTCATTGTTTTCTTTAAAACAACTTAAGCAATAAAATCATTTTAAAGTAAGAGGGACCATGCAGGCACGTAGCATCGATTTTGAAATTGGGGGGGCCAGCCACAGAAATTTTTTTTTACTTACCTGAAAAAGTTGACAAGCAAAAAAAAAAAAAAAAAGGGAAATTTTTTTTGAATTCCCAAAGTCGAAAATCCTATTTCGTGGGGGTGGGGGGGGGGAGGGTAGAGGCAAACTTTTTTCACTACCAATTACTTTCAATATAAGCTTACAATACTATATTTCCTTCATTTTACTTTCATATAAAGTGGTGGGGGGGGGGGCCGACCAGCCTTTCAATGAACATTTTCAATAGTAAAAGTATTATTGGCAAAAAAAGTGGGGGGGGGGGGGCAGCCCCCCCCCCCCCGGCCCCCCCGGTTGCTACGTCCCTGCCATGTATGTAATTACTTGAGCATATATATGTAAATTATAGCAATAGAGAAAGCTTATTTTATACATGCATGTGTTTCTATAATTTAGGTTACACCAATGACAAAAGATGAAGTTGTCGAAAAACTTGGGACAATGCAGGTGCAACTAAAAGATGAACTCGACCTTGCGTTGGCACGGGCGGATCTCAGTCAAGTTAATGAGGTGGCATTAATGTATGCCAGTATAATCAACATGGCGAGTAAGAATGGAACATCAGGTTAATATGCATGAGTAGTTTGCATCCTATTCATTTAACGATATAAACCTTTATGTTATTTAATATGTTTGTGTCTAAGAATTTCAGGTGCGAAATAAAATTGTGTTTCAAATAAGAATATTATCAGATGTTTCAACAAAGGTAAGGTCGTTAGACTTCACGCATGAGTAGAAGGATTGATATTATATTCACACTGACTGCATGTGCAGATTGCGAAATGAATTGATCGTGGACCAATGCATGAAAATGTATTCACCAACAAATAGAGCATTGTTCATTAATATGTTATTTAAGAATATCATTCGAACACCCTCATTTCAAAATAGGAGAGTTATCTAAGTGCAAAAATACCACATGCATGTCCCCGTAATTAATAAAAATATATATTGTTAGTTGAATGCACATTATATAGATTTCATTTAGAGATTCTATGGACTTTTATCTTTATGTTTAATATATTTTATTTGCATTGGATTCTGAACGTTGAGAAACATTTGTTTCAATTAAGGAAATAACAAAATATACCAAACGGGGTTCAAATTTTCAAAAACATTACAATAAAGTATTATTTACTAATTTAATGCACTCTGTAACCCTAATTACCGTAATTTTAGAGTATGCTGGTGTAGAAGTTGCTGGAACTCAGACAGCGACAGGACTTGGTCCGGATTACATGAATCGTACAGACGCATTTGACAAGGTATCAGCTTTTGAAAGTATAGAATCCGATACGGACTTTGAGATATGTATAAATTCTATGAAATTTTTTAAAAAAGGTTTATTGTAATATAAGTATTTCAGAATATATTTTCTTTTCAACATAAAAATTTTTGAGAATTTCTCTCATTTTTAGTCATTAACCACTTATGAGAAAGAAGAAAAGTATCAGGCTGAGAGAGAAGTATATGCTCAGGTACAAAATAAAAATAAATACAATGACACATACATTTTCAAATTTTTTAGTTAACACCTTCCAAACGTACTGCTGAGAAAGATAACTCAACGTATCATCGTGGTCCATGATCTTCTTCTTTAGTATAAATAAAATTTTGATCTTTATTTTCTTTTACATTTCGTTTTTTGATTATAATTCATTATTGTATTTATCTACACATAAAACTCGTAGGATAATACAAAATATAACAAAGTGTCAGAGTGATTAATTTTTTAAATAAAAAATTCACGTAGATTACAAACCAGATAGCAGATGCTTTGCAAAGAGTTACAATAGCAACTCCCTCATCTATCGCTCTGACTGCCAGCACATGCGCCGAGGTGACCAAATATACTGAAAACTGCGCAAGAAGTTGTCAGGTAAAAAGTGAAATCCTTCAATCTTTGAAAAAAAGGCTTTTTCCCTGCGCAGTTCAAATATCATCCAAAAAATCGTCTTCTATATTTACAGGAAGGTATTAAGAATGTAACACTGAATATGATGAATACTTTGGAAGCTCAAGCAGACGAGATTCCTATAGAAGAGCTGACACTTGCAGCCAAAGGAATCATTAACACTCTCTCTAATCTCATTGAGGTACTTCTCTTTCATATGTTAACGTGAAACAAATTGTTTCTATAAAGATGATGATTGTACTTAGAACAGAATTAAACCTCTTAACCTACATTTAGGAATAAACCGGGTTTCAATAGACGTGCAAGTATTCCAAAGAACCATCTGTAACAATTTTCCTCGTTTCGTTATTTCTAGGCTGGAAACGTTCACACTGAATACCCTACAAACGGTGATATGGAATCGGTTGTTCCATTCGCCCATTACGACACAGACTTAGAATCTGTAGAAAAAGGTGAATAAATGTATTATGGAAGAAAAATAGACATTATAAATAAAAGATCGCAAACTATATTTTGTAATGTGTTCTTGCATTGGTAAATTTTTGACTTGTTTATTTAAGCTATTCCATCCAGTATCACTAATCGTGATAGAGCGAATAAAAAAGTGTTAGCTTTTACCAATGAAGATTTCCAAGCCAGTACTGTAAGTACAAGTAAAAAATACAATTCTGAGCATCCATATGAACGTACACTTGTTTGATAAATACAATCAAAATGTAAACATTACTAAATCATATCAATTATTCAGAGTATAAAAGAAAAATATATGAAAAGTTTAATTCAAAAACTTACATCTTTTTATCTGCAGACACAAGGAGTGCAACATACAGCCGACACAGTGTACTCGAAGCTGAGAACGATCTTCCAGAAGACTCTGGTAGAGGGAGAGACCCCAGTGAAGATATTCACCACCTCCATAGTTCTAAGCTTCGAGAAGAACCGAGCCGATAAGTTCTCCAACAAGACGATCAGCCTGGGAGATGGAAGTTTTGATATGCCAGACTGGTGTTCCCTCAAAGACACATGTAATCCTAATGACACTGTTGTCGTGCAGGTCAGAATTACTTCATCATTTCTTCCGTACAAGTTCATTAGGAAACAAATATTCTTTCAGGCATACACTTTGAAAAACTTTCAATACAGAAAAGATATTTTTCACTCCTAATAAAAATACAAATAAAACACTGCGGTAATGATATCTGAATAAAAAATACCATTCTTTTCATTTCAGTCATCTTACTCCATCTTCCATCCACATGCGTTCACTCCACAAGCCAAAGATCTATCAAAGTACAGTGGCTCCCTCAACATTGATCTTTATGATGCCAACGATAGTCCTATACAAGTCACTCAGGCTGCGTCACCAATTCAAATGAAGGTTCCCCTGGACAAGAACATGCTGGTACCCGGGGAGGAATATGTTGTTCCCTTTATACCAGATCGAGACTGGGAATACTTCTTTTATCATACAACACAGATAACTTCATCTCGAGCTGCTTTACAAGTGCGATTCCGATTGGAGGATCTTAATTTACAGTTTCTGGTGTTGGTTAAGTTTGGTGACATCAAAAATATTTCAACTGAGTTTGATCATGTTTGCATGGTACCTAGCAAAATGGAATACAAAGGTATGCTTTAGTTAAAATAAAAGTGTTTCTAACATGTCAATTAATATTCTCACATTTTAATCTTTTAATTGCGTATCATCCATTTTTACCTACAACTGACTCTGTTATTTAAAATTTGTTGCAACTTCATTATTTTAGCCATTGAAAGATGTTGAAATGGTTTATCAGTATCAATTTACAATTTCATGAATATGAATTATCATATGTTATATCCGTCCGTTGAATATAGAATAAAACATTTCTCACTTTAATTTTGTTCATATTTCCTCTGTGCAGGATTATTTGGTACAGATGATACGCCAGACCCATATACTTGTTTTGTCGGAAGTGACGTCATCAATGGTTACCAGGGTCAGGTGACGATTGGAGTCAGACAAATGACCAGTGTGGAGCATGATTATTATATTTCTAAGTCACATGTTCCACCCACTTTTCCACCTGGAAGTGGTGCATTCTCCACCAACTACACCATACAGACTGTGAGCTCCACGTGTCGCTTCTTTAATGAAACAATTCAGGACTGGGACACAAGAGGATGTGAAGTAAGATAAACTTAAAAATATTTTATCTTTAACCTTTAAGTAATTTTGAATAAGAAAACAAATGAACTTTTATATTATAAAGCCATTATAATCTTACTATTGTGTTTTATTAGGTTGGTCCGTTGACAAACAGAAAACATATTCACTGTCTCTGTACTCACATGACCACGTTTGCTGGCGGCTGGGTTGTCGTTCCGAACACCATCGACTGGAACTTCGTCTTTTCCAATATGGACTTCTTTAAGAACCCCACTCTCTATATTACGGAGATCGTGATTTTGGTTGTCTATATCATTGCAGTTATCTGGGCCCGATACAAGGATAAGAAAGATGTAGAAATGGTGAGCTATGCCTCGTAAACTCTTACTTTTTTCATGGATATTTCTGAATTCATAAATAAGAATATGAGATTCCGTATTTATTCTACAATCTTTCTCGATGTCCGAGCACTGTAAGTCGACTTTACAATAAACGGTTACTTCCTGACTGTTTATTTGGTTTCTCGTAGCTTGGGCTGACTCCTTTAGAAGATAATGACAAGAAGGACAAGTACTATTACGAGATTGTAGTTGTCACAGGGATGAGGCGTAAAGCTGGTACCGACTCCAAAGTAAGATCATGTTCGGATTGATCGACGAGTTTCTTTTTGTGTCATTATATGCTGTATACAAGTCCCACACTGCCCATCAAATGGGTATATTAATGAGTTTCTTGTTTTGTCTACAGGTGAGTTTTATCTTGTCCGGTGATGAAGATGAGACAGATGTCAGAACGTTCAGTGACAAGAAGAGGAAGATCTTCAGACGAGGTGGCGTGGATGGATTTCTCATGTCTGTTCCAAGGTAATACACTTCTAGAAATACAGAACAATTCAATTAAGATTGCAAAATTTGTTCTATATTTACAATCCTAACTTTATATTTTAGATATTTATAACTTTTTCAATAATTGAAATAAAGTTATTTTGAGACAAGCTTCAAATGTTACCAAGAGTAGTGTGAATAACACAAAGAATTTACAAGAAACTAACTTTGCTAAAATTCTTATCAATATAATATAACTTATTTTTCTTTTTAGACCACTGGGAGCTTTAAACTACCTGCACATCTGGCACGATAATTCCGGAAAAGGAAAATTCGCGTCTTGGTACCTACGGAATGTTGTCTTGCGTGATGTACAGACTGACCAGAAATACATTTTTATTTGTAACAGATGGCTTGCTGTAGAAGAAGACGATGGAATGGTACAGTATCATCCAAATTAACACAATAATCATTCACTATTACATTTTATCCAAATCATGCAAGTTTTGAATACTATCGGCTTATTCCTATCATAGATTGACCGTCTGATACCGGTAGCTGGCAAGGAGCAGATGACAGAATTCAGTCACCTTTTCACAGAAAAGACAACTAAAAGTCTAAGTGACGGTCATCTCTGGTTTTCTGTCATAGCCAGACCTCCTCAGAGCAGGTTTACACGTGTCCAGCGCGTGTCCTGCTGTCTGTGTCTTCTATTCATGTCCATGTTGACGAACGCTATGTTTTATGAAAAAGGAGAGTCTGACAACAATGCCTTTACCTTTGGACCGTTTGCTTTGACTCCTGAACAGGTAATAAATTCAGCATTTTAAGCACAACGTCTGATAGCTTCTATATATGTAAGTAGATGAATGGTATTTAGTAAGTCAAGCTTATGATATGATATTATTTTATATGTTGTTTAATTTAGATATACATTGGAGTGGTCAGCAACATCATAGTGTTCCCGGTCAACTTTCTGGTCATCCTCATTTTTCGTAAATCTCGACCTCGAAATAAGCGACCATCTCGTGTGGCAAAGGCACTAAATGAGAAATCAAAGCCAGTGGCATCTGTCTTCGACGTTCATCCGACGCTAAAAGGTTCGAATGACAATAAATGTCTTACTCCATCCAAACTCATAGAAGGGGCCCGACCAGAGACAGCTATCACTCGCAGTGGCACGTCCATGTCTGTCGTAGATCTGGCGGAAAATGGAAACAAGAAAAAGAAGAAGAAAACCTGTGACCTTCCCTGGTACTTTGTCATAGTTGGTTGGATCTTACTGTGGACGGCGACTCTTGCGTCTGCGGCTTTTGTTACATTTTATGGTGTCATGTTTCAGGATATTAAGTGCAAGATGTGGATAACGTCTATGCTGATTTCTTTCTTTACCTCCATCTTCATTACACAACCAATCAAGGTACTTAGAAATACAAAGATTAAAGATAGCTATCCGGCAGGCGTAAACTAAGTGATTTCTTAAGTCAACCTAATCATGACATTACTCGTCATTTTTTCGGGTCTAAAAAAATTTTCATCCAGTATAATGCTGCTATACTACAAAACAAGGGCCCAATAAAGAATTATAATTCAAAAGAAATTATTGAATTAATGTTGATATCATGAATATGAGTAATACCACCTACCTGTGTATAATTCAACACCCTTACTGTAAATAGGTAATCATGACGGCGATATTCTTCTCTCTGGTCGTTAAAAACCCTGGTGGAGATGACGATGAAGAGAATGATGAGGATGAAGAGAAGCCTCCTCTGGCTCCAGACGAAGAGTACCTGCATGATATGGATAATAGTAATGCCTTTATGTAAAAATATAACTAAAAAAGATTAAATTGAAAAATAATTTTAAGATAAAATTAGAACACATATGGCGGGGATGGCTCTATGTGGAGTTCATAGCTACAAACTGTGAAAAAAAAATACTTTTTGAGACATTACTTCTAGAAAACTAACCATTTGGCATCCTGGTCTGTTTATGTTTTCCAATGACATTTTTTTTTTGCTTTTAGTGGGCTTCGTCAAACCAAGGAAAGCTGCCTACAAACCACCAGATCCACGTCTGTTGGAGAAAGCGCGGGAAGTCAGACTTAAAGAAATCAAGATGTGGGGTGTAGTGCGGGAGATTGTGTTTTACTCGTTTTTCTTGTGGATTCTGATGGTCATTAGCTACAGGAATCGTAGTTATATGTCCTACTACTACAAGTCTAGTTTGGAGCAAGTTTTCATAAACACCAACGACACACAACACCATTTCCTGAAAGTAAGAAAATTGAACATTTTAATACTTCATCAAAATGATTTTTCCTGGTGTTGAACGGGCATTGGTAAAGTGTGGACCCTTTCTTTTAGATAAAGAACAAAGATGACTTCTGGGTTTGGGCGCAGAGTGGAATGGTTGATGGCATCCGAGCTGGAGTCTGGTACAATGATGGACAACCTGTATTTTTACGTGGCTACATTAATGACAAACAATCACGCATCATGGGATACGCTACCATGCGACAACTTCGAATGAAACCAGGTGAAGCTTAAAATCATTAATTGACAAGACATTTATTAAAATCTTGAAAAAGGTACAAGAACATTGAAAAGCGAAATATGAGTATGAAATATTTTTTTTAACTTTTATGCAGATATTCTATTTGGAATCCTTTCTATTTAAATGTATAACCTATCAATCTCACTTCCAGGGTCCTGTCGAGTCGCTGACGTCATGCAGTCAATAGTGCATGAATGTAATGATGAATACGACATGCGAGATCAGGACGAGGAGAACTATGGCATCGGTTGGAATCCTATTTATCAGAATGCCACTTACACAACGCAACGGGAGGAATATAGCTACACCGATCCCAGCGAGTTGGATGGATATCCCTACATGGGGGACAGATTCTTATACAGTGGTGGTGGTTATGTTGTTCGCCTTCGTGGAAACTCGACTTTATTGAGAACAAAACTCCAGACTCTTGAAAGAGAAGGATGGATAGATAGGTACACACGAGCGATATTTGTGGAATTCACCGTTTATAATCCTGGAATTAACTTGTTTGGGATAGCAACGTTGCTTTTAGAAGTCCGTCCAAGTCAGGGTATATTTCCGTCCTATCGTTTTGAGCCCGCCATGTTGTTACCATATATGACTGATGTAATGCTTTTCCAAATAGCGTGTGAGATAGTCTACTTTGGTTTCACAGTTTTCTTTATTTTCCAACTGTTAAGAGGAATGCTTAAAGAAAAACTCAATTACTTTAAACAATTCTGGAATTTGGTCGAACTTGGAATCTGCTCTATGTCTGTGACCGCCATTGTAATCTACTTCTATCGTATGTTTGAAACCAACCGTCTTACGGAGCGATTTAAGGTATCCCATGGTAACGAGTACATGAAGTTTCAGTATGTAGGAGCCTGGAGTGAGATCTTCAGTTATATTATAGGATGGTTGGTCTTCTTTGCATCACTTAAATTCCTAAAACTTCTGCGGTTCAACAAGCGAATGTCCTTACTGGCCTCCACGTTGAAGAACTCTTGTAAAGATTTAATGCACTTCAGTATAATTTTCAGTATCGTCTTCTTGGCATTCATCCAACTCTTCTACCTGGTCTATGCCGGAAGTCTGACAGAATTCAAGACTTTTATCACGGCTTGTGAGTCTGGCCTCACAATGATGATGGGCAAGTTTGACATTTACGACATGAAAATGGTTGAGCCAGTTATGACGCCATTTTTCATTTTCGCTTACGTCGTTACAATAACGTTTATCGTTGTCAACATGCTGTTGTCTATCCTGAATGAGACATTCGGCGCAGTACGATCAGACATTGCAAAGCAGAACAACGAGTATGAAATTGTTGATTTCATGATGAATCGCTTTAAGCTGTGGACGGGGTTAGGCATGGCGGATAGAAGTGTCCTCTCTCCAGATGATATTCGTGGAAACAACACAATTGAAGGCACAATCGACTTATTTCCGGATCGAATTGAGCAGTTACTGTCGTCTTTGTCACATATCTACAGTAAAGAGGAACGGCTTGATGCGTTGTTCGAAATGAATGCTGCAAAGAGAGAGGACTTAAAGACTTCCTTTGGAAGAATTCCACCATCTAAAAGCCAAAAGTATCAGGATGTTTTAACAACTGTGCATACAAATTATTAATGGAACAATAAAGAGTTTTTGCCGAAAAAGACAATTCGTGGTTGTGGATAGTACATGTACATAAAGCAGCAATATATATTATACAGAACAATAACGACAATGTTTATCATAAACAGCTTTAAATACACTAATACATGTCTGAAATAAATATATTTATGGATTTCAGTCTATTCTTAAAAAACGTATTCTGACCACTAGCAATACTACAATATGTGCAAAGACTGTAAGATTTCGCGTTAAATAAGAACCTATAAATCAACGATACACACCTTTTACATAAACGACAAAAAGTACCTGAAGTAGCACATGTATATGTTTTAGTTATAGAATAAAAGGTTCAAGTTTATTGAAAAGTTCGTTGTTTTATTTACCTACGTGCCTTAGCGTTCTTGGATACTCTGATAAGAGGGATAACTCCGAATGAAATAGTCTTTATTTAGGAGCTAGGTTTATCTTATGCATGCAATGGCCCTGTAGATATACCAGTTCATTGATTTAAGCTCTATGTCCCATTTCAAAGATCAATATTAAGTTGAGACTTAGTGCTTTCATTTCCTGTAATAAAGGGTTTCTCAAAGAGCCCAGTTATCAGAAACAAGCTTTGTGAATTGCAATGTTCTTAAATTTTAAAGAAATTGGATTAATTTGAGTACTTTCATCAAAGAAACAAATGGCGCACCCTGCGATCCAAAAAATGAAACATGCTTTTGTAACATGGAGAAACAGTTCTGTTATTAATAAATCATTGTAAATTTTACATCAAAGGTTAAATTGTGCTCTGTACAAAATAATAAATTTAAATGGTTTGGTCGTTTTTGTAGAAATTTTCAGGACTAGCTGAAAACCCGCGCAAGCGCAAGGGAAATTAATTTTTTTTTACTGCTAACAGAACTATTCCAAAAACTATCTTTCAAATTCTATTGACAGTTTAAAATTACACAGGAATTACTTCAAAGTCCCGCAATTAGTTTAAGAACAGAAATAGATTATTATAAGAAATACATTTCCTAATATTTTGGGATTTTTTTTACTTCTACAAATATCAATTTCATTAAAGGCCTCTTTTTCTTAGATGTTATAACGCAACTTCATTCTGTTGTCATTAATCGACATTTATTTATAAATCATTAGCAAAACTTACTAACATATATTCACAAACTCATTGTGTTACCAATGATATCTTTCCATTTATTTCTATGGCCATTCATGATAAACGATCGCCTCGATTTTTATACCCCCCGCTTGAAAAGTGGGAGGGTATATAGTAATCGGTATTTCCGTCCGTCCGTCTGTACGTCCGTCCGTCTGTTACGCTTTGGGGTACCCATCTCTGATCCGCAACTCCTCTCATACCACTGAAGGAAATTTAATGAAACTTTCACAGATTCTTAATTACATATTGCCATTGTGCACCTCCTATTTTACTTTTTGATCAGACATATATTTTGGATTTTCCAGAGCAAAACATGGACACTGCCATTATATTCATATGGGAGGCGGGGGGTATCATTTAGTGAGCTCATTGCTCACTGTACCTCTATTTATACCCCCCGCTTGAAAAGTGGGAGGGTATATAGTAATCGTTATTTCCGTCCGTCCGTCTGTACGTCCGTCCGTCTGTTACGCTTTGGGGTACCCATCTCTTATCCGCAACTCCTCTCATACCACTGAAGGAAATTTATGAAACTTTCAAAGAATCTTTCTTACATATTGGCATTGTGCACCTCCTATTTAACTTTTTGATCTGACATATATTTTGGATTTTCCAGACCAAAACATGGACACTGCCATTATATTCATATGGGAGGCGGGGGGTATCATTTAGTGAGCTCATTGCTCACAGTACCTCTAGTTCTTTTAGACATCGGGTTCGATGCCAACTGACTTTCTAGAACTTTCAACAAATAGAGAGATCGGACATAATTTTAAACGGAAAGGATTTGCACATTTTGTTTTTTAATCAATGACCAAAGCTTATTTCTTTTATTTCACTTTAATCAAGTTTTAATCGAATAATTCATAAATGACGTTTTATGAAATAAATAAGCGCTTGCTTGTTGTCAGTTTTTTTTTAATGCCAGTTACTTAGATCCTCCACCACTTTTCTCTCTTCAGTGCTATTTTGAGGCTGTTATTCGCAAATGAAAGTAGACTTTTAATTAAATTTACAATAATTACTATGCGAGTGAAATCTGAATATAGTTTACGGACATCACCTTATACCTTGTGTATTCCTACAGGCTCAAGTAAGAACTCTTGCGCAGCCGTTTCAGAGTTTATTTGCAAAATTTGTTAATTTGTAAGTATAAATATGCCAAATACCGTAATTTATAACGTTATAATATATTGACTAGAAGAAAATAATTATTGACATACACAGTCACTAAAGATCTAAATAATATTTAAAAATGCATTTGCCAACTAAAAAACTATAGTTTCACATTTTCAGATATGTACAGGGCCAAAAAAGGCCGTACGTGAACCTGATTATATGCCTCTCAATGTGCTTCAAGCTCCATAAATTACTTCTAATTTCATATCATGTTAATAAACATTGGTATCTGTTTTTTCGGGATAAAAATTTCTACTTTTAATTAGACCTTTCTGAGAAGTTTAAAGAACCTTGAAGCACATTGAGAGGCATATAATGAAAATTGTTGCATGAAAAGATTTAATTTTCAAGCTTCATTTAAAGACTTTTTGAATTAAATTATAAATTAAAGAGTTGTCCTTCCTAGCTGAGGGTCGGAGTCCCTTAAAGTAGTATACGTGCTGAAGCTGGTAAAACCAAAGATTTGACGTTTATGTCTTTCAAAATTTTCAATATATAGAATTTCATGCTGCGAAAGCGTTTAAGACAGATGTATCAAAAGCGATAAAAGTTTCATTGTGTGTAAAAAAAAATATGATTGAAAAGAACGAATTTTTTGGCGATTATAATGTCATACATTTTAGATTTTAGCTCAGTATAGGGAGTTAATTATCAGTTAAAGTTTACACTTTGTGCATACCCTGCATTATGTTACCATATCTTATTAATCTGGGGAGTTGATGACCAAGTACGGACTCTCTTAACGGAACAATAAATAAATCTACACGGCAGTGAATAATGAATAAAATAGTTCCCTCTGAGCTTTGACAGAAAGCACAATTATTATTACGCCACTTACTGATGGCACAATCGGCAAACAATAAATTCAAACTTTATACGAAATTATTTCTTTGTTTGGCTGCACAGCGCAAACGTGGATAGCATAAATTGCACTAACGGTTATACATATCTCCAATAACAGTAATTTCACCAAATGAAATAGAAACATATCATTTCTGAAACGTTCTACAATAAAGAATAATTTCCTGTTCTATTCTTTGGTTTTCGTATCAATGACATTGATTTACGAAGAGCGCTTCTCAAACTTTTTTATGGACGCCATTCCACTTAGGAAATGACGTCAGCGCCTAATGTCATGGCGACCACCTGACCACTGCAACAGCTTATACCGTATGTTCAGTTATTTTATGCATATTTTCCACACATGCGAACATGTTGGTATCCACTGATTTCATTAATGAAAGGTTAAACGTGAATACGAGCGCGGTTCCCCATTATCATTAGGAGCACGCAGAGGTTTGACAGTTGCATGAACTTCGTGGTCCGCATCTCAGCCAGTCCATTCATTCACAACGTATGGTCTTTAATAAGAAGTACCATCGATTTCCCTTGGAGACATTTTGATACGCAAGGATTTTCAATGAATATTTGATTCCAAGGGATTTGTGAAGAATTTATTCAATATTAAGGAAGACCAAAAATTTATACGAATTCAAAAACTTCCTCATCTTTCCATTTTATTGGAATTTCAAGTAGGTTCTTTATTTCTTGACCAAGAATTATGATACTTAATAACGCCGTGAAAGTTCAAATACTACCTGCAACAACGTCGGTGGCGATACAGTTCGTGACCTGTATCAAAACATCCGCTAAGCTCTCCGTTTAATTATTGGGCATTGTATTTCTGATTGGAATTGGCAGGGATGAGGAGCGGTTATGTAGCAGTGAGGTAACGCCGATGTGATTCATCAATGGGGAAACGATACCTCGACAGAGACTCACATAACGAAACAGTATGGTGTTTGGGAAATTCAAATTATTCCTTTGGATGATCGAAGATGAAAAATGATGCGAGTGCGGCTGTATTTGAGGAAATTCTTTCTCAAATAAGACCGTTTGGTTATTTTCAAAAACGTCTTTTCTTTGTGACGTCTTTGGTCCAAACTTTTGTGACGACTGTGATTTTGTATATGGATTTTGTATATATGAATGTCAAGAACAGTAAATGTGTCTATTTACAACAAAATGACAACGGAACTAACTCCTCTGCGTTCATAGCGGCAACAATGAGATCATGCGACGGAGAATGGTACAACCAATGGACGGTGCCAATGGTAAATTCTCAAGTATTGATACATTAATTTACAACAACTTTCACAGATAAATGTCTTTTTAATCCATTTTTAAATTCATATATTTTTTTCTTCAAAGTAAACTTAATTTACTTACTTCAGATTTAATATTAAGAAATCCCATAAACATGATAAATTTACTTGTTTAAAGTGTTAAAATTCTGTCAAAACGATACAAAGATATGAATCCAGCTAAGATGACATTATAGCAAAAATAGTTTTCGAAAGTGCATTCACCTTAGATCCCTCGACAAGATTTGCAATTTAAAAAAAATGAAACTATTTACCCCTCGAACGGGGAACAGTAATAACATCAATTCGAAGTCCCTTGGCAAATTAAGAGATTTTCATACAAGGAGTAAACGAATTTACAGAAAAACCTAAACACCAACGCGTAAGGCTGAATGTTGACTAAAGATCTAATAAGTGGAGTTAATAAAATAGTTGGCGTCAAATCAGACAAAACACAGACCAGATGAATTGTCATTCAGCTTAAACAAAAAACAATTTTGATCTCGTTAGGGAAATAGAGGAGAGTAAAAATTGGATTTGTCTAGTTTTTATGGCCTTCGACAATGTAGGCTGTTGCATATGTTGAATCGTACTTTTTCTTGCCTTGTGGGTAGATATTGTAAAAAATTTCAATGATAGATTTAAAATAAACAACACAATAAGGACTTAATTAACTGTGAGTTCAGATTAAAGCTAGAATTTATGATGCATTGTTATATAGGGATTACTCACTGATAAGGTCACTCCTTGATCTCCTCATACTTATTGAGAGGATTGGCGGCATCAACTCAGGGGAGTCCAGATGTGCTACCGTTCACGCGAGAAATCGAGAGCCAATTATAAGTGAATGAGATTCATTGCGCGGGTGACAACGCGCGGGAACAAAAGCGAGGAAAACAAGCCAGTAAGCAGGCGACAGCGATGAGCGTTCTTATTCATTTATGGCTACATGTAGCATCAACCTTGCCTTGATGATCCCACTTATTTTTTATCCTCAATGTCTCGTGTTGTGCCCCTCGCATTTTTACTCAATCGAGTTCTTATTTAATGCACCTTCGCCCCTACATGCGAAACTTATCTGTTGTACAACAGCTTTGCTATTAAAACCAGATTGCGATATTTGGTCAACCATTTTAGAATAAAATAAACAACTTATACTAATTTCCATTTTGACATTCATATATTTAGGTTTTTTTGCATGAATATTTGAGTTCACAAAAGTAAGCCATTACTACAAAAACTATGTTAATTACTTGCATCTTTATTCTTCACACATTAGCATCAATCCCAGCTGGTGTAGCCCTTTTACATGTGTCAAAAATTTCCCCATAGTTCAAAGGTATGTGCGCCATAATTACTGACATACGTCTATTTTCAGAAAGGTTGTCAACTGCATTCCTCTTACCAGCTTGTGTTATTTGTTCATATTTTCCTTAATTTTGTGAAAGATGTATTTTATAAATATTGTATTAAATCTGTGCATTTTAGTTCTTTTCCTCTATTGTACATTAACAAAGTAATTTGACTTCGTGGGTTGCAAAGCATAATATACAAACATGTACTGACAGAAGATTACTGAGGAGAAGAATAAATGAGAAACCTACACTCATATATATTCGCTGAATAAACATCTCTTGTTGGTTTTGCAAACATCAAACACTAATTACTTTAATATGACCACTGTATATATACTTGCAGAGCTCTGCAAACAAACCAGAACGTCTCAAATCAGCATCATTAGGAACAGACAGAAAGTCTAAAATCTGTATGGCAGTTTTATAAGACATTTTCTTTGGATCCCTAACAAACCGTCAAAAACAAAGGAAATGATAAATGTATTTTCTAACAATAGTATTTTTGGCAGTTTTATTATGTTTTTTCTATGATAAAGGGGAGAGGTCTGGAATGGGATGTTTGAAAGTACAAGGAATTATTTGAAAGCATACTCGTCGCATCGCCCTCTTTCAATCATGTTAGGCAAAAACTGTGCAGCCAGCAATCAAACCAAATCAAATACAACGTACAAGGAGAAAAATAAAAACTGCATGTGACATGTCACAATGTATTTCAATTGATAGTAGACGAGACTTTCTTTTATGTACATTATATTCCATCATTCTGAAAAAAAAATCAAATAATTCAGGAAATATAATTATAGTAACTAGACAAAAAATGGTAAAATGTTAAATTATAAATGTAGAACGTAATTCTCAAATGGAGAAAAAGTAATCTCCAAAAAAGGACAGTGTCATCCCAAGAATCAAACCGGTCCAAAACATTAAATTCAAGCTAACTGCAAAAATCTTTTTTAAAAATACGTCAGATTTTGCTAACAGGTAATTATCTGTATTTATTTTAGCATCTTTGGTTATATGACTTAAAGTGTACAATTACTTTTTAAAAAACTGAGACTAGTAGATGCAAATCCGAGAAAGAAGAGGGTAAATTCTTTAGGGACGTCTTTTGCTTACGCTTCAATATCGACTCTACCAAGCCTGTCAAAAACACTGTGGCTAGTATGGTTCAAATCGACAGATTTTAATTCCTCTTGTTCGACAGTTTATGCTGCATTAAATGGTTCAGAAACAATGTGATATTTGCGTCATTTTTATTACTAAACCTTCGATTTCAATGTCTCTGGTCGGTAATATATGATTATGTCATCTGATATACTTGTATTTGAAAACTTTTTTAAAATGTGTCTTACAATGCTTGCCCTAGGTTGAATTATAAATTCGCATTTAAGCATTTTATGTTTAAGTATCAGAAAGGGAACTCTATCATTTTTCTTTTAAATATGCGATTTCTTGTGTGTGAAACACTTTATTGAAGTGTTAAATTTCAAACGAGCACCGCAAAGGGGAACATCCCCTCGTAAAGAACACTTCTATAAGTCAAGGCAGCATTCGATACGCTCGGTACACCTCGGCCGATTCGTACCTGTTTGATGAAGTCCACGGAATCAGCCGAGGTTTGCCAAATGCATTCGATATCGATCCTGATGCAAATGGCGTCACTTCCGTTTCGCACAGGACATGCCCCACAAACACACAAATACACGATTGCGTTGAATACCCTCTCCAACTCCGTTGCGAGGAAATAACAAGCTTTTAACTTATCAAAATTCGTCCAGTAGCAGAAATTTCAAGATGACATTTTTTCTTATCCCTGTCGCCACCGTGACGCAATGGTTAGAGCGTCTGCTCTAGAGTCGCGAAGTAAGGAGTCAATCCGTACGTTGCGGGTTCGAATCCCACTGTTGGACGAGGAGACCGGTCCTTCGGATGAAATCGTATAAACCGAGGGCCCGTGTCGCAGTAGGTGCTGGCACGAAAAAGATCCCTCACTGCTCAATGGCCCTGAGTGTCGAGTATAGGACAAATTTTGTAGCTCTCCAACGGCAAGTGGTCGCGTCTCCATATGAGAGAAAAATTCTCGAGAGGGGCGTTGAACAACATATAATCAATCAATCAATCATCCAGTTTTCAAGATTTTAGGTCGCCTCCGTTGTGCAGCGGTGAGAGCTTCTGCTCTAGAGTGGAGTAAGGAGTTTATCCTTAAGTCGCGGGTTCGAATCACGATTTGGGACGTGGAGATCGGTCCTTCGGGTGAGACCATATAAACCGAGGTTCCGTGTTGCAGTAGGTTCTGGTATTAAAAAGTTCACTGCTCACTGACACTGAGTGCTGAGTATAGATAAAACAAATTGTAGCTATCAACTGGCAAGTGGTGGCGACTCCAATGAGTGAAAAATTCTCGAAAAGAACGTTAAACAACAATCAATCAATCAAGATTTTAAACTATAGTGTAATGAACACTTTTATTATGTTTTAATAGTGGATGAACGAAGAGACCTCTCCTGCCACATTTAGTTATATTTGGTTGTGCCAGGGCTGTGGAATTATAATCGGTTCAGTAATAAGTGGATTTTTATCGGACTTGATAGGACGGAAACAAGTTCTGTTTGTCAATCTCACCTTGATGAGTCTTTCCCAGGGAGCGGTCTGTATAGTTGACGACTGGATTTTGTTCATGTGCATGCGGGGACTAGTTGGAGTATTCGCAGGTTAGTTAAAATCTAGAATGATTTTTTTTTAAATTAAATTAAATCGAAACATTTGAAGATTTGTTTAGTTGTCTTGATACACGGATTATCATGAACCCAGACAATGAAGACAACATACAATTATCATTGTTCCTGCTACTTATTTTATTATCTCATAATAGACACTTCATGCATATATTATAGGAGGTGTTATCATACCCAGCTGTGTCCAAATGATTGAGCACGTGGGTCAGAATTGGCGGGAATTGTGCGTATGCATTTGCGCATGGGCAGTAGGCATACCGCTTCTGATATTTGAGGGACTAATCACCCGTCACTGGCGTTGGCTGGGAATTGTAACGTCTTCCACATCCCTTCTGTCAATTGGTACATATTTGTGAGTACTACAACTCGTTCATGAGATGATAAGGTGAAGATATAGCTTTAAGAGCAGCCGATCGCGACAGCTAGCACGTGTACAACATAAACTGAGCTCTGTTGATCTTGATAAGAAAGAACAGTTGCGAGTTAAGAAGGAGCATTGGCGATGTATCGTGTTTGACCCAATGACTGAGATTAAGTATAGATACACATGATGTTTACGATCATGTAAACTATAAGTAGGCAAATTCAATTTGTCGGTGCTAGCATAGCATAAAGATGTCGTTTCTTTGATTCCTAGGTGCACATTAACCTACCGATAAGAATGCGGAAAAGTACAGGGAATAAATGTTTTGCTGTTTCATCGTCTCATTGCATGCAATGGTTAGCAATTTTGTGGGTAGGGATAGAAATTTTATTTAATTAGTACTAAAAAAGAATATTGATAAGGTAATGCAGTTACTTTTGTATGTTAAATGTTAGAGTCTGTCATGACACTACAAAGGTTTTGCAATTCAGTAAAGTAACCTTTAGGCACAGAGTGAGTGCTGCAATTTCAGTATCGTAATGAGGCCCGTAATTGTCGAGGAAAGGAAGACTATGCATTCCAAAGAGTTAATTTTCAGATCTTTTCAATTTTGAGACCACTCCGTAGCAATGGTTTTTATCTATATCTAATCTTGAACAAATATTTTTTTAATCATTTTTGGATAAGTGATTATGAATCCTTACCTTTGATTAAATGTATTTGCTTACATTAAAGAATGTAAGCAAAAAGCATACTGATATACAAACGCCTTTTAACATTGCTCTATTTTCCACAGTGACGTACATATGTACAACTAACTACTAGTATGACGCATTATAAATTTGATTCAATTTATTCCGTTTACATTAAAAAGGGACAAAAATTTCGAATATGTCTAGCAATAAATGACAATCATAATTACTAGACGTGTACTGAAAGATATGTCTGAGTGTTTTTTTATTTTAATGATAATTAATTTCTTGCATTTACAGTATATATCCAGAGAGTTTCAGATGGTATACATGCAGAGAAATCTTTTCCAAAGCCGAGGCATCCATTAGGGAAATGATTTCAGTGAATGCAACGTCACTTCCGGATTTCACTCAGCTCTATGATAGAGCCAAACTTGCCGTCCTTAATGCTATGGTTAAACGTCCCAGAACTTTCTTCGACCTACTTCACACAAGAGAGAGGATGAAAACAACCATTGTTCTGGTGTTTGTATGGTATGGCTTTAAAGATTTGGGGCAAAATAAAATGATGATTGCACCTGCATGTATTTACTTAGATTTAACGTTTTATTACGCCAATTAGATAAATAGATAGATAGCATGCTTTCTCTGACGTCTTTGATGTTGTTTTAGGTAATATAAACACCGAGAAAGAAAAAGACATTTTCAGCTTTTGATTTCACTATCTACATACTCAGTAGGGTAGAAATATATAGAACTTGTAAAAAGTGGAAGTCTAATATCTGAGGAAACTTTGATTTAAAGAAAATCGATCTGGTATACCAGCATTAGTTTTGACATTAGTTATTATATACCCAAAGACCTTAATAATTTAATTAAAACAATTTTCTACACTCCTTCTGCAATTCTGCACACTTGATGACAAATTACTACCAAGTGCAAATTTACGATGAACAATGTGCTTCAAATCAATAATGAAATTCATCCCCTCTTGGGTCAGAGGCTCTGGTTTTAAAGTTGAGCTCTCTTCACCATTTACAACTGTAATTAAAAGCATTGATTATTTGAAATTTTCTGATTTTGAGCATATTTGCATGGTTGTGCTTCTGATCTGTTCCCCTAAGACAGGGTCTTTGATGATAATTAATAGAGGTGTATTACTGAAGTGATATTGTTTAAGCTTTTGAGCCTCTTGTTCATATTTGAAAATACGGAGCAATATACAAGGAGTACTGGCAACATACTTTAACAATATTTGTTTCAGTTCTTTGCTTCGTTTTTAGAGGTTGTTTAGTTGTGATTTTTACGTTTCCATTTACAGGTTATTAATTTGTACCGTATCCGCTTCATTTTACATGTTGTTAGTTGTGATTTTTACGTTTCCTTTTGCAGTGGTTTTAGTTGTCTAGTTGTTCTGTATGTCTTTTGCAGTTTCTTCAATTCTGTCTGCACTTCATTTTGCAGGTTGTTAAACTGTGTTTTTACGCTTTCTTTAGCATTTTGTTCAGTTGTTCTACCTCTGCTTTTCCAGGTTGTTTAGTTGTTCTGTCTCTTTTTTCTTTTGCAGGTATTGTAGTTGTTCTACCTCCGCTTTTTTAGCAAGTTGTTTAATTGTTCTTTCGGCAATTTTCCTCTTACAGATTATTTAATTGTTCCTTTGCAGATTGCTTATATATTTTTTTACATCCTTTTCCCTTTGTTTGGTTGTATAGTCTCCTTTTTATTTTTGAAGGTTGTTTAGTTCTCCTTTGCCTTTTTTCTTTTGAAGGTTGTACAGTCGTTTTCCGTTTCCTTTTGCTGGTTGTATAATTGTTCTTTGTTTTTTCTACTGGTTGTTTATTTGTTGTATGTTTTCTTTCACAGGTTGTTTAATTTTTTTTTTTCATTTTCTTTATAATGTTGTTAAGTTTTCCTTTGTTTTGTAGCTTTGTTTTGTAGGTTGTTTAGTTGTTCTTCGTTTTCTTTTTTCAGGTTTTTTAGTTGTCCTTCGTTTTCTTCTTACGGGTTGTTTAGTTGTTTTCCCTTCTTTTTTTTCAGGATGTCTAGTTGTGCCGTCTATCGTTGTCTCTATGAGAGGATGGCCGGAAGGATGTCTGATAATGTATACCTGGACACGGTCCTCGTGTATCTGTTAGACCTTACCCTTGTTTATACAACCATTATTATCACAAGATGGTAAGTGCGCATTTTTACCATTTTATACCAATTTTTAGTTTCTATGTACATGATGATTTGGGTTCTTGTTGCTGAAAGGTGGTTTGAACGCGGTGACCTAGGTTTCACATTTCTAAACAAAAGCACCATTTATGTTTTTGGAAATTTGTGGACGTATTTTTTTCATTACAATACCTTTCAGAGTTCTATAATTTTTAGTATTGAAGGAAAATAGAAATCCCATTAGCATTTCCAGACTTACTTGTATATCATCTACATGCATATCGAAAGGTTTTTTTATCTTGTACGTCACTGACACATTTTCTTACAGGCCAATGAACCCTGTTATGATTTTTGTAATTGATCTGTGCTTGCATATAGAACAAAAATCCGTGAAGGGGAAGGAAAGTAAAAGCTGGGCAGCTTGAGGCATTGAGTCTTTTGGTTCAAACATTATCTATTTTTTAATTACTCTTCGCTGGCAGGAGTTAAATTGAATCCTCCGTGCTGGCATCTGTCAAAGGGTTTGACTTGTCGCCCAAACAAGTAACACGGGTCCCCAAACGAATGTAAAACTACGAAAAAACTCAAGCTTGCAGCACAATAAATTTACTTATTCAATAGGAGAAGAAACTTCGGAGATGAAAAATGTGATAAATCTAATTAACGTCGGGAGCTTTTTGTCAAAATTCGTAATATCATATAGTGACATTCATTAGAATAATTCGAATCGTTTGCTTTTTGTTGCAAATTATTATTGGACGAGTTTATTCTTCATATACATACAAATATTGACTTCTTTCTGCATTAGAAAAAATGCTGACTATCGAATTGCTAAACTTCAAAGAAATAGTCTAGCATTGTAGGGTAATTTCTGACATATTCTTTTCCAAAGACTTGTAGTATATAGCTTTCAGGTGGGATTGAAAAGATAATTTTCTCTCTCGAACACATGTTGTTTATTATGACATAACTTGATCCTTTAATGAACTGTGTATTTTGACTCGAGATTGAGCAATGTTTATATTATTTCATTTAGAATGTGGAAAATAAATAAACCGAGAGAAAAAAATCTCCAGATGCTAATCATCAAAACAAATTAAAATGTAAACCTTAAGTTTGCTGAAAAATATTATTTAAATTAATAATCTTATTATTATTATTTTTTTATTTGGTTTTATTTGTTGTCTAAACATAAAATCGCAGTCATCAATTTCAATCTGTTTCAAGTTTTTAATTAGCTATGACAATTTATTTGAGTCCAATCCTCTTACTTGACTTTTTTCCAGCATTGGGCGTCGATGGTGCTTGTTCCTTTATTCAGTGTCTAGCGGCTTCACACTGTGTTGCATCCTTGTCACACACATCATAAAAACCATGAACACAAACATTGATATGACTTTAGGGATAACCATATTTGGAAAGCTCGGTGTGACGTCAACAGTTGTTCTCATATCATTGGTCACTCTGGAAGTGTACCCAACCTCAATAAGGTGAGTAGAAAATGTGTTCGAGAAAATGTTTGTTTAAATACGATGTAAAACGGTTCATGATACCATCCGAAGAAGTAACCAAGATATTTTGCTTTGTTGCAGATGCATGGGTTTCGCCGTTGGTCTTTCCTCGGGTATTGTAGGTCTGTGTGTTGGGCGGTTTTTATATATCGAGTTCTTCCATGTAAGTAAGGTCCACTTGCAGGTGTTTGCTTTTCAGATTTGTCATTAATATTGTTTTCCCTTCAAAATATTCATGCATGCACGTTAAAGAAATAACAGTGTATTTTTATCATATTTTAGAAAGTCCACTTTTCTTATCCATATATTTGTTATGCTGTTGTGATGTCGTTAGTCGGATGTGTATGCTTGCTGTTCCCGGAAACGTCAGGTAAACCTTTGCCTGATTTGGTCAGAAGCAGACACAGAATGATCAGCATGAAGGAAGTAACTCGACTGTCCAGTGCCTGGGACGCTCACTGAAAAGGAGTCCGGAGATTTGCTGTTCAAACCCTGAAAAAGTATATATGCCTTTGGTAGCTAGACTCACAATTTTTTATTTCTCGACATTCAACAAAATGTGTATTTTTGTCTGAGCAATATATTGTCCTAATACTAAAATGCTTTTATTCTTCTATTTCAGGGCTTACCCGAAAGCCTTTGATTAATTTGGATTCGTGATTCTTGGAACATGCGTCGGTTGGCTTTGCTTCAAATAGTGTTGGAATTTGAAGAGAGAGTCAGGACAGATTTTATTTGATGTCGGTAAAAATTGGTGATGAAATACGTCGATGACGTTTATGAATTCTTTTTTATCATACTGCAGTATCGTGTTATATACATGTACACGTATTGACAATAAAATTATCAATCGCATTCTGTTTTCTTTATGGATTATCCGAGGAACTTATTTGTACATGTGGCATTACGCAAACAATGTAATCTCTCATTTTTAGCTCACCTGAGCCGAAGGCTCAAGTGAGCTTTTCTGATCAAAATTTGTCCGTTGTCTGTCGTTGTCGTAGTCGTTGTCGTTGTCGTCGTCGTCGTCATTGTCGTAAACTTTTTACATTTTCATCTTCTTCTCAAGAACCACTGAGCCAATTTCAACCAAACTTGCTACAAAGTATCCTTGGGTAAAGGGGATTCAAGTTTGGTCAAATGAAGGGCCACGCCCTTTTCCAAGGGGAGATAATTATGAATTAGAGAAAAATTAATGGCATTATTAAAAAATCTTCTTCTCAAGAACCACTGGGCCAGGAAAGATGAAACTCATGTGGAATCATCCTCAGGTAGTGTAGATTCAAGTTTGTTCAAATCATGACCCCCGGGGCTAGGGTGGGGCCAAAATGGCCGACCCAAGTTTTACATAGGAATATATAGGAAAATCTTTAAAAATCTTCTTCTCAAGTACCACTGGAACAGGAAAGATGAAACTCATGTGGAATCATCCACATGTAGTGTAGATTCAAGTTTGTTCAAATCATGGCCCCCGGGGCTAGGGTGGGGCCAAAATGGCCGACCCAAGTTTTACATAGGGATATATAGGGATACCTTTTAAAATCTTCTTTTCAAGTACTTCTAAAAAATCCATGATTAGTGATATTTATGTGGAATCATCCTCAGGTAGTGATATATAGATTCTAGTTTGTTGAAATCATGAATCCCAGGTAGTGTAGATTCTAGTTTGTTCAAATCATGAGGGGTTAAAATTCAAGCCCCATTCCCCCCTCCACCTCAGTAAACTTTCAGTTCTGATCTGATATGTGCTATTTCCTAGCCAATTGCTCAGGTGAGCGCTGTGGCCCCTCGGCCTCTTGTTTAACATTTGTTTATTGATCGTGCTTAAACAAATGATTTAGTCACTCTGAAGATCCATGGGTCTCTCATTTTCCTTCAAGAAAACATGGATTCAATGCTCTTTTCCTTAACTTTCTCCATAAATGAATACATGTACAGTACTTCTATGTGAAACTTGTGACCCAACCCTTTTTCTGGGATGGGGGGAAGGGCTGTCAATGATTTAAACAAACTTCAATCTATAATAGTAAAGGATGCTTTACGATTCTTCAGACATTTTTACTCTTCTTGAATAGACATTTTGATTTTTTTTCCCCTTCGTATTCCTAAATAAAACCTATATTACCTACTGTGGCTCCACCCTATTCCAGGACGTCATGATTTGAAGAAACTTTAACCACTGTAGCACATACAGCTCTTTTTCACTCCAACCATATCCTTGAGAATAATTTGCTTGGCACAGACAAAAGTGTTATACCTATATAGTTATCACATATTGATCAATCACCTTTTGACTATCAGGCCTTATATTTACTCCAACCGATGGTATGGTTTCTTATTTTCAAATTGTTGTGAAGAGATTTTCCAAATATCTTGCTGTTGTCTCTGTGTCTGCTTTTAACATCTCAGTTGTTATCCCATCAACTCCTCCAGATTTTCGATTCTTTAGTTTCTTTAAAGCCTTGATGTTTTGTTCTTTCTGTATACGGCTTGTATCCATCTCTACTATTTGTTCTCCGCTTTCACCGTTTAATGGATCTTCAGATTGTGGACGGTTTAATATTTCTTAAAAGTGCTCTTTCCACCTTTTCTTTCTTTCGTTTTGACTGCTCGGGATCTTGCTGTTGACATGCCTTTCTTCTGATTACCTAGTACTCTAGTTATCTAATACACTGTTTGCATGTGTCCATTACATACTGCTCTTTCTGCTTCCGTTATGTTGCCTTCTGTCCAATTTCTCCTGTCATTCCTCATGATGCATTTTACCTCTATGTCTTGTTATGACTATTTATTTCTTAAGCTTCTTTTAACCTTTCCAATCTTTACTCTATCACCTTCCAAGAGTCTCTGCTTTTCAAAGGCTTTTGTCGCTTTTTTTTTACTCCAAGATTGCTATCTGATGATTCTTTGTGACCTTTTATCATATTTTTCCAGATATTTTTCTAGCACTTGGAATCAGTTCCAACGTGCACGATTTCCTTTTCTCTAGCCGTTGTAGTTTTTAGACATCCGACTTCTTTTTACATGTATCTGCATTTTGCCATGATTGTTTCTTTCTTCGATTTAATTCTGATCTTACTCCGTACCTGTTCATGATCACTGATTGCATCAGCTCCTCTCATTGCCCTTGTATCTGAGATGGATGTTCTGTGTTGTTTTGACATAAGCACATGATCAATTTGGCTTTCGATCTTTCTATCAGGTGAGATCCAGGATATCTTATGACTTGGTTTATGGGGGAAATACTGTTCCTGCAATGACAACGTTATTAAGCTCGCGCGTTTCCAATAGTCGTTCTCCGTTTTCATTTCGATCTCCTATTCCTTGTTCCCCCATTGCAGTTCCATGGCCTTTGCTGTTGTTGCCAACCTTTACATCGAAATTTCTAATAATGAGCAATACTACTCTAGTATATCATGTTTGGGAATGTCTTTAATGACTTCCTATAATTGTTCCATGAATGCTTCCTTTGTTCTTCAATGTTTCATTTGTTGTAAGTATACTACTATCAGGCTTATTTTTAAAGTCAGTGTCTAGAATCTTGCCAATATCAATGGCTCACTTGTAGGTTTCCATTCCGTCAATGACTTCTTTCTTTGTCAACATTATTCCTACTTCTTGTTGCAATCCATCCTCTCGTCATGAGTAAAGCATTATTTTACCACTCTGCAATGTAGTTTTTTTTCATTCTTAGGGCTTCACTTAGCCCTAGTATATCCAGACTATATATATACAACTCCTCTTCTATCTGGGTATTTTCCCTTTAATATACAAGGCTCTTACATTTCAGTTCCTTATATATATGTTGTCTTTAGTTGTGCAAAGTGACTTCGGCCTGTGGACTTCCAACTGGCTTTCCACCTGTGTCATGTTGTCCTCTGAATTAACATTATCACAGTTAGAGGGCTAACCTTCCGTTGAGTGTTCAGTGTATTTTGGGTTTCCGTAATCATGAAGATTTTTATTCTCCCTTGTGCTATGCCATGCAGAAACCCTCTGGACTTGGAGTGCCAGTGGTTTTCTGTTGGAGTTTTCCTTCTCTTAGCCAAAATTAATGTTCCAGTAATGGAAAGGCGCCGTAATCTCGCCTTTCACTACTATCACTCAGCTACCAAGATATTACCAGGGTCATCAAACATGGATGTGTGACATGCGTTTCGTTGGCAGAACTTGTTTGAGACAGTTGGCATTGTTCCAGGATTTGTAAGGTGAAATCAAGTGGCGTTGGAAATACTCCTCAAGACCGAACCAGCATTTGAACCCAGATTTTCTTGATAGATCTACGGAAAACAACATTTTTAAAGATTTTATTATTTGTTTATGACTCTACCTTTCCCCTGGGGGTAATGGTTTGAACAAATTTGAATCTAAACAGTCATAAAATTTCCCATACCTTATCTCTTCTGTCACAGTGGTTCTCGAAAAGATTTTTTGGTGGTGACATGTTTATTTGCAATTTTATTTTGATCCAGAGGGTGGGGGATTCAAGAAACGACGTTTTAATACAAAACACTGAATCCCTGAAGTCCTCTCACTAAAATGTAGATAAACAAGCAAATTCAAAGAATTGTGGTCCCCCGCTTTCAGTGTCTTTGTGGATGAGATGTCATTTTTTATGACACATTGTGTCTAATATGAACACCCTATCATATGTCATTTATTTAGAAATTATCACTGAAGTTGATTTTTTTTTAAAAATAAGGTCAATTGTGAAGGTCAAGGTCAAGGGGTGAGAATTCATAGCATGCTCGGAAATATCTTGTCACAGGTAATGCAAATATATGTCAAATATGAAAGTCCTATCTCTTCTCAATATAAGGAACAAGATGTGTCAAATTGTGAAACACAGATGACCTCGTATGGCAACATAACAAAGATTTAACATTTCTTAATTCAAATGAAATATATTTGATATTACCCAAAGTAGGGTTTTCAGACAAGAAATACGATTGTGAAATACAAAATCCCAGCCCCCTGTTCAAAAGAAAGTTATGGCCAAGGATACATTTTTGAAAGGTAGGTCAATCTCCAAGGTGAAAGGATCTGAGTTGTTGATTTCTTTAAAAAGGTCACAAGTAATACATATGTGAAGGATGAAAACCCTAGCCTTAACCGTTCAATAGTTATGGCCAAGGTAAAAGTTTTGGAAAAATAAGCCAATCTCCAAGGTCAAGGTCAAAGGGTCAAAGTTCTTGGTATCCAATGAAAGGTCTTCTCATAAGAATTACATATGTGAAGTACGAAAGCCTTAGCCCTTACCGTTCAAATGTTATGGTCAAGGTTAAACTTTTTTTTCAAAAGTACGGAAATCTCCAAGGTCAAAGTCAAAATGTCAGAATGGTTGGTATCCAATGAAAGGCCTTGCCACAAAAAATAAATATGTGCAAAAATATGAAGTCCTACATGTAGTATCTACCGTTCAAAAGTTGTGGCCATGGTCAAAGTTTTTGAAAATTAGGTCAATCTCCATGGTCAAGGTCAAAGGGTCAAAGTTCTTGGTATCCAATGAAAGGTCTTTTCACAAGGATTACATAAGTGACGTACGATAGCCCTAGCCCTTTCCGTTCAAAAGTTATGGTCAAGGTAAAAGTTTTTTCATAGGTCTCTAAGGTCAAGGTTAAAAGGTCAAAATTGTTGGTATCCAATGAAAGGCCTTGACACAAAAAATGCATATGTGAAATATGAAATTCCTAGTTTCTACTATTCAAAAGATATGGCCAAAGTAAAAGTTTGGATTTTTTGTGTAAAAGTGGGTCAAACTCCAAGGTCTAGGTCAAAAGGTCAAATATGGTGGTACCCAAAGAAAGGTCTTCTCACAAGGGACACACAAGTGAAATATGAAAGTCATAGCTCCACTAAATCAAAAATAATGGGCAAGGTTAAAGTTTTTGTGACGGACAGACAGACGAATGAGATTTAATGTCCCCTCGCTTTCGATAAAGCGGGGGACAATAAAGAAGGCAATAAATTGTTATTTTATTCATTATGGTTTTATTTTGATCGGGATTGGTCCAAAATGAATTTTTTTTTTCAATTTGCCATTTCATTTCAATTTCTTGCCAAAAAGAGACTAGTCAAAATTCACATATACTTTGATCATTAGTAAACTTTAAGTGAATCATCGTGCATACGTACAGATATTTCTCCATCAGATAATAAAGGCTTGTCATAATTTTTAATTCTTATACCACCAACCTTTCACTTGCTATTTGACTTCGAATTAAAGTCATGACACTCCTTAGGTTCATAAACAGTACCTGTGTCAGGTTCCAATGAGCAATCTTTGTATCAAGTACAAGCTCCTAGTATTTCTACATTGTTAAGTTAAAGTCTTAAAAAAATAATTTTACACTATTCTGCCTGTAACTTTGAACTTTCTGCATTGACACTGGATTAAAATAAGAACTTTCCTTATTTCAAAAACAATACCTGTACCAATTCTTTTCCAAATAAAGTTTTAGCCGAGACATTTTTTTTCTTTTTTCTACCAGTGACCTTGAAATCGCCAAAATGACCTTGGATAAAGGTCAAGGCATATTCTTTGATCATAAGCAATATCTGTACCGAGTATGAGCTTCCACTGACTCTCCATTACAAAGTCAAGTTATGTCATACCTTTTTTCTACTAGTAACCTTGAACTAAATGGAATGACTGGATAGGATCATGACACATTTTTGGGTCATAAACAATCCCTGTACCAGGTTTGAGCTTCCAGTGATTCTTTCTACAAAGTTATGAGCCAGACAAAAATTTCATACTTTAATAATATAGGCCAGTGACCTTGAACTTGCAGGAATGACCTTGTGTCAGATCAGGACTCACTGTCGGGTCATTACAAGCAAGCTCTATAACAAGTATAAGCTTCCAATGTTTCCATATATCAAAGTTAGAGCCTAGACAAAATTACATTCACAGACAATGTGATTCCTATATATCCCTAAAACTTTCTTTGTTTGGGGTAAAAAGAGAAGTTTCATTACAAGGAATATACAATTGAAATATGAAAGCCCTAGCACTAATCATTCACATCATTTTGTTTTACCAAAGTAGGTCAAAGTTAAAGGTTAAAAAAAGTTCAAAAGGAATGGCCATGGGTAGTAAAAATTAGTAAATTTGGAGACACATAAACAGACAGACAGTTTATCAAAATATGCCCCCAAATCTTCAATTATAGAGGTGGAATAAAAACTCAACAAGTTTAATTCCATGACAAACAGACTGTATAATAGTGTATTTTAATATATATGATAAATTCAAACTGACATAAATTAATCATGTATCACAAGGGACAAACACAGTTTTTACAATTACATGTACATCAGTTATGCTTTTCAAGAAAAATTGAAAAAATATGAAACATCTAGAAAATCTTCATATACTACTTGTGTATGAAGTAGAACATGCTTATAGAACTTGACAAGGAAAAATATTTCATAAAAAACTTTAAATTACTTAGAACCTCAGTAACAACTAAAAGAAGGAAAAAGTGTTGCATACAAAGATAAAACTAAATTAGATAAGCAAGAAGCCCATGGGCCACATCACTCACCTGAGTAACTTTGGCCATTATGTTATTAAACAGATTTCCCCCTAATACCTATCTTGACCTTTCCCAATCCCCAGGGGTCATGATCCAAGCAATTTAGAATCTACACTAGTAACACTACCCCAGGATGCTTCCACAGAAGTTTAGCTTTTCTGGCCCAGTGGTTCTTGAGAAGATTTTTTTATGACCCCACCCTATTTTTGTATATTCTTGACAATTTCCCCTCGGAAGGGGACTTTATTTTTATAATTTAAACTCCCACTACCCAAGGATGTTTTGTACTAAGTTTGGTCAAAATTGGCCCAATGGTTCTCAAGAATAAGCTGAAAATGTGAAAAGTTTACAGATGAATGGACAGTCAGACGGATGGACGACGGACAACAGGTGATCAGAAAATCTCATATGAGCTAAAAACTGCAAGGCCTGCTATGTAAATCAAAGGAGAGAAAATATAAAAGAATTTAGATTTTGCATATTGTTATATTTATTTATAATCTAAAACACTAAAAAATAATAATGTTACAATGAGATCACTTTATCTTTTCTAGCAATTTTCAAACTAAAATTAGATATCATTGAGATGGTGGCCATCTCAAAGGGTCCCACTTTCAGCAATGAACATAAAAATGTAAAGTAGCTGAAAGGGGTTTTAACCTTGACTCTTGGCCTAGAAACTTTGTTCAAGGTCACTACACATCCATTGACCAGTGGCACTCTGTGAGAGAAGTATTAGCCACATTGGACCAAGGGGAGAAAGCATATGCTCTGGACAAGGATTCACAATAAAAAAAATTACCTCCCTTTCTCTTAAGCTTAGATATTCAGACAAGCACTGATTTACCTCTCTTGATATTTTTGCTTAAAAATCCAATCTTTAACTTTTTTAAATTAAAAAATATAATATACAGATACAAAAAAAAAAACATTCAGAAAAAAATAACGTAGTATATGAAAAGTTGTACAATAATGTAGTAACACAACTTTGAGTGATCTGCTGTGGATGTCATATGAGTTATCCTTAATGAGTTATGTACTCAGCATGGTACACTGAATCCTGAGAATTAAGCTGTTTACTGTGTCCATCACTTTGTAGATATTAGTACATACTCAACTCTGTCCATTGGATTCTGTGAGTTAAGCTACTTAGTGTGTCCATCACTTTGTAGATAACAATGTACTCAGCATGGTCCATTGAATTCTGTCAGTTAAGCTATTTAGTGTGCCCATCACTTTGTAGATATATAATAATGTACTCAGCACTATCCATTGAATTCTTTGAGTTGAGTTATTTAGTGTGTCCATCACTTGCAGTCCAAACCTTAAATTACTCTCTGCACTATTGTTGAAGCATATTTGTCTGCTATCAAAGAAACATGAAATTGATGGCAGTCTGCCTGTAAAAAAAGAAATCACAAGGACTCAACATAAATATTAATAAAATCTTAATAAATGAAAAATAGCTAACATATTTTTACAGAATAGAAGGATTTTGCAGAGCTTGTACATGTGTCTTACCTTTATTTTCAGGTCCCATAGTTGATCTCTTTGGAGTCTTGAGGAATCATGTTGATCTGCTTTTGGAAACAGGATCAATGCCAGCATAACTGCCTGCCTATTAACAAAAAGACACTAAGAATCCAAGCAATGAGAGAGTCAAAAATCTCCTCTAATTCAAATAATGCAAGGTCTAGAGCTTTAGATGCATCTGATCTGACTAACCATCAATGTTTAGGTTAGACAGTAGTAAGTCCTTACTTTCCACATTCTTGTTAACTGATTGAGATCAGTCTCATCTTCTACTTGATAATGAAAAAAACATGAACAAAAATACCTTGTGCCAAAATGTTCACCTGAGTCACCTTGACTTTGTCATCAAAAGAAAAATTCTTCATTCATATTTTTTTTACTAATCCTAGTCCAAAGGGATCATGATGTAACGTAATTTGAAACAACACATCCTCGGGATGCCCTATTGTTATTGCAATAAGTCTTGCTGTTGTGCAGCAGAAGTAAATCCCCCTGGACCTTTGATTTGATAAGTGTATAAAGAAAATTTGTAAATTGCAAAAAATAAATCTTTTTACCCACTCCTTAATCAGATATTGGCTGCTGTACAAAGCTTGGCAATAGACTCTTCTTTTTCTTCACTTGGTCAGCACTGGTCCTCTTCCCTTGTCAAATTCCTTGAAAATACTTGATGGAGAGAAGATAAGCAATAATACAAAGCAATGTAATAATCACAGAAATTCAAATGAACATAATTATTACAACATTATTAGCTTGAAAATCAAAAAGCAAATAAAGACAATAAGGTTATGATAGCTAGGAATAAGGTGGAATATTGGGGCAAGGAGAGGAAAGCATAGTTACTTTAGAGTAGGGAGGACAAAGATATGTCAGAAATAATTAACTAAAAAATACTTGTAAGACTCCTGCCTGTTAAAGTGGGTCATGATGAAGTTCCATAGGTGAAAAAGAAGTAAACTCTGATTCTTACGAGTATTCTCCTCATGGCTGCAGCGGAATGGAAAAGGGACTCTTCCTCACTTAGAATTTCTGGTCAGTCTTAACTTTCTTCTGCTTAAAAAGATAAAACAGAGACATAAAAGGGGAAACACTTGCACTTCATACCAAGTGAGAAGCTTCAGTAAAAAGCAGCTTGTTGCTTACCACTTTTGAAACATAATACCTGCAAAACACAGACAGGAATAGACTCTTCTTATATTAATGACCTTGGTCCTCCATTGTTGTTCCTCTTCTGAATCAAAGGGGAACTGAAATCTGTCAATTGAAGGTCCAGATGTTAAAGCTTGGTACAGCCAACATCAATAGGCAAGCAAAGATACAAGAAGTAAAATCTGAATCTTACCCTGCTTTCTGCTGCTGTATGCAGTTCAATGAGAGAGGGAGTCCTCCTCACTTCAGGATCCTGTTCAGCCTTAAAAGTATTCCTCTTAAAAAGATAAAAATTAACAGACACCAAAAGAGGATCACTTGCACTTCATACCAAGTGAGAAGATTTCTAAAATAAACTAGTGGCCAATGGGCAATATGCTCACCTAAGCATATTGGCTAATAAATGACAAATTAGTCCAGTATTGAAAAGAATAAAATTTAGGAAAAGGAGAAGGGGGCTTGAATAACTACCTGGAGACATTTTCATATCAATAACAATGGCTTAGCTGTTCTTGAACATAAAATTTTTTCCTATATATTCCTTTGTTAAAATTTTATCCCCATTGATGCCCCTCCCTGCCCCCTGGAATCAAGATCTGGACAAATTTGAATCTACACTACCTAAGGATGCTTCCATTTCAATATGACTATATATGGCTTTGGTATTATTGAGAAGACGTTTCCTATATATACTGTAAATCACTTAATTTTCGCGACACCTTATTTTCGCGAGATAGTCAATGACTCTTCATTAGCGAGACAAAATTTTCAAAATTGTGGTCATTGCTCTATATAATCTTAAGGAATTATATTATACACGAGAATCAAATTTTTGCGACCATACCATCTCGCGTAATAATGTGAAAAAAAGTTCTCGTGAATAAAAAGTGATTTACAGTATTCCGTCCATTTTGATCCACCATTGGGGCCCTGCCCTACACCTGGGAGTCATGATTTGAACAAACTTAAATCTACACTACATGAAGATGCTACCGTATACATATCACCAGTCATGACATATTTGTTTCTGAGAAGATTTCTAAAAATATTTCCAATATAATCCAATGTAAAACTTTGATTGTCCAATGTGGCCCAAACCTTTTCCCGGTAGACATGATTTGAACAAAATGAAATCTTCACTACCAAAAAGGATGATTTGCTATCAATATAACTAATTGTGGCTTGAGAAAAAAAAAGTATATCCCTACATACTGTAGATTCCTAAATATGTGCATGGAATTAATTTTCGCGTAATTTCGTGAGAAGCACCACACACAAAATTAAATTACTCGCCTTTATGGCGCTGAAACCTATGTAAAATCTCTTAACCAACCATGCATTTGCGAATTATTATTCTTGTGATTTGACAGTGAAAAGCCTATTCGCGATAATTACTCGCGAAAAATAAGGAATCTACAGTATTATATATATTTTTGATCCCCTATTCTGACACCAACATGGGGTCTTGATTTGACTAATTTTGAATCTACACTACCTGAGGATGATGCCACATAAGTGTCTCTTTCCTGTCTCAGTGGTTCTTGAAAAGAAGATTTTTAAAAGATGTCCTTAATTTTTCTCTTATTTTCTCTTATTTGTAGTAATCTTCCATTTGAAGAGGGAGTGGGCCTTCATTTGAATAAACTTAAATCCCATAATGGCATTTATCCAAGGATACTCTTTGCCAAGTTTCGTTGAATTTGACCAAAGATGAAAATGTGAAATTTTACAAACAAGAGGCCCATGGGCCACATCGCTCACCTGAGAAGCTTTGACCATTCTGTTCTTTACCAGATTTCCCCCTTGTAACACATATTGTGACCCCACCCTACCCCACTGATCAAAATTTAGACAATTTGAAATCTACACTACCCCAGGATGCTTCCACATAAGTTTCAGCTTTTCTGGCTCTTAAGAAGATTTTCAAAGATTTTTCCTATAAATTTCTATGTAAAACTTTGATTCCCCATTGTGGCCCAGCCCTATCCCCCGTGGTCATGATTTGAACAATTTAGAATCTACACTACCCCAGGATGCTTCCACACAAGTTTCAGCTTTTCTGGCCCAGTGGTTCTTGAGCAAAGGATTTTCAAAGATTTTTTCTATATATTTCTATGTAAAAATTTGATTCCCCATTGTGGCCCAGCCCAACCGCCGGGGGTCATGATTTGAACAATTTAGAATCTACACTACCCCAGGATGCTTCCACAGAAGTTTCAGCTTTTCTGGCCCAGTGGTTCTCGAGAAGATTTTTTAATGACCCCACCCTAGTTTTGTCTTTTCTTGATTATCTCTACCCTTGTGAGGGGACTTGGCCCTTCATTTTAACAATTTAAATTCCCATTCACTCAAGAATGCTTGGTACCATGTTTGGTCAAAATTGGCCCGCTGGTTCTTGAGAAGAAGTCGAAAATGTGAAAAGTTTACAGATGGACGGACGGACAGACGACGGACAAAATGTGATCAGAAAAGCTCACTTTAGCCTTTGGCTCAGGTGAGCTAAAAAGATGACAAAGACATAAAATGAACAAAGGTTCACTTCTTTTAAAAACCAGCACTTATATCAATTGATTCTACTACTAAATTGGGTTTGTGATCAGGAGAGATCCTATATGAGATGTTTACCAATGCTTTTGAGACTCATCTTCCCGTGCGTCCTTGCGAACTTAGCCTGGGACAAAATGATACCCAGTATCCGTCTGCTTCCACGTGGAGGCATCGCATAGGACTTGTTGTGGAGAGGCTATGTACTGGCAGGGGAAGTCATTAGAATTTCTTCCCTTTTCGCATTGCTGCTAGCCAGCGGTGATGGCTGAAAGCGAGAGGTGACAAGCACACAGACACTAACACCAACACACTAGACGCGTCACACAACATTTAGCAGACGTTAGTAGTTTTAGTAGCTTGTTACTTGTTCAGGGTTCTCCATTGTTTGAAAATTTACTGTGTTGCAGAGTTTACGCAAAGCACTAAAATTTCACGGTTTTTTAGAGATCAAATTTGCAACTGATTCACTATTCATTATAATTACTTAAGAATACATGCACACAATTTAAAAAAAAAAAATCACCAATTCGTTACAAAAATAGTATGGTCGAACATATTAGCACATGTTGTGAAATGCAGAATAAATTCTTGTCTATAAAGTTGAACTACTTACAATTTTTTAAAGCAAATTTGTCATAATTTTTTTGTCAATTTTATTGATCGAATTAAGGAATTACAAAAAAAGAGACTTCAGAATAGTAAAATACTTTTAAAAGTTCCTTGAAAATTGAAAACTATTTATTTACATCAAGTAAATGATTTTGGTACAGTGTTATGTTTGATTTACATTGCAAACATAATTCTAGAGCCATGGCTCTAAAGAAAAGACATTTAAATATATTTTTAAAAATAATACAATGTACTTTAATTGCAACTACTAGTACCAATTAAGCGTTACATGGAAGTTTGAAATCCAATTTTTTGTCTTTGTTCCTTCATGATTATGCAAGGTGAAAGCATAATTAAGTGATCTAGATATCGTATAGAATTGAAAGACGGTAGAATTGTTTGATCAATTATGTTTCAGATAGAGAGAATTTGTATGTTTCAATTTTTTTTTATTATCACAGATCTTACTGTGTCAGCAAAATTTTTAATGTGTCGCACAGATAAAATTTGAATCTTTACTGTGTCGGAGAACATTTTTCTGTGTCAGGACCAACACAGTAAAACGGCTCATGGAGAACCCTGCTTGTTAGGGTGTTAATCATGCAAACCTATCCACCACAAGCACTAATCATGCACTAACTAACAAATACCTTAATTACAATAATAACCTACACTCCTCTAAGCTGTCTAACTATCAACTAAAGCCTACTTACTAACTCAAACTACAACACAACTGCACCTACCGGAAATACGATACAAACTAAACCTAAGACTAAGAAACACCTTTGTAACGCTACTTACAACTACTATACACCCCATACTTTCTGAATGCAGCAGAAAAAACTCCAGACTGACCTTCAGAGGTGGCTATCTCTGCTTCCTGTCAATTCAAACTCAAGAGGTCAAAGCCTGAAAAAGCCAACATCAATTGGAAAGCTATAATATTGGGAAAAGGTGCTCAGAGGTCAAGTATGAATCTTACCGCACTTTCTGCTCATGAACGCTGTTAAATGGGAGAGGGACTGCTCTTCACTTAGGATCCTGGTCAGCCTCAAATTTCTTCGGCTTAAAAAGAGACAACAAACACATCAAAGGAGAATCACTCACATTCCCTAACAAATGACAAACTTCATTTGAATAATCAATTTGTTACTTACAACCTTGAGCCATATTGGTTGCTGCATAGAGATGGGAAATGGACTCGTCATCTCGTCTTCCTCTGTTGGTCGACCTTGCTCCTCCATCGTTGTTCCTCTTCCGAGTCCCTGAAAGTATAAAACAGGCACAATGTTAGTAAAACTTCAAAAGAATGCAACAAATCACGAAAAGTTACTTACCACTTTGGGCCATGTTGGCTGCTGTATAGAGATGGGAAATGGACTCGTCATCTCGTCTTCCTCTGTTGGTCGACCCTGCTCCTCCATCGTTGTTTCTCTTCCCAGTCCCTGAAAGTATAAAACTGGCACAATGTTAGTAAAACTTCAAAAGAATGCAACAAATCACGAAAAGTTACTTACCACTTTGGGCCATGTTGGCTGCTGTATAGAGATGGGAAATGGACTCGTCATCTCGTCTTCCTCTGTTGGTCGACCCTGCTCCTCCATCGTTGTTCCTCGTCCGAGTCCCTGAAAGTACAAAACTGGCACAATGTTAGTAAAACTTCAAAAGAATGCAACAAATCACGAAAAGTTACTTACCACTTTGGGCCATGTTGGCTGCAACAAATGTTACTTACCACTTTGGGCCAGATGGGAAATGGACTCGTCATCTCGTCTTCCTCTGTTGGTCGACCCTGCTCCTCCATCGTTGTTCCTCTTCCGTGTCCCTGAAAGTATAAAACTGGCACAATGTTAGTAAAACTTCAAAAGAATGCAACAAATCACGAAAAGTTACTTACCACTTTGGGCCATGTTGGCTGCTGTATAGAGATGGGAAATGGACTCGTCATCTCGTCTTCCTCTGTTGGTCGACCTTGCTCCTCCATCGTTGTTCCTCGTCCGAGTCCCTGAAAGTATAAAACTGGCACAATGTTAGTAAAACTTCAAAAGAATGCAACAAATCACGAAAAGTTACTTACCACTTTGGGCCATGTTGGCTGCTGTATAGAGATGGGAAATGGACTCGTCATCTCGTCTTCCTCTGTTGGTCGACCTTGCTCCTCCATCGTTGTTCCTCTTCCGAGTCCCTGAAAGTATAAAACTGGCACAATGTTAGTAAAACTTCAAAAGAATGCAACAAATCATGAAAAGTTACTTACCACTTTGGGCCATGTTGGCTGCTGTATAGAGATGGGAAATGGACTCGTCATCTCGTCTTCCTCTGTTGGTCGACCTTGCTCCTCCATCGTTGTTCCTCTTCCGAGTCCCTGAAAGTATAAAACTGGCACAATGTTAGTAAAACTTCAAAAGAATGCAACAAATCACGAAAAGTTACTTACCACTTTGGAGCATGTTGGCTGCTGTATAGAGATGGGAAATGGACTCGTCATCTCATCTTCCTCTGTTGGTCGACCTTGCTCCTCCATCGTTGTTCCTCGTCCGAGTCCCTGAAAGTATAAAACTGGCACAATGTTAGTAAAACTTCAAAAGAATGCAACAAATCACGAAAAGTTACTTACCACTTTGGGCCATGTTGGCTGCTGTATAGAGATGGGAAATGGACTTGTCATCTCGTCTTCCTCTGTTGGTCGACCCTGCTCCTCCATCGTTGTTCCTCTTCCGAGTCCCTGAAAGTATAAAACTGGCACAATGTTAGTAAAACTTCAAAAGAATGCAACAAATCACAAAAAGTTACTTACCACTTTGGGCCATGTTGGCTGCTGTATAGAGATGGGAAATGGACTCGTCATCTCGTCTTCCTCTGTTGGTCGACCTTGCTCCTCCATCGTTGTTCCTCTTCCGAGTCCCTGAAAGTATAAAACTGGCACAATGTTAGTAAAACTTCAAAAGAATGCAACAAATCACGAAAAGTTACTTACCACTTTGGGCCATGTTGGCTGCTGTATAGAGATGGGAAATGGACTCGTCATCTCGTCTTCCTCTGTTGGTCGACCTTGCTCCTCCATCGTTGTTCCTCGTCCGAGTCCCTGAAAGTATAAAACTGGCACAATGTTAGTAAAACTTCAAAAGAATGCAACAAATCACGAAAAGTTACTTACCACTTTGGAGCATGTTGGCTGCTGTATAGAGATGGGAAATGGACTTGTCATCTCGTCTTCCTCTGTTGGTCGACCCTGCTCCTCCAAGTCCCTGAAAGTATAAAACTGGCACAATGTTAGTAAAACTTCAAAAGAATGCAACACATCACAAAAAGTTACTTACCACTTTGGGCCATGTTGGCTGCTGTATAGAGATGGGAAATGGACTCGTCATCTCGTCTTCCTCTGTTGGTCGACCTTGCTCCTCCATCGTTGTTCCTCCTCCGAGTCCCTGAAAGTATAAAACTGGCACAATGTTAGTAAAACTTCAAAAGAATGCAACAAATCACGAAAAGTTACTTACCACTTTGGGCCATGTTGGCTGCTGTATAGAGATGGGAAATGGACTCGTCATCTCGTCTTCCTCTGTTGGTCGACCTTGCTCCTCCATCGTTGTTCCTCTTCCGAGTCCCTGAAAGTATAAAACTGGCACAATGTTAGTAAAACTTCAAAAGAATGCAACAAATCACGAAAAGTTACTTACCACTTTGGAGCATGTTGGCTGCTGTATAGAGATGGGAAATGGACTCGTCATCTCGTCTTCCTCTGTTGGTCGACCTTGCTCCTCCATCGTTGTTCCTCTTCCGAGTCCCTGAAAGTATAAAACTGGCACAATGTTAGTAAAACTTCAAAAGAATGCAACAAATCACGAAAAGTTACTTACCACTTTGGGCCATGTTGGCTGCTGTATAGAGATGGGAAATGGACTCGTCATCTCGTCTTCCTCTGTTGGTCGACCTTGCTCCTCCATCGTTGTTCCTCTTCCGAGTCCCTGAAAGTATAAAACTGGCACAATGTTAGTAAAACTTCAAAAGAATGCAACAAATCACGAAAAGTTACTTACCACTTTGGAGCATGTTGGCTGCTGTATAGAGATGGGAAATGGACTCGTCATCTCGTCTTCCTCTGTTGGTCGACCCTGCTCCTCCATCGTTGTTCCTCTTCCGAGTCCCTGAAAGTATAAAACTGGCACAATGTTAGTAAAACTTCAAAAGAATGCAACAAATCACGAAAAGTTACTTACCACTTTGGGCCATGTTGGCTGCTGTATAGAGATGGGAAATGGACTCGTCATCTCGTCTTCCTCTGTTGGTCGACCTTGCTCCTCCATCGTTGTTCCTCGTCCGAGTCCCTGAAAGTATAAAACTGGCACAATGTTAGTAAAACTTCAAAAGAATGCAACAAATCACAAAAAGTTACTTACCACTTTGGGCCATGTTGGCTGCTGTATAGAGATGGGAAATGGACTTGTCATCTCGTCTTCCTCTGTTGGTCGACCTTGCTCCTCCATCGTTGTTCCTCTTCCGAGTCCCTGAAAGTATAAAACTGGCACAATGTTAGTAAAACTTCAAAAGAATGCAACAAATCACGAAAAGTTACTTACCACTTTGGGCCATGTTGGCTGCTGTATAGAGATGGGAAATGGACTCGTCATCTCGTCTTCCTCTGTTGGTCGACCTTGCTCCTCCATCGTTGTTCCTCGTCCGAGTCCCTGAAAGTATAAAACTGGCACAATGTTAGTAAAACTTCAAAAGAATGCAACAAATCACGAAAAGTTACTTACCACTTTGGAGCATGTTGGCTGCTGTATAGAGATGGGAAATGGACTCGTCATCTCGTCTTCCTCTGTTGGTCGACCTTGCTCCTCCATCGTTGTTCCTCTTCCGAGTCCCTGAAAGTATAAAACTGGCACAATGTTAGTAAAACTTCAAAAGAATGCAACAAATCACGAAAAGTTACTTACCACTTTGGGCCATGTTGGCTGCTGTATAGAGATGGGAAATGGACTTGTGATCTCGTCTTCCTCTGTTGGTCGACCTTGCTCCTCCATCGTTGTTCCTCGTCCGAGTCCCTGAAAGTATAAAACTGGCACAATGTTAGTAAAACTTCAAAAGAATGCAACAAATCACGAAAAGTTACTTACCACTTTGGGCCATGTTGGCTGCTGTATAGAGATGGGAAATGGACTCGTCATCTCGTATTCCTCTGTTGGTCGACCCTGCTCCTCCATCGTTGTTCCTCTTCCGAGTCCCTGAAAGTATAAAACTGGCACAATGTTAGTAAAACTTCAAAAGAATGCAACAAATCACGAAAAGTTACTTACCACTTTGGGCCATGTTGGCTGCTGTATAGAGATGGGAAATGGACTTGTCATCTCGTATTCCTCTGTTGGTCAACCTTGCTCCTCCATCGTTGTTCCTCTTCCGAGTCCCTGAAAGTATAAAACTGGCACAATGTTAGTAAAACTTCAAAAGAATGCAACAAATCACGAAAAGTTACTTACCACTTTGGGCCATGTTGGCTGCTGTATAGAGATGGGAAATGGACTCGTCATCTCGTCTTCTTCTGTTGGTCGACCTTGCTCCTCCATCATTGTTCCTCTTCCGAGTCCCTGAAAGTATAAACTGGCACAAGATTAGTAAGACTTCAAAACAATGCAACAAATCACAAAAATTCAAGTGAATAAAATCAGTACAACACAATTCGTTGAAAAATCAGAAAACAATGACAGTGAATTCAGGAAGACGAATGAGGGGGAAAGGGAAAGGGATGGTTAGTTATGTTAGAGTCAGCAGGGGCCAGGGGGTAGGGGAAAGAAGGGAGAAAATCAAAAATACTTCCATATAAGCTTCCTTTGCTGTTGCTGTGGCTTCTGGTGATGTTTCTTCTGAACTGTCTCAGCATTTCTGCTTCCTGTCAATTCAAAATCAATAGGTCAAAGCCTGACAAAGCCAACATCAATTGGAAAGCCAAAATACTGGGAAAAGGTACAAAGAGGTCAAGTATGAATCTTACCCCATTTTCTGCTCATGAATGCTGTTAAATGGGAAAGGGACTGCTCCTCACTTCAGGATCCTGGTCAGCCTCAAATTTCTTCTGCTCTTATAAAGAGAAAACAGACACATCATAGGGGAGACACTCTCATTTCACATGAAGTATGAAACTTCATTTAAAAGCATAGATAATCAAAGATTATGAAGCTCACCTCGACGAATGTTATCAGTTTAAGTAATGCAAATCTCACATCATATTTCCTTAACAGTTAGTATTTATCCTGACAACAATATTCAAGCAAATTCTGTTTAAATAGGTTTTAAAGTTCATTGAGGATTGACATTTTCCAAATACTTGAACCTGGTCACTTGTTTGAAGAATGCAGGTCAGATCCAGCATCCGAAGCAAGTTTCAAATGTCCAACATTAGATGCATCATCCATGCAAGTTTGGTCAGGGTAGAGCTGAGTTGGGAATAATTTCATCACTCAACTGGAAAAAGTAGGTCAGATCAAACATCCGAAGCAAGTCTGGTAGTGTCCATTCCTAGATGCATCATCCATGCTTGTTTGGATCGGGTAGGACTTACAGTTTCTTGGGAATGGACCTGCTCCAAAAACCTTAACCTGGTCACTCATCTGGAAAATGTGGGTCAGATCCAGCATCCGAAGCAAGTCTGGTAGTGTCCATTCCTAAACGCATCATCCATGCAATTTTGGTCCAGGTACGACTTATACTTACTAGAACATGGACTTGCTCCTAAAACTCGACCATGGCACAAATGCTAACCCTGAGGCTGGTGTCAGGGTATAGCATAACTACATCTTGACTTTGTCGAGGTAAGTTCAAGTTCAAAATAAAGCTTTAAGGTAAAAAAAAATTTTGCGTTTGAATAACCTTCATCAATATCTCTAATTTGATTGTGATCATTCAACAGGTTAATAGTTATATTAGAATGACTATTTCCAAATATTTCCTTGCTCCAAAAATTTTGACTCTTTCACTCATCCATAAAATGTAGGTTGGATTCAGAATCTAAAGCAAGCCTGGTAATGGATCCATGAAAGATTGGTCAAAATAGGCCTTATAGTTACTTGGAAATGAGACTAGTTCAAAAAACTTTTAACCTAGTCACTCATATTAAAAATAAAGGCCAGATTCAGCATCCGAGGCAAGCCTGGTAGTGTACTTCCATATATTTTATTTTGGATGTACATGTTCGATTCTTGTAAGTTTGGTCAAAATACTTGGAAATGACACCTGCTTCAAAAACATTAACCTGATCATTCTTTTAAATTAGCTGAAATTGCAGTCTCTGAAACCCTGGTTGGTACAATGAAACATACTTGAAGCATCTTACATGCATCCCTTAGGGGCTAGGGCATAGATGTACTTAAAAAGAAGTCTGCTCCAAAAACTTTCATCTGGGACACCAACACTTGCACTGATCCCATGGGTGTTACTAATATTCCTGTCCACTTCATATTGGTGAGCAAAAAAATGATTAAAATGCATATATTTTATGCCATCTCTGAATTGATGAATAAATTTATGCAAGTAAAATGTCATGCCGACAACCTCACCGCTTGATTTCCAGCAGAATCCAGAAAGGGGGCAAAACATCATTTGGCTGGGCTATTCCGTTTGAGAAAAAAGTGACATTTGGTTGAAATTTTAAAAAAACCTATAATTTTGTCATTTTTCTATTTATGTAAATAAATAATAGTTTATCTTTTATTTGCAAGGTACTCATTGACTTTTTTACTTGCATATGATGTATTAAGGTACAGGAGTACCTCCCTCTTTTTCAAAAGGGAGGGGAATTTAGTGTGGTATGAGTGTGTGCAGGTATGTGTTAACTTGACACTGTGTGCGATGCGCAAGTGTGAGTAAGTTGTCGTCTGTTGTGCATGGTGGTGTGTAGATCTAGTCACTTGTACTGCAGGAGAGATTGCGTATTATAATATCGTAAGTCTTGTATGATTAATGCTGAATACAAACATAAACAATTACTATCATTGTCAGTTTATACATACAATACTTCAACATTCACTCAATCAGTATTTGGAGCACATCGTTAATATATTTATTTGAACATCAATTAGATTATACATTACAGAGTCCAAATATTTTATAACCAAAGAACTATATGCGGTATTAACCAACATTTGCCCCCCAAAATCAAACTTTGATGGAGTAATATTTAATTAAGTCCTTAAACAGGGGAGTATATGCTGACTTCAAAGCACAGAATAATTTCATAAGTAATGACGTCATATGTACGTAATGACGTCACAAATATGACGTAATTTCAGTTTTTTATGAATTTTGCAGAAAAATGTACATATTTCGTCGATATTTTAAATAAAAGTCACCGAGCGCATGTGTGTTCAGGATAAATATTTTGATATAATGTGTGGAATGATAATATCAATGAAATATGTCAATATTGTTCCTGAACACACATGCGCTCTATAAATTTTAAAGCTTAAATTGTTGAAATTTTGTCCATTTTGTCCTCTTTCTGGAAAAGGATATAAAATCGGACTAGTTTGTGACGTCATAAAAACAGAAATTGTGAATACACTGCTCTGGAACTATAATATTTTCTGTTAACTTATATTTCTCGTACAATTTATTGAATTCAGCACATTTCAGAAGTTTTCAAAATTTGACTTTTGTGGGGGCAAACATATGCAATATACCGCATATAGTTCTTTTGCTTGTTTTGATTGTCTGTTGGAAATTTTCTTTGGTGAAATTTGGAAAACACATACTTTTTGCCATTATGAATGGAGCAAAAAACAGGCCCCTTCGACACCCTAAAAATGCCTGTCAGTAAAAATATTTGCATTATCAATACACAGTTGATTCAGGGCAAAGTTAACCCCACTTAGGATCTGATGTCCCAAACTTATGCAGAGTCTAAAAGCACAATACATTTTCAAACGATATTTCACTTTTTTGTTTTATAGATTAATTCACCTGTAGGTTTTAAGCTGTCCCTTTCCGCAGCTTAAAAATACTTTATCAATACGTGCATCTGAATCCGACAAATGTTATTTCAAATAATGTTAACTGTTTTCCCCAACCAACTCACCTGACCGTCCACTGACGCCAAATTTGCTGTTCGCGCCACATGTCAAAATTTAAAACTCACAATTTCGATCCCGATGCAAATAAATTACAAATGCATGCAAGAAACAAATAATAAATTTATGTATTAATCAATCCCCCAATTATAAAACAATTTTAGCAGTTAATCTAGAATATGCTCTACCTCTGGGCAGGACAAAATATTTATGTCTCAAACCTGTCTTGTTATATAAGCGACATTGCTAGGTTACTGGAGGGGGGGGGGGGTCTGAGATAAAATAAATAAATGCGTTTCAATTTTTCATGTATTCGGTTGATTTTTATGGATTCTATTGCATTTTGAAAATGTGAAAAACCTCTTAACCGAAAGCCTTTTTTATTTTAATGTATATTTGTAAGATTAAATGCGACGAATATATATCCTGCCCTATTTATTCCCTTGTAACTACATTTCCCCTAAAATTGCAGACTATTTTGAGTCATTTGTAAAACTATCTACAGCTGTCTAAGGAGATCTGGAAGTTGTGTCGTTTGACCACTGACCAGGGAAAATACCCTTTGAAAATGGCGGGGATGTCAAAATATACAACCTTCCTCAGAGAAATTAAACAAATTCTTAAATATTTTTTATTACAACAGCTTTAGAATATTTACCTCAATTTTTGATCATCTCTGGGCTCCTGTAATGCACTTTTGACTGAAAAATTTAATGAACTGATCTGAAAGTCTGCTGCGCAGTTACCTGTTACTGCTTTGTGAATTCAGTTGTGAATTATGTTCAAACATCATGCTCACGTGATTTAATTACGTATTCATCATTCATTACACTACTGCGGTCATTAAATCGTGAAATATAAACTAACGCTGCGAGTACACAATTTTTTTGTTACATGTATATTGTAAATTTCAACAGAAAATCTTGTGCGTGGGTATTTTAATAAACTTTTTAAAATTACAGTCATGAATTACATTTATATGTAACAGTTATGTTTATTCAAAATAATATACCGGTATAAACATACACTGTAGACGGTAAAATATTCATGAATATACTTTACTATATAGGGTATATCAATCTATAATTGCTTGCATGCTTATTTTGAGTGCAGAATACCAAGTCATAATTATATTATATTTTAAGATTAAAAGCATGGCCTAGACTCCCAATCATAAAAGGACTAGGACACAATAAGTAGGCCAAGATTTTTCCTCAAATTCAATTTTTCTGAAACTTTGATATTTTGTTCTAGGATACAAAATCTCTCTTTATATATGATATGAAAGAAATTCAACCACACATTTTTTGCCCACATAGTCTGAAATATGGCCTATCATTTGGTAAAAAAAAAGTATTTCTTTAAAAAAAAAAAAAGTGGTCCATCCGGGACCTGAACTCAGGACCTCTCACATGCGAAGCGAGAAACATACCACTAGACCACGGAATCGCTTTACATGGCATTAAGTATATTTGAATTTAAACATATTTTATTGATATAATCAATTGGATCAGACACAAGTTTTTCCAACTTAGAATGTCCTCTCCAACACAGAAAAGATAAATTTATATACACGTGATGAACAACAAATAAATCTACAATGCAAAAAAGGAAGAAAAGGGTGCAGAGAGATAAGAAAGGTAGGGAATAGGAGTGCAAGGAAAGATGAAAGAAGGAAGGGGATGTAAAGGATACAGAATGGTTACGATTACTGTTCAAAAAATCTTTTCGAATTTTTAATATACTTATGTACGGCTTTAACAATATTGATATTATTTTGTTGACCCAAGTTTGGGTCCCCAAAAAGAATTTTATCAAGGTCTTTTTCTCCTTTGTTATTTTCTATAGTATGGAATAATTCTCTTCTTATTTCAGTATAATTTTTACAATAGAGGATGAAATGCTCAGTGTTTTCATTGATATATCCACAAGAACACTGGGTATTGTCTGAAAGTCTAAACTTAAAAAGATCTGACTTAAGGAGGCTTACATTGTGTCTCATTCTGGTTAAAATTGAATTAATTTTTTTTGTTGCCATAAGAAAGATATTTTGGGGGAGGATCACCTTTAGAGAGTCTCTTTTTAAAAGCATTTATAGTGTCAAGGTTTCTAGTCTCAGTAGGCAATGCATTCCATGCTGATATTGTAGATGGAAAAAATGAGTTTTTTAATAAATTTGTTCTACATTGGGGAATAACAATGTTATTACTATTTCGTAGATCATAATGGGTAGTTTGAGAGACTTCATTAAGTACATGAAGAAGTGAAGTCACATACATGTAGATATTCATGTTCGGTATTGTCAAAATTTTACGCAATCCATGGTGTTTGATTTACTTAGCCTTTATTAAATTAAACAGTTCTAATAGATGTAATAAGAACAAAATGTCCGCCGAGAACCTGTTTTATACGCAATAACTCTCCTCATGCCCCTGTGCTAGAAATAGCGACATGTAATACTATAAATACTAATAAAACAAACGGGGTGGGGCACTTTGAGAGGGGTGAGAGAGGTCCTAGGGAGTTTTGGTATAAAATTACATTGCATAAGCTCAAAATCTTCCTGAAATATCGCCCGGAAATGATAGTGTTACACATAGACAGAATGTATAAATACGACCTTGAACTTTGACCCTTTGACCTCAAAATCAATGGGGGTCTTCATTGGGCCACAGGGAGTTGCTATGTAAAATTTCATTGCAACAGCTCAAATGGTTGTAGAGATACGAAAGCGAAAGTGTTACAACAGACAGAATTTGCTTATTTATGACCTTGACCTTTGACTTTTTGACCTCAAAATCAATATGGGTCTTCTATAGGGAGTTGCAATGCTAAATTTCATTGCAAAAGCTCAAAGGGTTCTCGAGATATCGTGTGGAAACGAAAGCGTTACAGACAGACAGAAAGATGGACGGACAGAGGGACGGATAAACGGGGGACAATAATAGTTTGGAATATAATTGCCATATAGAAGTTTGATTAAAATTAATATCCCCCACTTTTCTAGCGGGGGACAATAATAGTTTGGAATATAATTGTTGGGTCATATAGAAGTTTGATTAAACCCGCACTGGGGCACCAATAAAGGTTCTTAGTTATAAATGAATATTTTTCACACATACACACAAAAAAAAATTCCAACATTAATTGTTTAATTTGTTTTACAACTTTTTTTCTTCAGAGTTCTTTAATTTCAGACTCCTAAGAAATTTAAAAGATTGAAATCTTGCGTGAGAATTTGGCCAAATGCTCACTAGAGCATGGCTTTACTTTTGTATTTTTTTTTATCTTGGAATAGTCGCCAGCTTGGCATAGTGATAGAGCGTCTGCAAATACATGAGTTGCGAAGGAGCTGATCCTTACGTCGCGGATTCGAATCCCATTGTGGGACGTTCAGACCGTTCCTTCGGATAAGACCGTATAAACCGAGGTCCCGTGTCACAGTAGATGCTGGCAAGTAAAAGACCCCTCACTGCTCAATGGCTCGAGTGTCAAGTACAGGTCAAAATTTGCGGTTCTCCACCGGCAACTGGTAGCATCTCCATATGACTTAAAAATTCTAAAGAATGACGTAAAACAACAAACAATTTTGGAATAATTTTGGGGTGCTTCTTTGCTAGTTATCCATGTTTAAAGGAGAGTACCTTGGAGGTAAAACACTACTAGTATACTACATAATGCTAGACCCCCTGACATAGGGGCACGATAATAGAAATTTGGGAAGAGGCACCATTGGTCATCATAACCATGCATTTGGTATCCTTTCTGAATAACAATTGGCAGAAAAGAAGCCGCTGACTACGGGATATGAATTTGAAACTTGCTGAAGACATAAAAAAAATCCATATTTAATACACCCATCCATTACGAACCTCTGACCCTGGGGAAATAAATTAATTTTTTTTGGAAGAGGCATCCCTGCCCTCATAACCAAGCACTTAGTTCATCTAAATACCCAGGGACAGAGAAAAGATTTTGAAATAATAATGGAATTTCGCTGTATAGTCAATGCTGGTATAGACTATCGTACACCAAAACCCCTGACCCTGAGGCCAATTTATTTCCAATTTTGGAAGATTCGTGTGACCCCAAAACCAGAAACAGTTACCCCTTGTGAAACAAAGACCAGAACAATGATTTTTATTTTTTTTTACATTTATTGACTGGAGATTGGTGTGAGGTGATATTTATGACAATAATGTCAGGACTTCATCTACTTCTGTCTACTTAAAAAAATACCTTCATCTTATAATTCAATTCACAATTTCTTCAAAAAACTATGCTTACAAAAATGTTAATAAATAAGATGAAGATAGTTTTCTTGATAAGAAATTACATTTTAACTATCAAGCAGAACCAATATAAATAACCTCAATAGGACTGAACACTTTTTAAAAAAAATTGAAATACATGTGTACAATTGAATTATATTTTGTTTGAAAAATGTGTAGCAGGATACGCTCCTTCAAATTGAAACTTAGAAATTATGGTCTGTTATTCTGATAATTCATACATCTCATTTTTTCTGAACAATTTCATTCAATTTGGTGCATAAAATGTTCTTTAAATTTTCATTGACTAGGTAAATGACAGAAAATTAACTTTCAGATAAATACATGTGTATAAAAAAGATGCTTGACACTCACATTTATTAAATGTTGATAAGTGCATATTCTGAACATTGTTTATAGATGAAGTGCATAGGGTACATTAAAAGAGCTATCTACCAGAGATATGGTGATGAACACAGAGAGTAATCCCGTGACAGGGACGCAGAGATCCAAAAAATCTACCTGTTGACTGAAATATTAAAATCTACTAGGTACATAGGTGATACAAGCTGAGATCAAATTTTGTCATGTTTTGGGACACTGGTCTTGCATACTGACTATGTTTTCAAGGCTGCTGTATATGTATATATTGTTTGTATGTATAACTCAAGTCTACTGTGCATACAGTCACCAATTTGTCAAAAATCAAATGAAGTGTTTTCAACCCTGTATATCTGGGCATATGATGATAACTATAAACCAATACTGAATAAGAGAAAAAGAACAATGTTTAGCATACCCCCCATCCCTGACTCATGAAATGTTAAATTTTGTATGCCAAAGTTAGAAACAATTTTAAACTCTAATTCCCCACCATATTACTGATTGCAAGTTTTTTCAGATTTGCTAAGTTTGCATAGCCAATCATACAAAAGCATTTGACAAAAAATTAGCAACATTTTGAAATTACACTTCTCATTCATTTTTTCCCAAATTGAACAATCTTTCAAACATGTGTTTCTTCCCTACTGTACATTTGTAAATACAATCACTCTTATAAAAATTAGGTATTACCATAATTCGCATCTTTCCAAGAAAATACATTATTAGTAATTTATATGCCATGGAAGACAATAACCATTAGTTTAATACTACATTGTTGATAAATAAATACTAGGTTTTTTGTCTTAAATATACGAGTAATGCTTATGTGGTGCAGAAAATGAATAAATATACATACATGAATAGATATATTTATGATATATGAATAAACACTAAATGCATTTGCAACAAAGTTAAATGTTCACATTATCTTTGTTTATAAAAATAGAACAACAGGGGAATGAAGCAACTCTAGAAATATATTTAAGTAAAATTATGAATACATGTATTCTATTTTTGTTCAGCAACAATGAAGTTCAGTATTTCTTATTGCATTTTGGTGTATGCTCAGCACACAAGATTTGTCTTTGAAGATCAGAATCAAACAATGCAAGAATATTTATAAATATAAAAGATTAAGGACATATTTTCAGGTGATGTTATGTTTGTTCTTTCTAGATTCTTGTTTCAAATAAAAAAGATGGTAATATCTTTGTAGGGTGAACTATAATAATCTAAAGTTGTTCGATGTTTCAACAATGTCTCTAAATGACCAAAAATCTCAAAGAATTTATGTAATACATAGTTTCAATGAATAATTTTTTCCTCATTGGGAAAGCTAGGATAATTTTTCTCATATAAAGATTTACCTATATTAAAGTTCAAACAATTAAGCAAGGATTTTAGTGAAAAACTCTCAAACTTCTCAAAAGAAGTTACAAAATACACATGTAAATCATCAACATATGACAAACCTTTCTTGGGTCCACCTTTTAAAATTCTTTGGTTGCCCTCTCCTGACTAGGTCTGACAATATTGGGTCAGCAGGCAGATGAGAATTTTTTTCTCTAATAAAGAAAATTTCAATGCTATTTTTTTTATTCTATTTTCCAGAGTACTTAAAAAAATAACTGTTTCTTTTAAAAGTAAAAAAAATTGAGTTGGGTCATTTTTAGCCAGTAGGTCAAGACAGGGCAACCAACAATTTTTAATGATGGCCTGGGGTTTTAAAAATATATAGCTCTGTTAGATGTTATTTCAATAGACCACAAAATTATCATCTGTTTTTATCTCGAAATTTCTTCCTATTCCAAAAAAAAAAAAAAATGATCTTAAACCACAAATAATCTAACATTCACAGCATCTTAAGATGCCTGATATGTGTAAATATTAACTTATTAACCTGGATGACTCTGTTACTATGATAATAATAATACATGTATTATCATATACTGTACATACAATTTCTACTCTCTTTTCAACATTAAATTCAAACCAGCTTTTTTCTAACATAAAGTTGCAAAAAATAACTTTCTTCCACCATTATTACATCCATTCTGTTAAATTACATTCTCAACTACAATTCAGGTTATTTCATTTCCAACTATTAAACTATCAAATCATTTGGCAACGTGTGTATGTTATTAAGAGCTAATCAACTATAACATAAGGCAATTCCAAGTTTTTTCCATGTTTAGCATCCACATGCACCTATTCAACACCCCAGATCAGGGGGAAAAAAACAGGAGTCCTGTAATTTATTCTTTAGGACAAATTCTTTGAAGTCTGCCAATTTCTTTTTATATATGTCTAAATTCTGTTAAAAAATAAGGAAAAACCTCAGCATTTAATACCTTGAATTTTTTAACTTAAAAGAACAAATATCTCTTCAAGATCAAATCCTTTGAATGATGTCCCTTTTTGAAGCCTATAAGGTATTGGCTTCATTTTTGGCTTGTGTGTGAATTTTATAAGTAGTTGGGAAGGTTTTTGAAAGATGGGTGGACATTAAATATAGAAAAATCTTAAAATGACCTGAGGAGAATCAATAGAACACACACAAAAAACAAACAACAGTACAGTTTGTTTCATAAAACAGAAAAAAATGTATACAATTATATTATCTTCAATGGATTGGTAAATGAAAAACAAGGACTATTACACAAAAAAAGTTTGTTTTTTTCCTTTCAAACAAATCCTGTAAGTAAACACAAACAGTAAACATTAAACAAACAATTGTAAAACAATGTCAGTATAAGGTATGACTTCCAAAGTGTAAATAATAAAATACATAAAACATGAGTTCACAATCATAAATATATATTTTTAAACATTTTCTTTATGAATTTTTGACACAAAAAAAATAATAATAAAAATCTATACTAAATTCCTGATTTTTCATTTTTTTTTCTTTAACACTGGACTATACAAAGTGTGTATCAGACATTTCCAGTGGCTAATGCATGTAAGATTCTTGTCCATAAGTCCTTTCGACAGGACTTTGACCTTCTAAGGCTCTGTAGTAGTTCTTGAAATTGGACCAGGCCCCCAGGTGTAAGGCAGAAGGCGTTTCTGGCACTGCAGATAGTGCTGATAAAGTCCTCGTAGTCTGACTGGTTTATATGATGGATTTTCTGATGAGCACATTGATTAAACCTAAGAAGAAAAGCAAACAAAATAATTTTTACAGTGATTAATTTTTCTGATTTTCTAATGCACATAATAAAAAAGAAATGATTTTATTCTTAACACCTTTTCTAATTTTGTAAATATCTAAAGTATTTGAACCTATAAATATTTTGAATATTAAGCTAACAAATCTGATCTGATATTACTATAATTAACAAAGTAACAGAACATTTTTCTAAGTACTTACATATTGAGGCATTTCTGTATGAGTGGATTAAGGATGTTAGATCTCATGTGATTCTGAACTACAACAGGGTTACTCCTAGCCAAGACATGGGCTGCCTCTATAGCAATGTCATACAGTATAAAGGGGCTGACCACCGCATTCACGGCACTGGCACAAAACTGCTGTAGGTAGTTGATTCCTGAAAAAGATGACAAGAATAATTAAAGTGCAATGAAAAATTTGCACTTTATACCAACTCCTTAATGACTTATTTAATCACTGCAGTTAGAAATACATCATAGGTACTGGTGGAATCATTTTAATTTATGGGGTTCAACCAAAGGAGTATATATGATAAGAGCCAATGCTGGCCCCCTAAAAGTCAACATTTTAGACTGACATTCAGATATGTTTAATTGATATTTATTTTGAAGAAAAGATTATATTAGAAATATTTCTAATATATTTTTCACATTTATATGCACTACCTAGCTGTAAATGACATGGGAAATAATGCTATTTTTGCTCTCTAGCAAAAAAGCCAAAAATATGCCTTTTTCTTGATGTTTTTTTCTTATGGGAAACATAGAGCGCAGTGTAGAACATACATAATTTTTCTGTTACTAATCAGTATTGGATAGATACATCTTTGGTAAAAATATAAATCTTGTTCTAGGCTGCGCTCTATATTTTCTGGAAGAAAAACTGCTTGAAAATAAGCAGTTTTATACAAAATATGCTAAAATGGCGGGAAAACGTGACTTTTATGATGTCATATTTCTAAAATAACGGCATTTTGATCAAAATGAAAATGACCAATAAAGGTCGCATATATTGCTGTACAAATTAAAGCTATATATAAATTAAAATTAAGATATTCATTTTAAGGGGCCAATTGAGACACTTACCATATATCGCTCTTTATACTCTCAATCAACAATGGCCTAACTTCAATCAAAGAGCAACAAATTCAAAGAGTTTTTATCACATTACAGTGTATATAATCTTACCTAATTTGACAGCAATTCCAAGAAGCCACTTGACATCTTCACCATATGGTGGATTACGGGCGTATTTAGTCTGTGGTCTGTCATCATGGACTCTTCTTGATAAGGTCTCCAAAGCCAGCATTCCTACTCTAAAAGAAGCCATGAGATAATTCAGCTGTTTCTCATTGTCCAGATGACTGGGTCCATGATGTCCTTGTGTTGAACCTTGGTGTGGTGGACTTGGAGAATTTGATGCTCCTTCAACCAAGGCTTCAGCCTGGTGTATTGGCTGTGGGGGAGCCCCTCCAGCTGACGATGAAGGGGGGCATTGAATAGGGGTTATCTGACAATGGGAATGAGGGGGAAACACCTGCACTGCTGTACCAAGGGGCCTGAACTGTGGAGGATTTGCAGAGTAGACATTGGGAGCTCCTTGCAGTTGAATATTGTTGAATGGGGGCTGAGTTTGGTATGGGAACGTGACATATGGATGAATATTATGACCATGGATGGGGATATGCTGTGGGGTAAACTGTTGCCCAAATGGTGGAAGCTGCTGGACATAACCTATATGCTGGACCAGAGCTTGATGAGGTAGCTGGTGGTGATTGGCGGGTGGAATTGTGTAGGACAAAACCATGGGTTGGGCTGATAAGGTGGGATTAGCATGGGACATGACCTGATTTGATACTTGATGATTCGAGGAGGATGACATGGGGAGAACTTGTAGTGTCTGTGGACTCTGCCTTTCTGCGCCCAAGGAAGAGGAATTTGAATTGTCACTGTCAAGTTCCACATGAGAATGATTGTGGGATATATTTGAAGTTTCATTTGATTTGGCAGCCTCCTCTGATAACTCAAACCACTGCCTGGCTACATCAAACAGAACTTCAGGATAGACACCTCCTCCTTTTGCAGCGCTTTCTACAGCAAGACAAGCTCTCTCTAACATGTCTCTGCTCTGTTCCTTACACTGGAAGATGGCTCGCTGTACCTCTGATGGGTTGAGAGCCTGAGCATGTGGGAGGCATGACAGTGCCAGGTCAGCCGCTGCCCTCACCATGGCTGGATCACGCCCCCTTGAAGCTTTATCAGCCAATGAAGCAACCTCTGGAGGTGTCAGGTGACCTTCCCAGGTGTCAATCAAAATGTTGATGGCAATGCTTCCTATATCTATTGCTTGACCTGTACAACAAATGTTTTAATACTTAGATAACTGTACATCTATTCATTCCAAAATTTAGGTTAGACATTCTCCTTAAAATTCTACACATATCAATGCTGTCTCATTCTATCTTTCTGAAGATGTAATTAAATAAATGAATTAAAATTGCAAAAAAAAAAAAAAAAACTACATTGATATGACAAACCTGTAATCCAAGACACATGAGAGGAGTATGTTCTGGACAGCCAGTTTGGAGATACACAATTGTTAAGACCCAAGGCATAAACACCAATCTGGAATGCACACAAATGTAAGTTCCGGTGGGGTCCAGTAGTTGTGTTGGTGTTGGTTGGCTGTGTAAATAGTGAGGTGGAGCTATTTCCACCAGCCTTGCCCAATACTGTTTTAGACAGTTCAAACATGAAGTGAGCTATGGCTTCACTTGGCTGGTTAGGCACTGTTGGCATCATCCTGCTCTTACCTTTGAACCTGTAGAAAAAGAAAATGAAAAAAATATCAATGTTCTGTTCCTAATGTCAAATAATTGAAAGCCCTTCATCAAACCATACCAAATAAGAACATCTTTATTCAAACACTTATCAAGTTTAATATTAAATGAAACCAAAGCTGGATGGAAAGAAACTACTGTATACAGGTAAATTTAAGCTCCCCTTTTTATTTTTGCCCCTTTCGCCCTCGTCCCAAATGGGTGAATGTAAAATGGCAAATGCAAAGAAAATGGCATGACCTCTGAAACAGATCTCTGCCTGAGTAAATTCAAAACAGGCAAAATCGTTTGCAGGTGTAAAAGGGTGAAAATAAACCTGCGTACAAATATACAGTATACTCCCAGTTAAGGAGAGTTTGCTACCAACCTGGTATTTTTAACATTTGGTGTACTGCTTCTAGACTCCATAGACAACTGTTGAGACCTGAGTATTGGAGTAGGCATCATTCCTGGTGGACTATAAAAATAATTTAATCTTAGTATCCATTGAATCAATCCATATTTAGGAATTTGCAACCCTCACCACCCCCTTTTTCCAAAAACAACATGAAAATGTACCTATCATTATCCCTCAGTTTGACACGAGGGTCTTTCTCCCCTGAGCTGCTGGAGCCCAGTGAGTCACTGTCAGCACTACTGCCACAGTCACTGCCCGGGCCCTGATGTTTACCCCAAGTCCTCCTGATAAGGGTGGGAGAGTTGTCACTTGACGTGGTCTCTGGGGCACTACTGTCAATACTGGCCATACCTGTTCAGAGATTGTAAAACAAAATATTTTCATGAATGAAAAAATTAATAATTTGTAAATTGTATGAAATATTCAAATAAAAATTTTGAAAAGCTGTCATTTTTTCAGACCTTGAGATGGTTTCTTTTTCTGTGCCATACATCTAAGCTTAGCTTCCAATGCTCTGACTTCATCTTCCTCTTCTACTGCAGAACTATCTGTGTCTTTTCCACTGTAACAAACAAAAAACATTGTGAAAATCAAATACGAAATTTAAACCTGTAAATAAATAATTGTTTTTTAAATTTTTTAAAGAAAGAATGTACAGTGAAACTTCTCCAAACCGGCCCCCCTGGAAACCGGTTCCCCCTAAACATCGGCCGAATTTATAAGTCCCGGCAAAATTCTTAACATTTCTTTACACAACCGGCCACCCCTGAAAACTGGACACCGACCACTTTTCCAAGAACGAAAGTTAAGAAACATAGAAAAATTCCCCTCATCATACCGGCCACTTTTTGATTGCAAGGAATATAATTATTGTCATTGGCCAGAGGGTAATAATGACCGGGCAGAGGTGTGAAAAATACCCACCACTCCAGAAGTCAGAGGTGTGAAAAACAATTAATTGTTAAATTCAATCTAAAAAATTTCATTATTTAAATTTTTATGGTCTTATTAGGGTTTTCTATTTCACAGTTTGAATGTCTTGAAGGGGTAATTATCTTGCCAGACTACGTAAATGGCCGGTCTAAATTATTTACTTATGATTAAGTATCAATTAAACTTGAATTAACAAAATATCAAGCAACTAGTGAATTTAAATCACAGAATGAATTAACAAATTATCGCACGCCATATTGCATCATACTTTTAAAAACACATAAGCGGCCTTAAAAAATGCTGAGAGAAAAAAAAAACAAAAAAAAACAAAATTTTATCAAATATATATATTTTATAATTAAAAGAACATAAGGTTTTGCTCAGAAATGTTTTAATTATTTACTTTTCACTGAAGTATTAACAAATTTTTTAATGACGTAAGCGATAGGCAAATACATTGTACATGCAGTAGGCAGGTCTAGTTAAGGTAAAAGGACTGGTTAATTTCCTCGCATATGGTTAATAAAAGTAACTTTCCATAATTTTTTTTTGTTCTTTTTTTTTAGAATTTCTTTTTATAAAAATCAACAGGCATGTCTAAATTATCCTCACTAATAATAATTTACATTTTTAAAAACTTTTGTAATACATAACGTGTCTGCCATTAATTGGCACGTTGACAAATACTTATAACAGACACCAGTTTTATATATTTCCTAGCATCTGGCAGATAGTTCTGCAATTCTTCAGTATGTTTGATTCTCGGGAAACCGGCCACCCCTCTAGTCCGGCCATTTTATTCAGTCCGGCAGCTGGCCGGCTTAGAGAAGTTTTACTGTATTCTAAAGTGAGCATCAATTGCATAAAAATATGAGCTCAACAAGTATGAATACATCTAATACTCACAAGATACCAAGCATACAAGTTACAACTTCATATCTAAGACAGCCATTACCCAAAGACACAAGAAAACAAATGCCATTTACACGTTCATGTAACGTAAAACAACAAAGATAAACACATACCTATTGTACCTGAGGGGATAAGTAATTTTGGGCCTCGCTCCTGCTGATACTCTACTGGGCCCTGGGTTGACTTCACTAGGAATACTGACAGCTGGCTGAGTACTAGAACCACTCTTGGCTGTGTTTTCTGTCTTGGGGGAATTGGAAGAACCTGCTGCCTCAGCTCCGGCACTAGAAGCCTGAGGACTATGAGGGGTATTTATACTACTGCTAGCAGCGTTTGTGACATTAGATGATGGGGTTTTCACTCCTAAGTAATTAACTAGGCTTGGAGCTTTGTATAACTGGTGGACCTCCTTATCTAACAACTTGTCCATGATCTACAAAACAAATTCAATTAAAATTGAGCACTGTGTTATTTTTCAAATTACCACATACCATTTACTTTTAAATCAAGGATAACATAAAGGTACATTTAAAGTTGTACAGTTTTTACCTTGCTAAGTTTTATCGGGTCATCCTTGTAGTGGACTAACATAGCAATAGCCAGCTCTCCTCTTTGTCTTCTAGTGCTTTCACATAACAGGGGGTGTTCAGCTTCAGAAACATTGGCTTTTAGACCTGCAAAATTTATGCATATATATCAATCAACAATTTTGAAGTTCAAAACTTTATAAATAATTCCATCAAAATTTGCTTTCAAGTAAATTTGTTTGGTAAAGCTTGTTTCTTTTTTACTTGGAATGAAAGTCACACTTTTGAATCACTGTTTCATCCAAACCTATGCACTGATATACAAACAAGAGGCCCACGGGCCTTATAGGTCACCTGAGTATTGTGTAACAACTTTCAAACAATTAAGTTTGGTTCGTGTTTTAAACCAGAGGCCATGAAATTCACAATTCACAATTTTGAAAGAGGCACCATTGCTTATCATAATTATAAACTTAGCATGGTTACTCTATTTACTTAATACCCAGAGGTAGATCAGAGTAACAAAGAGAAAATGCACTTCCACTTTATACCCAGTTGTGCACCTCACCCCAAAGGAACCACTGACCCAGGGGCCACATATTTCAAAATTTTGAAAATTTCATCATAAAATGGTTGATTAATACCAAACAGCTGATTTCAAAGCATTAATTTATTTTCAGACTATATACCCCCGCCCCTTCCCTGACCCAGGGGGCATAAAAAACCACTTTGCTAGATGCACCTTTCCTCATCATAAATATATATACTTGGATCATTGGTATAAAACCCAGAAGCAAAGGTAAATATTTTCAAAGAATTAATGTATTTTTACTATATAATCAATAGAGCCCCGCCCTAACACCAGAACCCCTGACCCTGGGGCCATAAAATTCACAATTTTAGAAGAAGCACTCTTGCCCATCATAACTATGTACTTAGTTAGTTTATTTAATACCCAGGAGCAGAGAAGAAGATTTTCAAAGAAATTAATGCATTTTCACTATATTATCAAAAAAGCCCCGCCCTAACACCAGAACCCCTGACCCTGGGGCCATAAAAGTCACAATTTTGGAAGAGGCACTCTTGCTCATCATAACTATCTGCTTGGTTGGTTTATTTAATACCTAAAAGCAGAGAAGAAGATTTTCAAAGAATTAATGCATTTTCACTATATAATCAATAGAGCCCCGCCCTAACACCAGAACCCCTGACCCTGGGGCCATAAAATACACAATTTTGGAAGAGGCACTCTTGCTCATCATAACTATGTACTTAGTTAGTTTATTTAACACCCAGAAGCAGAGGAGAAGATTTTCAAAGAATAAATGCATTTTCACTATATAAACAATAGAGCCCCACCCTAACACCAGATAGAGCCCCGCCCTAACACCAGAACCCCTGACCCTGGGGCCATAAAATTCACAAATCTGGAAGAGGCACTCTTGCTCATCATAACTATGTACTTAGTTAGTTTATTTAATACCCAGGAGCAGAGAAGAAGATTTTCAAAGAATAAATGCATTTTCACTATATAATATATATAGCCCCGCCCTAGCACTAGAACCCCTGACCCTGGGGCCATGAATTTCAAAATTTTGGTAGAGGACTCAATGCTCATTACATTCATGCCAACAGTTTGCCTGCTTGATGTCCAGGGGTAAAGAAGAAGATTTTTAAAGATTGCAATAATTTTAGTGGTTTTGGCCCCACCCCTCAGGTCCCTGGGGGGTGGGGACCATGAAATTCACAATTTTTGTTCCCCTTCAACCATAGATGCTGTATACCAAATTTGGTTAATTTCAACAATATTTTATTATGATAAACATAATTGGATTGGACAGCAGGCACTGCCTATATAAGTCCTTTCCACAATACAAGGTCAAATCATACATGTACAAGTAAATATTATTAATATAACATTGAAAAATATAAATATATACATGCATATATTCAGTAGAAATGTATATGACAAGGCAAATTAAGGAGAACAAATAAAAAGAGAAATATATGAGCTGATAATATAATTTAAATTTATATTTTAACATATATAACTGGCAATTACATGTGTATATTAATAATTGTATAAATTTTAAAAAAAAATGAATAAGAAAACATAAATAGGTTTTGGTTCTGTGATTTGACAATTGAAAAACAAAAGCAGATAGAATATCATGCAAATCGCTTTGTAGTTGCAATAAATTCTTGAACAAGTTTAAATATTGCAATATTTTGGTTGTATGTAAGATTATTGTCTCCATTTAGAATAAGTTGTAAACATAAAGGCATTGGTAATTGCAAAGTATTAAAGTTTTGTATTAGGTTCTGTCTTTGCATACAGTATTTTGGACAATTCATAAAATAGTGATATGATGTTTCTGAATTAAACCCGCACATGTCACAACTTTTATCTTCCTTTAAAAAATGATTAAATAAGTCAGCATTTAAATTACTAGCATTATTTCGCAACTGACAATGCAATATATTCATTTTACGACTTCCATAATTGTAATATTTCTTAGGTTTTATGCAGTATATATTCTTTATGGCAGTCTTGAATGATGTAAGTGAAGAAAGGTTTCGGATATTAAATGGTAAATTATTCCAAAGTCTTATAGTTGAAGGGAGGAAACTTTTCATGAATGAAGTTGTTTTGGCTTGTGGAATATGAAATGTAAGATTGTCCTGATTCCTTAAGGGATAAGAATTATCTGGAAGAATGCATTGTTGTAATAAATCTTGCAAATACTGGGGTGCTAATCCATACACTATTTTATAAAATAACACTAGTTTATGTATTTTTCTTCTTATTTCAAGAGTATCCCAGCAAAGCTCTTCATAAAGCATTGATCTTGATGAATTGATTCTTAAACCGGTTATTATTCGTGCAGCTGCAACTTGAACATCTTCAAGTAATTTTGCATCTCTTTCTGTACAATTATCCCATACAATATCTGAATATTCAAGAACAGGACGAATAAAAGCAAAATATATTTTTATCAAAGCATCCCTCTTAAGTGTGTGTTTCCAGATTTGGTTGAAACTGGTTCAGTGGTTTCAGAGAAGAAGCTGAAAATGTTCAAATGTTAACACACGACACACAACGCACGACGACGGACGAAAACGGATAGCAATAGGTCACCTGAGTTACTCAGGTGACCTAATAAACAGTTTACAATAAGGTTGCCATTTCATACCAAGTGCTGCTACAGCTCCATCAAATCCAAGTTTTTCATCCACACTTGTCCTAACAGTAATCTGCACAGACCTACTGGGAGGGCGGCTACTGGAACAGCCAACTGGAAACACTGAAACAGTCAAAAGAAATAACATTATGACAAATATTTCCCATTATAATCCAAGGTTTAAATGCAATTTTTAAATAATGATAATTATTCATAGAAAGTACCTGGTAGACATAGAGAGTCAAAGATGAATGTTGCTAAAGTTAGTGGAAGAAGGGCATCTCCACGAGTTTTGAATGTTCCATCTCTCAGCTCTTCAGCTTTCTCTCGTAAAACAGCTATCTCTGCGGGTCCTAACGGAATCTTTTTCAACAGATTCAGTATTTCTGACTCCTGGTAAGCTAATTTTACCTAAAAAGTAATTTGAAATTTAATTACAAACAACTAGTTTTTTTTCTGACCTTTTAAATTAAATTTCAGTACATGTATTAACACATGTATTATTGGAAAGTCAAATATTTACTGTGAAATCATCATTGTTCATGGGTTAGTGGGGCTGTAAGGCCATAAGGGTCTATGGGACTATAGTGCAATTGCCAACATTTTTAATGGGCCATTTTGAAAATGTATTGGCATCTTTACATTCTGACCATGTCGATGATTGGAGTTATTGAAATTTTTAATGGTTAGAGAAAAGTCAGTTATAGATGAACCTCAGACAGGATATATTGTTAGATTGTTATTGTCAGATATTGTTAGATTTGTGAAGTGATTAACAAAAGCAGATCAAATGACTTTCTTTGAATTGGATTGCTATCTTATTATGTGACCATTGCCAAATGCCAATTTTAATGTCATCTACCTCAAGGGCTTTGCTGGATGCTGGGGGTCTTGGCATTTCTAGACCAAACATTCCAACTTTAAATGCTAAGTGGTGGCACTCTGATTCCTCAGCTAACACACTACACAGAAAGGCTGCCTTGGAGAGGGTAGAACTGGCCAATAGACTGATATTGGTTAATGCCTTTTTCTTCTTTCCTGAAATGCACAAAAAATCCATGAAATAAACACAATGCACATATTTGTAAATAAACTTTTCAGTATTCTAGCTAGGATCTGAAAATGGAGGGTTGCATTGGAGGACACTTTTTCGAAACTTACACTGTACAATTTGTCTTGAGTTTAGGTTTTGATACATAATCAAAGTAATCTCATACATTACTTTACCCTTTAAATTTTATCAATTCGTTTTATCTAATTCAGTTGTAAGATAAAAGCAAATGGGACTTGAAGTTGGAATGTAATGCCTCTTCATTTCCTCCTAGCTCTAACACAATACATGTAATTGCAACTTTACCACTGTGACAGCTTTAAACTAATTATCAGAACTATAGTAATACCTTTGAGTGATGGAAGGTTAGCAGTTTCAGCCAGCAGATCTGGTGGGTTACTTAACAGTTCCTCAGCTAATTTCTGAGCAAGTCGACAAGCATCTCTGGTATGGCCATGTGCATGAAGAGCCTCTGCTCGGGAAAACAGTATCTGCTTCAAAAAACAGAAATCTAATTAAGATAGGACCAAATAAATTAAAAACATTCAAATCTAAGATACTTCTTCTTTTTTCTGCACTTTTTGAATTATAATTCTATTAGATCAAAATAAAAATTAAAATAAAAGAAACTTACGTCTTGCATGGCATTGAGATCTTTCACACCAGCAAACAGATTTGGTTCCTCTGATTTATCTCCCTTATTCTTGGAAGGCTCTGGAATTTTCGGATTGTTGAAGTAATAAATCTGATAGTCATCTAGTGGTCTAAGAACGTCTAAATTTTCTGCCCTATGTGAGTGACCATTCACTTCATCGATCATCTGTCTCTCATCCGCCTCATTTCCAAACATACCAATACTTATTCCCTCGGCCCCTCCTTCCGCTCCCTCAAACACTTCATCTGCATTGCTGGCACTCTGACAAAATACTCCATTGTCAGATCGCTCAAGTCCAAAACTACTAGATATCAGTTCGGGGGCATAGTTTCGCAAGTCGTGACTGTCTAAAGAATTGCTCCTACTGTTGACTTCCTTCATTTCTGATCCTGAATCTGAATCTCCTCTGAATAATGAACTACTGCGTTCTGGTTCACAGAAACCTTCTGACCCTGAGCTAATTGCACCATCGTTAACTATAGAATCTCTTTGACCAGCAAGGTTATTATTTCTCCTAATGTTTGAAAACTCCTGTGCATCTTGTAGCATATACTGTGCCTGTGCTAGAGTTGTTTTGTTATCAGTACTGATTATAGTGTCTAAGCAAAGAGGCATTGCTTGAATCCTGGATGGTTTTTTAGTTTCCTTTTCACTATGTTTGTTGAATCTATATTTCACATAACAAGATCCTTCCTTTTCCGAATACGTCACACCAGGTATAGGATAATCAGACCACTCTAAATTACAGGCTTCAATACTTGGCTTGAATCCTATGAAATTCTCCATATCGTTTTTCTTCAGTCCGCTGTTAGCTGATCCACTCAGAGAAGAGGAACGTGCTTTCTTCACATTCTCAATAGTTGAAATATGCCACTCTCTGAACTTGACGGCTAGGTCATCTCTCTGTATGGGTGACAGTTTGGGGTTCAGGGCAGACAATCTCCATAACGTGACGATCTCATCACAGAGACTGGAGGCCGCATGCTGGGTAGCATTAGCTCCAGATCCTCCATTTCCTCTTCCTATGTTGTTACTGTTGTTGTTTGTTACCTTTGTTGTAAACCACCATACAAGAATCTACAATTAAAGTACAGTTTAAAATCTATGTGATAGGCAGATGTACCATAACATAAATCTGAACTTATTTCAACATAAACAAGATTCCTGTTTATTGATATCAAATTTACTCATATTTATTTATCAATTTAACATCAAGTATTCCTTATCAGTTGATAATGAAGGTTCTTAGTAGGTTTCAACATTTTTGGCACTGTGGTTTATGAGACAATTTATTTAACCAATTCTAAAGCAGGTTTTCCTGAGAATACTTAGATGGGATTGGACCCAAATTCCAAAATACAAGTCCTGAGACTTGAGAAAATCCTAGTAATAACCTTGAGGCTTACCTGTTCACATTGCAGGACCTCATCAGTTATGATTTCAAGCAGTGGTACAGCATTACTGTCATTTCTCCTTAGCATTTCCCGTACTATTGACAGAAGGTTCCACATTCCTTCAGGCTCACGACCACGCAGAGGGCGGAGTAAACTCTGCCATTCCGCAGCAGCAGGGGGAGCAGTCGCTGACAGATAATTGACATCACTGTAATAGAATAAAACCATACTCATTTTCAATGTTTAAGAATTCTCCGTTCTATCTCTCTCATCAGCTAATTTAACAGGTTCAAAGAAGATAAGTATTTTAATCAAATTTTCTCAAAGACATCATCTCTTTTATTGTAACATCACCTGTAAATCTTAAAGTCCTTATAACTCTCAAATTTTGTCAAAATTCAATGATCTAACAAGCAGTAGAGATATTTTAACATTTTCTTTTCTTAACTTCTCTGCCTTCAAAATGACTTTACTTTGGTTCTAGGTCATGCCATGCATTTTTGGTTAGCCAGAGACTTAAATATCATTGGTGACTCATGATAAAAGGAATAATGAGGGAATCCTTTGGAGACTTTTCCTTTTCTTGTTTGCAAGGGTAGAATATTGATGGTACTACTTCACTACCAAGGTAAAAGATTTTCATTTTCACCTGAAGACAATTGGAGAAGGGACACAGAATTTGACAAGAGTCTTCTTGACATTTTCATGCAGAGCTGATTCATCAAGACACCATGAAGTTTGTTCATTGGCAGAGGGCCCTGCTGTTGGATCTGAAAAAGGAAACATAAACAATGCAAACAGAGCTCTCTAGTGGTCTACATTACGAGGGCTGTTCGGAAATTATTGAGACAATTTCATTTACTCCATAAAGGACAGGGATAATTTCATGAAAATTCATCAACATCTTATAAAGAACGACTAAAACACTTTAGCATATTTTCTAATTCCTACGATAATTATATAAGTTTCTGTGAAGTAATAAATATGCATATGTCTATGGACCCGGAGCAGCCTCGCTACGTCATTTAACGTTACATAAGCCGTAGATTGTTTCGCATGTTTAAGCGTTTAATATTTTCTTTGTTATTACATATATATAACATAACAAAAATCAAACAGTCTCTTTTCTTATACTACTCTTTCAAAATGTATGCTGTTCCTACCCCAGTCAAAAAATTTCAATTATGGGAAAGGATGATTTAGAATCATGCAGTGCCAATTCATGCAACGCGGGTTAAATACTGTAACGATATCAATACTGTATGTAATAACTCATGGTCGTACAGATCTTTTAATTTTACTCTAGTTAAATTAATTGTTGAAAAAATGTATACCGATGAAATAACATATCCTAACACATCATTTTTTTTCTCGTTGTTATTGTTTAAGCAGGTCGTTCAGTCTTGAAATGTGTTCCACATTGCACTACACAAAATTTTAGGTATGCTGGCTGCTCCGCCCTTGACGTCAAAATCCATTTTTTCGTTGTTAGCAAATTTCTCTACCGCGCTTAATTCTTTATGCTCTCCGTATTTCTGATCATAATTCTATCAAAGTTGCACAACATGAATTTAACCAAAGCTGAAAAATTATACACTTAAACTGAATTATTTTCGCTCTCATTATGGATCCACGAAGAGTTAGAATTTTGGGGTTACATATTTTCAAATCCGGGTACCCCTACTATTGACACATTTATATACCATTGTAGAGAAAATATTAAATATTTGTAAAATATTTCTTGCTCTTATTAATTTTTAGTGTATGCATACATGTTAACCTATTGTGATGAAAAATAGGGATATTCTGACCTCAAAAGCGGTAGCATTGCGCGCGTGTTGTTTAACGCTTGGATTATCGATATCTTTCATGTAATATACATGTATATTATAAGCCTTGAATGAAATCAGGTACCTACACTAATTAATCTTAAATATCAACAGCAAAGAAGACAGAAACACCTTAAGTTTGACATAAATTGTACAAATTCAAATATTTTTCATGCTTATCATTTTGCTTGGATTGGCTGTTAACTTAGCCTTTTGAAGAGTGATCTTTGCTGATATAGCCTAGAAGCAATAATTCTGAATGTTCATTCAGTTTTTAAACAAAACAAATGATGACATGGTTTAATCTTGATCTAAAACAAGTTCCTATCTTTCGTTATATAAATCAGATTTCCCGCGATGATCGAAAACGAAAGTAGAGATGTGCCACATGGCTTGGTCAATCGAGTGATTTCTATTGACTTTATTGATAAAGTTGTGAGCTTCTGTGCTTTTAAAGACGATTTCAGATGTTTTCATCTAATTCTTAAAAGCTGTACATGGAAGGGATGTTGATTAATTTATCGTAACCAATGTAATCACTGGTAGTCTTGTGTTGTTGTCGTTGTCAAATCCGTGCTTGAAATCTATGTACAAAAACAGCGTTTGTATGATTCAGTCAAATCACGCGATATCTAGCGAGATTTTATGAGAGTGGCTTCAAAAATGGATACCCAAGCGAACCAAAAATACTTTAGACGCAGCTTTTGTAGAAAAGCGGTAGATTTCTGAATTAAATCGGTAGGCGGGAGATGGAGTGAAAAAGCGGTAGACTCCCGCCTAAATCGGGAGAGTTAACATGTATGGTGTATGTCAAACGTATATGCCAATTTTCACTGAAAGACGTTCATTAGAAAGCAAAATATACACAATGTCTCAATAATTTTCGAACAACCCTCGTATGTGTCAAATATGTCGGCCACAGTTAAGTTTTGTACATGTATATGTATATTGCTTAAGAATTTCCTATCCATTTCCTGGGGAAATTTAACACTTCAGAAATACTTATTTGCTATTATCAAGTTACACTATACTAACATAGTACCAGTCATAAGACGTACTCCAGAATAACACTTATATTTCCTCCTTGTGATGAATAATTCTTACACTACATAGCATGTTAAGTTTTGATCAATCCACTTCTGCACTGTCTGCTCAAATGATAAATTCCACTTTTGCCTTTCTTCAGAACTTACATGTAATCAAGTTTCAAAAGACAAGTACATTCAAAAGAATAAAAATCAATTACATTTAATATCACACTGCCAAAAACATATATATACATGAACATAAATTATCAAAGTACTCAGAAGTACAAAGAGCCAGGCTCATTTATAGAGCAGTAACCAGTACCATTTTGCATGAAACATGCATGAAATAACTGCTACATAATGTTCAGGAATATAATTTTGCAGTAAATTATTAAATTCATTTAAAAAAAAATTTTTTAACACAAGAAAAGCAGGGTTTTAATCATTTCTGAATAACAATGTATAACTTCGGTGATCGCTTTAGTTTTCCCATAATATTTAATTTAACTGGAACATACTCCAGATTATTTTGTTTTTTTTTCTTTTTTTTCCGCAATGCTATTATCTGTGATTACTTTTCCTTTTATTCTTTTGCAATTCTAATTTGATATGCTAAATATTGCAAACATCCACCTAGTAACAAGGTCGGATGCAAGTGTGTAATTACTATGCATGTATGACGAAGCAGTGAAATTTTCCATCATTCTATAAAAAATAAAGGTGGTCTTTTCAGCTAGAAACATTTTGATTTCAGGTTGCACATGGCCTGTGCATACATTTGGCAGCAGAGGTTACGTTCACTCCCACACAGGTATTAGCTTTCCTTTCAATCTGACATAAGAAATTAAAACTATGTTTCTGATATTTGAACATTTGAGAAATTTGACCCAGCGTTATCATCATGATATTATTTGAGAACGGGAACTGGTCAAATTTGAAAAGTGTAATTTTTATATATGCGGTTGTTGGCTTACACTATGGAACCCATCTAAAAAGTTGATTACATACCAGGAGCTCCACAGACTGTGTTCATAGCATTCTCCTGGGAAGACAAAAGCTCATCAAGCAATCGCTGTGCTGTGGGTAAAATCTGTAAAAGCAAATCCCAGACTTCAAAGCATATTGCATCAACATCTAAAATAAAATACTTACAGATACTGTGACAAGACTTAGATTTACCCTTTTTCAATTTAATTGCTCTATTTGTTGTCATTTAAATATATTAGTAATGTGCAACACATTTTCTGGCAAGTTTATTTTAAACATTGGCAATGGAGATGTAAAACTGTTTTACAAATGTTATAAACTAGGTAATATATGTGACATCACATCTGATAACTACTAGATCTTACCTGCTGTGGTAACTCACTAATGAGATACTGGGCAAATTTCTGCAGCTGGTCTCTGTGTAGCCTGGACAGGGATTCTGATACAGGAGCTCTTAACTTCACTGATGGTGCCTATATAACAGAAACAATAAATAAAGCTCAAATTCTATTTATTTATTTTTTAATCTTCATCTTACATGCAATTATCCTAAAAATTTCTCAAAATATATATGTATAACTGAAATTCCTTTTGGCTGCAAAAAAATCTAATGAATGAATACTTAGATTTGTATTGTCATGAACCAGTCCCTTTTTCTACCTAATTTTAGCAAATTTTGTATGCACTGCATGCATCAACTGTCAATGCTTGACATAACACTTTGCAGCATAACAACTATACCTGGTGAATTCTATAGCATTAACAACCTGACTCTACCTGGTAAATTCTTATCATTAACATATAACATGACTTTACCTGGTGAATTCTATACAGACAGAGGGCTACTACATGTGAACACCAGGAGGGTTGACTGTTACAAGTACAGGTACAGGAAGAGATTCTCCTACGATCAAACACCACCGCCACATTGAAGTTTCCCTTAGCCTGCTGTATACCTTGTGGGGGTATCACTGAGGCACTCAGGTGGAATCCTGGGATATATCAAAAAAATAAGGCTCAATTATTGTGTACAAAATTAAAATTCACCTCTTCAAAATGAATTAATAATTTTAATTCACAAATTAAACTCCTTACCAATTTGCAGGACTTCCTTGACTGATTTTGTCTTGTAGAGGTGCTCTCCTTTCTGGAATTCATCTGCACTGCCATTGGCCAAACAGGAATACAACCTAGTAATAATTCATGATCATACAATTGGTACTCCCACTAAATATGAATTGTCAATACAATCAATATATTTCAATTTATTCTTAAAATTGCAAGTCTTTCAATATAATTTTGCTGACTATGGATAAAGGCGTATATTTTTTAAAAATCTATTAAACACCTTACTTCTTTGAAGTGCTCCCCTAGGCTTTACTATCAAGAAATCTCTGATAATCAATAACAAAACAATAAAGGTATCTATTTTCATTATCTTAAATATTGATTTTACCTAATGTCCTCTTCATTTTCAGGAAAACTCCAAAATGCAATCCTGAGCTGAATCTGTTCAGGAATGGGCTGTGGGAAGTGTTCCACGACTTCAAAAGGTATGTGACAAGCTACTGCCTTTGAGGCTAGTTCCACTAACGAAGACACAGCTCCCGCTGTAAAACAAATCAATTCCAGTGAAATCAGGTTCACAGTGAAATTCTCTTTAAAACTTAGCTCTCATTTGTGACACTGTTTTAATACATGTGCATATATTTTTCTTTAAGTACACTTTAAGTTCACTTTGTAAAAAAAAAAAAAAAAAATTGTAACAAGCTTGAGAATGATAAATGTGCAAAAAAGTTTTGATGCAGAACATAAAAAATTCAGAATGTAAGAACTATGCATGTCACAAGATTTAAACAGAATCTTTTAAATTTTATGTTAAACCACAGGCCTCTGAAGAATTTATAACTAAAGCCTTGTTAATGTGTTGCAATTTGTTTTTTACTGAGAGACACAATACATAAATCTTTTAAGCAGACATTGTGATTAAAAGAACTCTACTGCTTCTGCATATATTGAAATTTCTCTTTTTTTAACAACGACTTCAAAACAAAAAACATTCTACCTGTATTAAGAAATGGAAATTCTTCAACATGAGAATGTATCTCTTTTATAAATGAATCCTTGGGACTACTTAAATTTCTATATTGATCATGTGCCTATTTGTAACTAAGATATATTCTAGAAGCAAACTTCAATTTCTATGCATTTTCTGTGGCCTACAATTTAGTATGTGGACCTATTGAACTATGATGTATAAAACAATGTGCAAGAATTGTGCACAAGATAAATCCAGTAAAATTATGTTTTTTAAAAATATATAATATGGACATGCAATTTTCAGTATGTGTCTCTCTTAATCTTGTTAATAAATAATTCTGAACAATATTAGAATTGAGAGTAAAGTTCTGCTTCTTATTTCAGGCATGGAAAACTACAGAAATCACAAGTCTTTTTTCAACAGCCATAAGTAGACTCTGAACCCCTGACTTTGCTAAGGCCAAAAATAAAAAATAGTCTTGTTTCCTGAACCCGACTTTGCTATTTCATGAAATATATATGTTTTAAATATCAGAACGACAAAACTTCAGTTAAATATGGGTAAGCTCAAAAAGTGAGTACATCTTTACTTTACTGCCCCTAAGCCATGACTTTTCCAAGGTATACAACTATATACCTTTTGTTCCTTACATTACATGCAGTTAAAATGACTTGTAACAGAGTTTAAAAAGTGGCTATGTGTTGTAAATAGTGAGCTCCTACTAACACTAGTTAGTGGGTTAACCCTTTAGCTCAGTTGGTAGAGTGTCCTAGAGGGTCGTAGGTTCGAGCCAAAGTGTGGACATCCCTAGCTAATGGTCATATTGACACCCAACTACAAATCCCACATGGTGAGTGGTGTTTATAGAGTCAGGTGTGTGAGATTTCTCAGGGGTTAGAAATCTAAAGAAAAAGAAGTGGAAGTGTAACAAAGTTTAAAAAGTGGCTATGCGTTGTAAATAGTGAGTCCACGCTCCTACCAGCTCTAGCTAGTGGGTTAACCCTTTAGCTCAGTCGGTAGAGCGTTGGATATTAAATCTTAAGGTTGTAAGTTCGAGCCATAGAGTGGTACCCCCTAGCTAATTGGTCATAGACTACTGTAGATCACTAAATTTTCGCGACACCATATTTTCGAGAGATAGTCATTGACTCTTGATAAGCGAGATAAAATTTTAACCCTAGCTAATTGGTCATAGACTACTTAAATTTAGTTATAACTAGATCATCATTTCCTTCATTCATAAATTACCCCTTCAAGTTCAATTTATTGAAAATCTGGGTATGATTCTCCTTAATTCCAAGGTAAAGGTTTCTTCCCATAAAACATACTGTTATGATATCACAGAAAAAGTATGATATGTTCCCATGGATTCAAAGGGATTTTCCTCCACAGAACTCTTTTGTCTGTGCAATGTCGATTTTTGAAAAAGTGAATGACAAAATGTCAAACTCAAAGTTTATGGTTAAAAATGCAACCTTGTTTGCAACATATTCTTCGGGACTTTGAATTACTTCTGAAATATTAAATATTTATATCTTTCTCCATCTCATTTGAACTCCAATAATTTTATTATTGAATTGGACATTACTTCTCAAACAAAAAAAGTTCATCATTGATAGAAACCGGCTTTAAAATTGTTGCCTTTCTGGCTAGAAGAGGTGAACAACCTCAGGTGGTTCACCTTTCATAGAATATTGACCCATCAGAGTGATTCGTCTTTCACTCATGCATGACTCAAAAAGACCACTTGTAAATTTCTGCTTATAAACCAAAGGAACAAAGGAAACAATTTCATTAATCCTATGTTTCCGGCAAACTTACTCTGTTGTTTATTATTAGTCGCTTGCCCACCATTTTGTCTTTTCCAACCTCTCCAATTATTACAAAGACTCTCAGGCTCGCTTATCCAGGAGCAGAGCGAATCCTCCTCAAATCGCTCGCTATCTTCAAAAGAAAACCTATCGTTCTCATTTTCCCAATCAAACATAAAGTCCATTATCTCGGCTCGCCTGCGATCTTCAAGTCTGAACGACTCCGAGCTTTTTGTTCCGTCAGCTGCTCGAGGACGAAGGTTCTAAATCCAATTTTATCGATTTGCAATGAGCATTTTTGGAAAAAATGAACAAAGTTCACTAAATATTGACTCCTAGCATTATAATGAAATACATTGCAGAAGATAAAACGACTAATTTTTGGTCATATTTGGCCTAATTAGTCGTCTGACTCCTTCGCCTGCCTGCACAACAATAACAAAATTTGTCGGGAGTATTCGGTAATGTCCGTGAGTCACGGTCGATGATTCGTAAATTTCCGGAAAAAAGCGGAAGCGGAAGTCCTTTTCTAAAACAAGAGATCAAGGTAAACATCAGTACATGATATTAGGGTAACAATCCACCATCAATCTGTCAAATCCATCAATAAATTTACAGTTAGAGAAAATCAAGATGAAATTTTAAGTTTGTTTTACATGAAAAAGTCAATATTTTATACCTCTGTTATTCTACATTGTCCCTCATGTCTGTTATAATACAACCGGAATTTTAGTTTCCGAATACTAGTGACATGAAGCATTCATATTCCTTTATATTATGAAAATTATATGAAATATCTTTCATGTTTACATGGAAAGATTTGATAGAAGGTTTATTTATGACATCAAAAACTTTATTTTTCGCTGACCTTTTACCATGACTGAGATATTAACTTCTGACTGGAAAAAGTGCTTTCTTTTTTAAGCCTTGAAGTTGAACTATTTGGTTCCTATGTAATGTTTTTTCTTCTTCTGCAGATGGCCCCACGAAAGGGAAAGAAGGAACAGACAGAACAAGTTGTTCTTGGCCCCCAAGTTAAAGAGGGCGAAAATGTTTTTGGAGTGGCTCACATTTTTGCCAGCTTCAACGATACATTTGTACATGTCACTGACCTGTCTGGAAAGTTAGTACAATAATTAATATGCAAGGATAAACTAGTATATTTTCTATCACTTCATAGCATGACTATAGATGTGAGACATGTTTTCCAATACTAAATGATAAATGGTCAAGACATACATGCTATTTGTGGAAGACTGTACTTGTACGCTTCTTCAGAATAATCGAGCTTCAATAGATACAGTAGATGGAATTAATTAAGGAGATGTAATCTGTAACTTTCCATACGTTAAAGATTTCGATAAAGAATAATTTTACATGCATAAGATAGACCATTGCTGTATGATTTGAGGTATAAATAGTAAAATACCTGGTTAATTTTGTAGAGAGACCATTGCTCGTATCACCGGAGGTATGAAGGTGAAGGCTGACAGAGATGAAGCCTCTCCCTATGCTGCTATGTTGGCAGCCCAGGATGTAGCCGAGAAGTGCAAGACTCTGGGAATCACAGCACTCCACATTAAACTGAGGGCCACTGGAGGAAACAGGTTAGTGTATAGAGGAGCAACCAGACTGAAAAGCATTGAGATTGATAAATGGGTCCATTTTATTTTACTGTAAAGGTTGAAAATGGATTATGGACTACTTATTGTCTCTTGATAAATTTTTCAAATTCAAGAAAGAGTTGGTACAATATAAAAAAGGTCATTTCTGTTTTTCATGCATTCTGAAGACCATTTTTGTAATTATGGAAATTCAAGCAGCAGTAGTTAGATACAGGAAAAGATAAGAGCAATTTATATACATCTGCAAATTTAAACCTGTATTCAATCAGTTTACCTCCATTGCAAAATTGTTGTTGAAAATGCATATAATCTTGATTGGCTTCCAACCATTCTTCTGATCCTTACTTCAAACTGACTCTGTTATGTGACTAAATGTATATTGTAAGAAAAGATTGTCCAATATTCTGAAGAAAGCTGATTGTTTTATTACATAGGAATATTTTATTTGTGTAGACAAGTCAAGAACAACAAAATATAAAATATGCTTCATCAGTGAAAGCATATTAGCAGAGAAGTGAGAAGTTGCATTTCAGGGGTTTAAACCCCCCCCCCCCCCCCCCCCCCAACACCCAAAAAAACCAAAAAAAAAAAAAAACCCCAAAGTCCATTTGCAAAAAAAAAAAAAATAAAAAAAAAAAAATGAAGGAATTTCAAATAATTCTGAAACCTCATGGTGATGTAACTTGTAGCAATAAAAGTAAAGTATTGTTCAAACTGCATCTAGTGAAACAGCCATGATTTTTATTTTTTCTATATTTTTTTTTACATCTTGTCTAACAGACAATTGATCAGGGGTTCAAAATTCCTCAAGCCCGACGTCTCGGACTAACAAATTCCGGATCCGGACTCGGCATTTAGAATTCACCCAAGTCCTGGGACTTGGCTATGTTTCTTGTTTATCTTTTTTTTTTAAGTTAAAAAAATGATCGTCAAGCTAAAAATAAAGCAAATTCTCAAATGTATTAAGTAAAAATGTGAGTTTGTGGGGGTTAAAATACCCATAAAACATTACCAATGTTTCGAAAATACAATCCGTCTTTTTATTTTCCGTTGCGGTTAGACTCTTGCTTTTACGCAATTCCTCATGTTTCCTCCTATATGACAAACGGCAATGAGTTTGTTAAATTTCGGTTTTAGCTGTGACTTACAGCACATTCTAATTTCTATTTATTGTAACAAATGGTTTATTCAGTAGTGAGTATTTGTAAAAGTTATTGTAATGTATCAATAATCTATCAGTCTGGTATTGTGTTGAAATACTCATGTATGACAGTTTATGGAGGAAAAATAAAACATAAATTGATACATATAGTCTTTATTCATTCAATGCAACAAATGAAAATAAATTATAAGTAACATAAATTTAATGATGTATAAGTAAATATGGACTATGAAATTTCTTCCTCGGACTTGCCTAAAATGTACTCTTCAAGTCCTGGACTTGACCGTGACAAAAAAAATTTTGAACCCCAGTTGATAGGTGATAATTTTATAATCTGCCTAGAAACTTAAGGACTTGAACCTTGGGCCACAGTGTTTTTTAAACTCTACATCTTAAATATCCTTTTTGAGTTGCTGCAAATGGGGAAGAAAGTGAAACTTCACAAATTACCATTTACTAATTTATTCCAAACTAAACAAATGCAAGAAGAAGGGAGTATTGTCAAAGTTAGAGACAATTACCTTAATAATAGATTCTGAAAAAGCCAAACACATTACTGAAGTAATAACATGTTATCATTGATTACAGGACCAAGACCCCTGGACCTGGAGCCCAGTCTGCTCTCAGAGCTTTGGCTCGTTCAGGAATGAAAATTGGCAGAATTGGTAAGTTTTCAGTGTGATCATATCAAGCTTAAATTGTTTCCTGAATCAAATATCTTTACACAACTGATATAAAAAAAATTTAAACTTGCACATTTGGACAAATTTTTAGATCACAATGTATTTATTTTCTATCAGTTTGGAATGATACTGATTCATCAGGTAAAAATGACATCAACATAAAAATGGGATTTTTCTGTCATATTGAATATGACATTTATTCTAAAATCATTTAATAAATATGTTCTAAAGAATAGATAAGTTTTCATTGTTTGACATCTTATTATCTCGTGTTATCATGTCATGAAGATGTCAATTATGTCCGACACTAGGCAGTCTTTAGTGTACAAGTGCAGGGGATGACAAATCATTCCCCAATGCCCGGGGCTAGTCAAGTCATCTCCCATTTGAGATATTTCTATACCAGTATGGTTTCAAATGCTGCATTTTCATTCAATATATTTCATTAAATTGCACGAATTAATGTTTTTTGAGATAGGTTATATTTCATTCTTAAAAGTATACACGCTATAACTTGCGCCAGTTAAAATACGATTGGAAATTGATACAATTTGTTTATCAATAAAAGTTACGAAGATAATGTAAATTACACCATTAAAATTAATGCAAAGTTATAAAATTATAATTATTTATTATCCTGCAAGGAAAGAAAAACAGCTATTTTTAAATAAATCCATCACGTGACGCCGTCGCTACTTTTAGATTGATAAACACGTGGCGTAAAGAAAACAAGGAAAACCGTTTGAGATACTACTCACTTTTGACGTGGATACTTAATGGTACTTTATCTTTTAATTTATTTCAGTATCAACTATCTTCTCTGTTATGACGCATATTAACCTTATATTAATGATTGTTGTCAAAATGCAACATACCTCGTTGTCTGTGATTTTCCGTGGACATGCGTTTCTATATATAGGAAGTCCTACTGTTTACGCACTTCCTTTATCAATATTCATGAAAAGACTGAATTCTTAATTCCTAGATATTCTTTAATTGTTTTGTTATTACAACGACATCTATAGTACAATTTTGTGGAAAGTATTATTTTTTATTACACTTCATGTGTTTTAAATCATTAATCATTTTGTTTCACACAAAATTCGGCGTTCATATAGCGTATATGACTTTAAGTAACTATAAGTGTTTGTCAGTATATATGTTTCATTCTTAAGTGACTATAAGTGTTTGTCAGTATAACTTGCTTGGATGATCCAGGGATGCACACTCTCAGACCTGATTTGAATGCTGGATCTGACTTAACTAATTAAAAATTTAGAATGCAGCTACCTCAAAACGGATGCACGTAGGCCTGAGAACCATCATTTCAATTTTATTTGGCCTAAATCTTAATTTTATTTTCTCAGTGTTTGAACAAAAAAGTTTTTGAAGCAAGTTCATTCCTTAGTACCAATTTCATCTGGGGATGCACAATTCCAGCATATTTGTTTACTAAGGGATTTCTTATTACTTAAGTATTACATTGAATGAGGTTAGCTTTTGATATCTTTTGATTACCTACATTTAGAAATAGAAAACTTGAGAAAGAGCCAGATGCCCATAGAGTTTTGGTTTGAAAATTCTGTATCAACTTTGGATAAAATGTGCTGTATTTATTTTTTCAGAGGATGTGACCCCAATTCCATCAGACAGCACCCGCAGAAAGGGAGGTCGTCGTGGTCGTCGTTTGTAAATTTACACAATAAAACATGTACAAGTGTGAACTGTTCTTGTTTGTGATATACAGAGGTGTGATCAACAAATCATTTACAGCTTTAGTGTTCAGTGATGTGCATTGAAGTGGTGTATAATTTTCTATTTGAGTGGAACCTTTTGAGCTTTCTTCTACATACATCCATCTCTCAGAAAGTTGTTGAATGGTTTATTTGGATATCTGTGGTATTCCCTAAATTAAATAGCCAATCAGATAAGCAGCTGTTTTAATCATGTTCTACCAATACATTTCTTGTGGTAACTTCAATAAACATGATAAATTCATGATTATATACTTATCTTTGCAATATTTGAGTGTTATTGATGGTTTGAGTCTAACTCTCCACTACAATAAATCTCCATTTCAGCAAACGTTGCTAGTTGATTGACTTATTGTCAACGTTTTTGCCTTTAAAGAAATAACCCAAACGTTCCACAGAATTTTTTTTTTACCAATTTAAAGCTGAACAGGCAATAGGAATATCGTAGGCAATGCCCATCTACAATATAGGCATTGGGGTATACTCGTCACATTGTTACCCCTGACCTCTTTATTGTCACAGGTATCTGCATGGAATGGTGACACATGGTCGTGCTGGTTATCTTGCATTACCTTTGATTACATTTTATTGCAGTTATGCATATTTGTGTTTGTATACTGTACTGACCTGTGCAACTGTTGCAAGTTGCTTTGGTATCTTACTCTCTTGCATTAGAAGACGTACACATTTATTCATTTTTCACTACCAAGTGTAGCATAGCATACTTCCATCTAACTGGTGATGATTGATTACATTGAACAGCGACTTAGTGAGCAGCTTTATAAAGGGGCCCTCATATATAGCAAGAGACTGGTCAAATATGGCAGACAAATTCTTTTATGAATTGTGTTCAGCTTTAATGTGCATCATTGTATATAAAGCATCATGTTAGGATAATCTTTTTCAGTCTCAAGTAAAATTAAATTTCTGAATCGGAAGCAATGTGAATATACCTCAGTCTGCATATGTATTGTTTATGATAATAATTTTTAGCTCTACTGGTCAGAGACCAGAAGAGCTTATGCGATAGTGAATGTCTAACTGTAAAATATACCTACAGTTTTGGCCTAATTTCAATATAACTTGGCACACAAGTAGATTGTTTAATTCTGATAATAATTTTTTATAATAATTTTATATCAGTTTTGGTCTGATTTCAATATAACTTGGCACACAAGTAGACTACACTAAGATACATAATTCTGTCTATCAGTTTTTGAATTGGATGAACGGTGTTGCTGTGGTTACAAAATTAAAATTGTTTCAAAATGCTATAATTTTTTACAACTTGGCACACGTGCACTAAGATAATAATAGTTTTTGATTCGATGAACGGTGTTGCCGTGGTTATTAAAAATGCTGTAAAATTTTTATGTAAACATTATAACTTGGCACACAAGTAGACTACACTAAGATACATAATTCTGTTTATTGGTTTTTTTTTAATTTCTGTGAAACAAAATGTACAGTTTTGGTCTGATTTCAATATAACTTGAACACAGTAGACTATAATCAAGGATCAAATTTAGGTGTAAACTCTCTGGCCATACAAACCAGTAGAGCTTCAATCTCAACAGAGACTTCTGGTTTGTAACAATTTTATATCTGTACCCACGAATTATGCTAACAAAATTAGACATAATTCACTCTCCTAATTTTTAGTCTGCACTTTCTGGCCATATACATTTGAACCTGCCTGACCGCCATATTTCACTCTCCTTAGTCTGCATTGTCTGACCGCTGGCAATTATTCAACCCGCCTGACCATCACATAGCCTTGCTTCCAGTGTATCCCTTGAAGGGAATCCCTCTGAAAGTTTGTCTTTGTTTCCAACTTTACAAAACAATTGCTGGCTCAGGGATTGAAACAACCTTTATTGTATACATGTACACCTTCCATACCATAAATACTGAAATGATTACAACCCCATGCTAGACAAAATATTTCATTATTACATAAGAATATATGAATATGACTGATTACATTCATCAAATATGTTTTTTTCATTAAATTAAAACTTAAACTAAGTATATATAAAAATGTACATTGTACGCACATTATTTTACTTTTTATATTGCACATATACCATACAGTTCATTAAGCCCAGATTTGCACTTGAACATTAAATGTTATGTTGGTCAAATAAAAAAAGGCAAGACTAAATGTCACTCATATAAATCATTAAACAGAGTCTCATATAGCCCAAATAATTCTTATTTCTTTGGCATAATAGAGTTTATTATACATTTTGAAGAAAAATATGGCAACAAACATTTCTTTGAAAACAATTCATATACAGTTACTTCCCCTGAGAATCGGATGCACAGCATCTTTAAGTAATATTTCTATACGTCAATAACAAGAATTTGGAATGTTCCCATTATGGTTTTGTTCAGTACCAGGTAAAATAAATCAGCATTGTAGATTATTGTTTGTAAATATGAAGTTTGAGTGAATGGTTTAAATACAAACAAATCAATTTACACAGGCACACAATAAATTTAAGTGCTTAATGGCTCTGGTGAGGAATCAATACATCAGACTGTAAACAGCCAGCACTGGTTAGATGCACTGGAACAATACTGGGAGTAAACAACATTCATGATGTCAGTCTTCACAACAATTTAATGTATTGACTGAAAATGTTTCAGACTTGCTGAATATACATTGATTAAAAAATATAACATCAATATGATTAATCTGAATTTTAAAAAGAGTTGTTTAAGTACTCCAATACAATATATATGCACCTTGTAGATCAAAAAAGTTTTATATGACACAAATATAAAAATAAACATGGCATTGGCACATTTTTGTTATAATGATGACTAAAAACTGTCAAGTTTAATGTTTAAAGTATACAAGCTCCAAAGTTGGTGCATCAAAACATTTTACTTCTTGAAAATTTACACAGTACATGTATTATAATTGTAATAATATAATGTAAGAGGTAAAGATGAGAATGAAAGAACTATATATCATAGATGAGAACTGAATTCTACTTTAGTATGTTGTACTGCTGGAAATTCTGGAGTTAATTGTTCTGAAAATATAAAATAAAAAATATCCTGATTATATTCTAGTGATATTAATTGCAGTTTTTCAATCAGTTCACAGAAACTGGGTTTTTAAATCACTCTCTGCTAGACCAATGAACTTGTACCTTGTATGAGCTTGCATCCCTCCTGAACTGTTGAACTCACAAGCAATTCAGGGATATTTGCTCTTCGTATGTGTTCTAGTACATTTTTCTACAAGAACAAACATTTAAACATTCAAATAACAAACCAGCAGTCATTTTAAAGCCTCATATGAGCATTATTTACTTAAAAATTTTAATTACAAGTCTTTAAAAGTGTTGATATTACATGTATAATAATTCTAAGAAATGTACATATCAAAAATTACTTTTGTTCTGCTATATTGTATACAAAGATAACACTGGCAATTAATGGACAGAATAAGCTAAAAATATTGTAGCAGCTTGCTTCATATGCTTTGTTTCTGTGTACATGACTTTTGATTTCCCTTTGAATCAAATACTATTGTATATTTTGAAGATGCCAATATGTGTAAGGTACTGCAAAAGACCAACAAGTTTCCTAAAGGTTCTTTTCTTTCCTGTACATGTATTTACAAAAGAAAAATCCTCAGAATAATATAAATATAATATTGTTTCTTTACAAGATGCTAGGAGCCGGGAGTGGTTATAATTCTTGGAAGAGCAATGGCATAGAGTGACAAACTACATGTACATTTTATAATTTGAGCTTAAAAATGTTGAATGTAAATTAACAATTCTTTATTACTCCTTATCCCCCCCCCCCAAAAAAAAAAGAAAGCCTGAAGCAAGTGTGTCATCTGGAAGGGAAAAGTATTTCCACTGTATATAATGTTGTGCAATTAAAGGACAAAGTTTGCTAAAAGTTCTTACTATTTTGTGAATAAATGGACTCTGGAGGATTAATATGTAAATTTTGATAAGAATTTTTTTTACAGGGTTTGATTGCAGAATATTGTTTTAGAACTGAATGAAATGTACCAGTATTAAAAAACAAGATTGATATCAATCATTTGGTTATTCCCCTTTTTCGCATTTGTCATTTTTTTGTGAAACTCATAATTTAGTCTGGATTTGATGGCCCTACCTAAAATTATAACTAAAAATCAGTTCTGAATAAAAATTTAGACTGGAGTAACAATGTTTCAATATTCTAATTTTATAGGCTGAATCAGTATTAAAATACAATAATCTACATTACAAAAGAATTCATGTATACTTACAGAGAATCCTGCAAACACAAGTTTGGCATCTCTCCTCTTGAAATCTATGATTAACTCTGTGATGCCCTAAAAGGGAAAAAAGAATTGTCTCTTAATTTACCGGGTACTATGTACAGTATTGACTCAGTGGGTCACAAAGGTTTTAAATACATATACATATACATGTACACCAGTATAAGAGGATAAAATTCTGACGGTCATCTAAAATATTTTAGACATTAAAATCATATGTCAATATTCTTGTGAAATTGACTTTTGACCAAGTGACTAATCATCCTTTATGTGTTTAGCATTATATACTGTACAGCCACCCTTCCATTCCATACTATGACACAACAGATAATCATGAATATACAGTTATAATTATCTGATCCAACATTGTGCATTTTTGTTTCCCCTTATTTCGTTTTCCTACTTTATTATTTTCCATGTTCTTTCTATTCAACACCCTGTCTATTCTGACACAAATCTGTGTCTTGGTGCAACTATTTTTAATTACTTATCCTTTTTGCAGAGCAAATCCAACATTTAGCTTTTTCTGAGTACTTTATGATGGTATCGGGCACATACAAAGTACCACTATTCATAAAAAGGGAAACCTGCTGTATTGCTATTCATACATTCATACCTGTATTGAGGTATAATCCAGAGCAGATACACTACTACAGTCCAATACTAAGGAATGGTTTTTCTTTCCTAAAACACAAAAAAGTCTCAAGATAAAAACCATTTGTATTCTGGTAATACATACACATAGCAATAAATAAAAGACTGTATATTCTTCTTGGAAATTGGTAAATGCAGTAAGTGAGCAGGGTCATCACAAAGACAAGAATTCCTTTCTATAAGTATTACTTCCTTTTGACCAATTCGTATACATAATTCTTTGAATATTCAAACTATCGTAGTAAATATCCTTAGGTAAACTCACCCTCTTCATTTTCTTCAATAAGGCGCTCCTGTAAATATTCCACAGAAGGGAACAGTATGCCCTGATCTATCTTCATTACTCTAACATCACCATATTCTACCTGTAAAAATCAAATGCTACTTAATGAATATCAGCAGGTTGTCACTTTAGAACTGTTGATATATGTATCTTTGTGAACAGGGTTAACACAAATGATTTTTGAAACTGAATTACCAGTAAGCCTCTTTGCACCGAATTTTATGAGAAAATGGTTCAACATTTTCGCACTATGTTCATGTGTGAAATGTTCGTTTCAAAATAAATATTTTTTTTAATTTCAAAATTTATTGACAGAGATATTTTTTATGACAATGATCTCCAATCTAGCATCTTGGTTCAAGGTCACTGAAAACAACCCATGAGCTCTAAAGTCTAAGAAAGAGAGAGAGAAAAATGCTCCCAACATATTTTACAATTTCGAGAGAAATGAAAAGTTAACTCTCTCTGATCACTTTAAATTGAGATTTGAGATCTTATGCTTGTAGTTTGAGTTTGTTTGAGCAAAGGTTATAGAAAATATTCTGTGGACAAGGATTTTCCAAAGATATGTATCTAAACCTTGACCTTAAATTTATCAACTTGATTCAAGGTCAATGCACATCCTTTACCCACAAATCTCTACGGAAAAGTTAAAGTCAAATAGGATCAAGGAGTTAGAATTAAAATAAGCTCCAATGATTTTAAAGGAGATCTTTGATCAACATACTTGGTTCAAGGTCACTAAACCCTTTATCCAAAGGCATTCTATGGATGAAGTATGAGTCAGACCAAGGGGAGACAGCTAGCATATGCTAACAGATGGACAATAAGATGGATATACTGATTACTATAGGGCACCTGCAGAGAGGAGTTGCAGTACACAGAGCAATATCCTGTGTAAAGTACATGAAATCCAGCTCTTCTTTGGTTAGAGTAAAATATGGTAAATACAAAATTATATCTATAAAATGAATACATACCCTTATTTTAGGCCTTGCAGATGGATATAGAAGAATGATTAAAGATACTCCTATACCAATCAATATACCATACTGTAAAACAGAGGAAACAGACCATGCAAATAAAGAAAGTAAAGCATGCATACACATATATTTAAGAACTTTGAATACATTAACTTTATGAATTTACAAATAAACATGGTACATACATATGATAACAAACAAGGTACATTTGATGTACACTGTCCAAAGCCAACAGAACAGCTACATGTAGCTACATGTAGATCAAATTAAATGAACTACAAATATTTCGAATGGAATTAACAGCTCTATAGAATGAGTTGTCAAGAGTAATGGTCAGAAATTGAGTGTAAAATTATACATGTATCATGCAAAACATGTATCTGAAAACTTGTGTTGACAATAGTGAATATTAAATGCAAGTAGATTTACTTTGCTTATTTTAAACAAAATAGAAAGCTAATAATTAAGTACAGTCTCTGCATGATTTCCTTACCTCCATTCCTACACCCAGGCAGGATAAAAATGTAATAAATAATGGAATTAAGTCAATTTCTGAAATAAACAGAATATTCTATTAATGCTGAAATTTTTATGTATCTAAATACATTAAGTGATGTAACATACTCAATCAACTATTGAGAACATTCTTCAAAGTTTTATATAGGGGAACGATAATACTGAAAACTGACAAACAGTATTGCAGTACATTCTGATTTTCTGGGTGAGTGCCTTTCAAATCATTTTACTTTCTCTTGTAAATTAAATATTGTCCTCTGTATTATACTCACTGTTGACTTTCCAGAGCTTCTTCACAACACTCACGTCCACCATTTGTATCACAGAAAAGATTATCACAGCTGACAAGGCAGACTTAGGAATGTAGTAAAACAGTGGAGTTAAAGTGTACAGGGCCAGTACAATCAAGACACCTACAATACAATACAATACAATACAGACAAGGCAGACTTAGGAATGTAGTAAAACAGTGGAGTTAAAGTGTACAGGGCCAGTACAATCAAGACACCTACAATACAATACAATACAATACAATACAATACAATACAGACAAGGCAGACTTAGGAATGTAGTAAAACAGTGGGGTTAATGTGTACAGGGCCAGAACAATCAAGACACCTACAATACAATACAGTACAATACAATACAGACAAGGCAGATTTAGGAATGTAGTAAAACAGTGGAGTTAAAGTGTACAGGGCCAGAACAATCAAGACACCTACAATACAATACAGACTGTTAAAAATAGATATATCTAAGTACTAGCACTCTAAAATAAAACAGGAGGTCCATTGGCCTCAATGCTCACCTGAACTTGCTTTAATTTTGAAAAAAGATATTTCTTATTCCCTTAAAATTTTGTCACCTATTGTGACCACCTTAATTCTGTGTCCCAATCTTCACCAACTGGTGTACTTGTAAATCAATATAACTTGTTGTGGTGCAAGTATTTTTTGAGATTTTTAGAGCAAACTTCTAAGGATGCTTTGCAGCAAACTTGGTAAGAATTGATAACCCTATCAGTTTTGAAAATGTTTAAAATGTGATGTTTATACAGTTAGAAGATGGCAAATGGACAGACTTTGATCAGGAAAGCTCACTTATGGTTTTGGCTTAGATGAGCTTAAACGTACACTGACCTGTGAATATCCCTGATGCTGGAGTTTTTACCCCACTTTGAGAATTGACAGCTGTTCTGTAAAAATATCCATAAAATAATAAGAGTACATGCATGTTGACCTTTATATATGATCATATAGAATTTATTTCTGAAAAAAAAAAAGAATTTGCCCTATTCAATTTTTTTGTCTACCATACCTTAAGACATCATTAACATATGATCCTTTATTTGATAAATAATTAAGAGATTAGAATAGTCTACTAGTCTACACATCTATTGTCTCAATGTATGTTTATTTATATACCTTGAGAAGCTGCCAGTGACAGGGTAAGACCCAACAAAAGAGCTTATAATATTGGCTAAACCTGTCAGAAGAAATAAATAATAAAAATATGTGGATATGTATACCAGTAGTACATTGTATTTGTTACTTCATTATCATTTCACATCTGCATAAATATATTCATAAACATTAATTGAATTGATATCCCAACAGATGTTAAAAGATGATACCTTACTTATTTAATAAATACACAATTTATAGGACTTTTACCTATTGCAATGAGTTCCTGACTTGGAAATATTTTGTAATTATTCTGTCTTGCTGTGAATGAAAAAAACAAACATGTTTTACAGTTCTGCTGCTATAAATAAAATCAAACAGAAATGCAAATAAAAGTTATTTGGATTTACCAAATGCTTTTCCTATGGCTATAAGTTCTACCAATCCAAGTAATGGAACTATTCCAAACCCAGCACCAATATCCTGAAGTAATTGTGCATATTGTACAAATTATAGTGAACAAATTACCAATAATGCTCAAATGATATGATCTTTCTCAAGTTTTCAGGAAACAACATCAATTTTTTAAATAACATATAGTTTAATTTTGTTATCTTGAACACCAAGTCATGTAGATTACAAGGAATATGTCAAATTGAGATGCAGATCCCAAACTTGTCATGAATTCAAGTTTTTCCTTTGTAATCCACACTGTTTGATAAGCAAAAGTTTTTGAACAATTCCATCATGTTCAAGATAACTATAATTGACTGTATGATTAATAGCTAAAATATCATCACATTAATTTTTGTTGATGCATGTTGTATTAATAATGGCTTAAAAATAGAAAAAAGAAAACTTACTGAGAATATATCACTAGTTGAGAAAGTGATGTTATCTTGGCTGTAGGAGAAATCTGGTGGCTTGAAGTCCGGTAATCCTCCCTTTATTTTGCCGGTGATAGACAGAGTGTTGTTCTTCCCCTGACTGATCAAAATGGCTGCCACACCAGAGGCTGAGATCACAACAATGGCATTGGATGCTGAACATAAAAGAAACACGAAGCTTGTAGACCACAGCTGTCTGCTGAGTTTAATATTTAAATCCATAATTAATCTTGCAAAAGGGTATTTCAAGTATTTTCTTTCATTTTCTCATGTAAGACTTGGACCCAAACTATTTGTACGTCCACTTTAGCCTCTATGGCATTATTTGAACAAACTTATATCTATACTACATGGAAATGCTTTTAAATTATACAATAAATTTTGACTATTCTGTTCTTGAGAAAGGTGTGTAAGGGGGGTGACTTGCTTAAACCAATGAATACAATTCTCCTACCAGTGCCAATGATCCATATAATGTAGCGACAGATGGCGACACACCGATTTGGTCCGGGACCATCTGGATCATCCTTCCAGTCAATGTTTCGCATTCTCTAAATTACACCAATTTATGCATTAAAGGGACGAGATGAGTTAGCAGTATTTACATTCTATGTCTATACTAGATTTATCTTACATACCTTGAGTAAATAAAGCAAAACAAGGGAAACCAACCCCATGGTCATGTCCCAGACACTACAACAAAAATCAACATACTATAACACATACATGAACATACAATTAAAACACTTACCACCATAAGATTGTCAAATGAATATGTCCCATATGAATGTTAAAAATGCTTTAATTTTATAACTGTGCAGGGTTTTTGCTTACTTGGTCTCGGGAATCTTTTTGCAGGTCTCATAAACCATCTCTGGAAAATCTCTTGGAATATGGTTTAAACCTAAAATTCCCTGAAATAAAACCAGTGTGAAAGAATTGCATGAACACAAGGAATCTGTGAGCGATGCTCATTAGTAATACCCCCTCTCTAATGTAATTATATATTCTTCTGTTGACATTCACTATATGGCATGCCTAAACAAAGAGTGTGCTTATATTTCAAGCATCTTTGCTGAGCTGCTGCTGAGAAAAATGTGATGAAAATTTGTTACAGGTAAATTTGACATTGGATTCAAACAAAAATGAATTTCATTATATGGCATGCTTCAACATAGAGTACATGATAAAATTTAAATCATCTGTAAAGAAAAGTGGCTGAGAAAACTGCAACCAAAAAAATATATACTGTGAAATCACAAATTTTCGTGGAGGTTAAATTTTCGTTGTTTTCAAGGTATGACAAGACCCATGAATTCATGTCCACCACGAATTTGTAAAATGTTACATACATAAGTTCTTATTAATTCTTGATCCACGAAATCAAATCCCCACAAACCAAGAGATTTTCCTAAAACCACGAAATTTGACCCCATGAAAATATGTGATTTTACAGTATTACGGACAGACAGACAGACACACACACACACTGACAGACAGACACATAAGGGTAAAACAATACATCCCCTCTTCTTCAGAGCTGGAGTTTTAAACAAAAAAATCACTGTAAAAGTGGAAACTTTGATGATGTTTACCGGTAAACATTGACAAAATTGACAAAATACAAAATTTTAATAATCATCAAAATTTTTACCCATAAACCTTCAAATTCTTGATTAGGACTAAGAGTAAGGTTTATTACTATTAGATCACCAAAGTTTCCACTCACCATATTATTTCTAATACATGTATACTGAAATCATCAAACTTTTGACCCTTCATTATAACCATGTTAACAGTATTATTACCTTAACTTGACCAAAACCAATAGTAATAGCTGCTGCAGAAGTGAATGCATTGATCACTGGGTATGAAATGAAGTTAACTAGTATACCTACAAATATAAAAGTAAAATTTCTAAGGAGAAAAAAAAACACAAATCATAATGCAAAAGTCGTCAAATATCCTCTGTTTCACAATGTGATTATGCTATTCAAAGGGACATTCAAAATAATTTTTGAACTTAGATTGAACAAAATCTTTACCACTCCTGAGACAATAAAGTCTTAAGAAAATCTTTTCTTCAAATACTGTAAACAAACTTTTATTCAAAATACATATCCATGAGTTTTGCTACTTTCTTTTATTAGCAAATATTACATATCTTGAATGAATTATTCACCGAGGTTTCTATGTAAAATTTTGCCTCTGTCATAGTAAATAATTGCACATGTGTTCCAAAGAATCAAGAATAAAATATTTCCTATATAATTCATATTTAGTTGGTTTACAGAAGTAATTAGATATAGATTGTTTATAAAACTGACCTAGATTAAAGAGCCCTAACAGAAGCTGGACACAGCCTGTGATGAGACAGAGGACAATGGCGTAAGTGGCGTCTTCTTCAATCGGTGAAGTAGCGAAGGTGGCCGTCATTAGAGACATGATGGCTGTAGGTCCCAGAGTGATGTCCTTGGCAGTCCCAAAGAAACAGTAAACAAAGCAGCCCATGAAAGCTGAGTACAAACCATACTGAAAAAATAATAATAAAAAATGCAGAGTATGAATGCAAAGTAAAGGCCAAACTGTCAAAACAATATTAATAATATGAAGCAGCCAAGGAGCACCGAGTAGTAGAGGCCATACTGTAAGTACAACATAAGTCTCCATATGTGTATTGACTACAGAATGATATATTTTATGGCTAATAATGCTTCTGTGCTTCTTCTGCATGAAATGTTAAAAAGTTTAGGAAGTTGAAAAGTTTTCATCAGAATGTGTTTCAGCATTTGAAGTTTGATAAAAAAATATCTTAATTAGTTTTTTTTTTAAACTGAGCTAAACACAAATGTAAGAAAAGTGAGGTCAAGGTCAAAGCAAAATTAAAGGTAAAAAAAATATTGATGCAGTTGAATAGCTCTCAACTATGTGTCTCAACAGATTATGAAGTTTTCATGAAACTGAGTTAATCAAAATTTAAGTAAAAGTGAGGTCAATGTTAAAGGAAAGGTCAAGGTCAAAATATACATTGCATTTTATATGACAAATATGAAGCAAATATCCTGGATAGTTTTCTCCTTCAAAAGTACCTTCTTATTGGGCATGTTTTAAATGTATGTTAGGCAGATTGATACATTTTTTTTTTACACAATTCATTGTAATGTAGGCAACGCATGTTAAGAGCCATTCTCTGTAATGATTTGAAATTTTATATAGGAGCTGTGGCACGCATAGTCTCAGAATTTCTCCAAATTCTCTATGATGAATGTCATTGATATCCTAAACTGAAATCAGGCAAAAATTGGTTGCTATGTTTTATAGTTACCATGGCAACATGTCTTAAAGTTCGAAAAATGGCATTTTTAAACATGTTTAGAGCCCCATAGTTAACATTTGCGGCAAAGCAAACAATTGTCAATGACTGTTTCCAAAAGTTGAAGGTCAGATGTCTCAAATGCATGATAAACATGTTTGGTAAATCAACTATTACATACGTTACTATGGTAACAAAGTATTCAAAAGTAAAAAAAATATTCATTGAATTTTATTTAGTTATACACGTAAAAATAAAAAGCAATTATAGGATAAAATGTGACCAAATAATAGAAAAAGAGCCTTGAAACACATACCAAGAAAAAAATATGATATTTCATTTTGGTTGGCAATGGTTGCCAAGGTTTTTATACCACAGAGAGCCTTCAAAGTAACACTATGTATGTTTAAATCTGATCCTATCTTTTAAAAAAAAGCACATTTCCTCATAACTAATGACCAATTTCATAAGATGTTGGTGTGCTCCAAATTTTCCCATTTGAAAAAATTCAGATTAGATTCTTTAAATAGAGGGTTGCTATGGAAATAAGCAGAAAATATATGCTTAAAAACCTGAAAAATATTTTGTTTCCTTGGATACGTACCCTTAAATGTAGATTCCCAAAACTTTTATGATTGATATTTATTAACAGCTAGTTTGACTTTTAATTTTGACTATCATCCAATCTCTAAGTGGATGCAAGAAGTTGGCACACAGGGTTTAATATTGATATAAAGTTCACAAAATCGAACATTTTCCCTTCTTGGTAACCATAGCAACAGTGTTGTTTTATTCATCAAATTTTATCAATATATGATATTCAACTTCAGTTCTAACAGATAAGTACTATTCAAGCTGAGTCCTTTAATTTGTTTCTTGATTATATGGCAATTTAATTCTTAATGCAGCGGAAAATAATTCACTTTTAAGCACTGGTACTTTGTTTCCATGGTAACACTACAAAGTAGCAATTATACTCAATTTTTCTTATGGTTTTGGTGTTGCAATGTCCGAAGGATGCATATTTGCCAGTCTTGAATTTTCATGTTTTTCCTCAAGACAGTAGCATTAACCCAATCTTAGTTACTGGTTTTGCATGGTTACACTGTGTTACCATGGCAACCATTGAAGTTATTTATAGAATAATTTTGCTTATACTTATATACTTAAGGTCAAACATTTTCATTGTTTTTCTTAAGTCGTTGATTGAGTTTGAGCATATAACACCTACCATTAGTGAATACTGAGCGTTTTTCAGCATATTTCAGCATTTTAAATGTATTCCAAATGTACCCTTGGTTACCGCTTACTTAGAGATATATTCTAAACAGTTTCTTTACAGTATAAGTGACATCAAGGTGTCATATTTTTGTGAGAATGGTTTGTTTGCTTTTTCTAGTTTTTATTAAGCCACAGTCAAGATTTAAAGTGGCTGAAAATCTCGATTTTTCAAACTTTTCCGGCTGTTGCCATAGCAACCGAGACACGTAGCAACGAAATTTTGTTTGATATTTGTTTCTGGTGTCAAGTACTAAGCATGGGTGAAGTTTCATCAAAATCGGTGACCATGCGTGGCAACGAAGTTTAAGTGGTTACAGAGAATGGCTATTAAAAAGTATAAACTACATGTATATATAATATAGACAAATATTAGACATGTTACTACAAAATTGGATTATTTCAAATGAATGCTTATAATACATGTATATGAAGGCATTTTATTTGATAAAAAGTGATGTTCAAAAGTGAAGTGGATTAGTTTTCAAACCAGAAGTCTCTGTCGAGACTGAAGCTCTACTGGTTTGAACTTAAAGCAAAGGAAGAGAAAAGTACTTAAGGGGGGACCTATGTCCGAAAAGTCTTTGTGTGAAATTTTCAAAACTTTGACATTTCTTTCCTGACCACTTGATCTTAATTTTTAGGTATTAAAAACAATACCTTTATATGCTTATTTTTACACAGGAGCACGTGCAAAAACAGTGTGAAATGCTAAAAATAGATTATTTTCAGACGTTATTGTTCTACTCCAAATATGCGCTAAAAAGAACCAAAAATGTCAAATCACAATCGAAATCAACAGGTATTTAATTTATATGACTTGTATCTTCACAATGAAGGCAAATTCATTGTAATTCATCTCGCATGAAAAATTATACAGGAGCACAATGTAAGTATCACCCCGTTTTTCTTGTGGTATTTTTTACAATTCCGACATGCATAACAGGTTATACCTTAAAAATTCTTTGTGTGAAAATGTGGTAATTCATATTTTTTGAAAGAAATTACCCCTCTCTTTATTTTAACAAGGAAAAAAGTATACCTTTATGATAAAATAAACGAGAAATATAACGTTTTCTTTTATTTTCGTACTCTTTTGTCATAAATATTGACCTTTCTGCACTAAAAAAAGGTAAGTTAGCACTGACAAACATCTGAATGTAAAACTATTTTGCAAAACACGTGTATTTTGTTTTGATAAGAAATAATGTAAACAGATATACTCTTTTTTTCTTCATTCTAATCATTCTGCCCCCCCCCCCTCCCCGTCAACAACCAACACCTAATAGGAATGACTTTATACAATAAAATCTACATACACTATAAATCAATAAGTAGATATAGGTACAAGTACATTTCTTTATTATTCTTAGTTCTATCCAGAAAATACTATTAATGGTAATCATAAAATTAAACATATTTCCCTAATTTAAGCCGCTATCTTTGCTGAATTTTATCTTATATTTTTTGCATTTTTATATCAGCATATCATAGAGGTATTTCTTCACAACTGAAATTGCTATGAATTATCAACCAAAGGAAGAGAATTCTGATATTTTCAAACTCCATAAATCAAATAAAACTGTTTTAAATGATGAAAAAAAATTTCTTTTTGTAAAATGAGTACGTTTTTGATTAATAACAATGTTATGCCTATAATCACAGTTGCAAAAGTCAGCGGGAAAAAAAAACAAACGTCGCTATTGTGACGTCACATAACGCTGCTTTAACGTCGAACGACATAGGTCCCCCCTTAAGCAGCTGGGATATGAAACTTTACAACAGCAATAAATAGAATAATGATCGTTGATAAAGTCTCTTTATGTATCTTAATGTAGTCTACTTGTGTGCCAAGTTATATTGAAATCAGACCAAAACTGTAGCCAGTAGCATTTAGAAACAATTTTACAGATATTTCTATTTTTAGTAACCACGGCAACACCGTTCATTGAAATCAAAAACCTATACACAGAATTATATATCTTAGTGTATTCTACTGGTGTGCCAAGTTATATTGAAATCAGACCAAAACTGTAGGAGGAGTAGCATTTTGAAACAATTTTACAGAAATTACTATTTTTAGTAACCACGGCAACACCGTTCGTTGATATCAAAAACCAATACACAGATTTATGTATCTTGGTGTAGTCTACTTGTGTGCCAAGTTATGCTGAAATCAGACCAAAACTGTAGGAGGAGTAGCATTTTGAAAGAATTTCACAGAAATTTCTATTTTTAGTAACCACGGCAACACCGTTCATCGAAATCAAAAACCGATACACAGAATTATGTATCTAAGTGTATTCTACTTGTGTGCCAAGTAATACTGAAATCAGACCAAAACTGTAGGAGGAGTAGCATTTTGAAAGAATTTCACAGAAATTTCTATTTTTAGTAACCACGGCAACACCGTTCATCGAAATCAAAAACCGATAAACAGAATTATGTATCTAAGTGTATTCTACTTGTGTGCCAAGTAATACTGAAATCAGGTTAAAACTGTAGGAGGAGTAGCATTTTGAAACAATTTTACAGAAATTTCTATTTTTAGTAACCACGGCAACACCGTTCATCGAAATCAAAAACCGATATACAGAAATATGCACGTTAGTGTAGTCTACTTGTGTGCCAAGTAATACTGAAATCAGACCAAAACTGTAGGAGGAGTAGCATTTTGAAAGAATTTCACAGAAATTTCTATTTTTAGTAACCACGGCAACACCGTTCATCAAAATCAAAAACCGATAAACAGAATTATGTATCTAAGTGTATTCTACTTGTGTGCCAAGTAATACTGAAATCAGGTTAAAACTGTAGGAGGAGTAGCATTTTGAAACAATTTTACAGAAATTTCTATTTTTAGTAACCACGGCAACACCGTTCATCGAAATCAAAAACCGATACACAGAATTATGTATCTTAGTGTAGTCTACTTGTGTGCCAAGTAATACTGAAATCAGACCAAAACTGTAGGAGGAGTAGCATTTTGAAAGAATTTCACAGAAATTTCTATTTTTAGTAACCACGGCAACACCGTTCATCAAAATCAAAAACCGATACACAGAAATATGTATCTTAGTGTATTCTACTAGTGTGCCAAGTTATATTGAAATTAGACCAAAACTGTAGGAGTAGCATTTTGAAAAATTGTTTACAGACAGACGGACAGACAGACAGACAGACGGACAGACGGACGGACGCCGGACGCATTACTATCGCATAAGCTCTTCTGGTCTCTGACCAGTAGAGCTAAAAATTAAATTAAATGTAACAAAAAATGGTATATTACATTACCTGAGGTTGAAGATTTGCAATTTTAGCGTAGGCCAATCCCTGAGGAATAACTGTTAGTCCTACCGTCAAGCCAGCAATCACATCACATTGTAAATGACGTAGACTACAAAAAGGAAATAATGTCATCTCCTTTTCTTCACAATTATAGTAGCTTGATTAAGGCATTTTTTTTAAAATAATAATGCTGTTTATAATTTATGTTCATATCAGAATTATATCTCAGTCATCCATTATGCTGATTGAAGACAAACTTGGCAACTAAAGGACCAAGAAGTACTGTAAATAAAAGTTCTTGAAATACTGTAGATGTAGTTTTTTCCACGTGGTATTAATGTAAGCGGTCACAAATTTTCCACAGAAATTTGTCCAAGCGAACGTAATATAAATGTAAGGCATATAGTGACAATCTAGAAAATCCACATAATTTTCCACCTGCAGATTAAACAGAAATTAAGATTCCGCGGAATTATGACTCCGTGGAAATAAGTACGTCTACAGTATAAGAGTAGAAAGCTTTCTTTTATAAAAAGCAAATTTTTTCTGCAAAAATGTTTCATTAAGATTATCAATAAATCATTTTATAAGCATGTGAAATAAGTAATGTCTGCTTATTTTTTTATGATAATTTGGTTTATTTTTTTATTTGCACAGATTTTATCAGCTCAAATGCACTAGTTTTTTGGTCACTTTTCTTTAAATTATTTTTTTTTATCATGAGTGTTTATTTCCATCAACTTCTTAAACTGGTTCAAACAATAAATAAATAATAAAAATCAGGCATAAAAAATTTAAGGCTATGAAAATGGATTTTTTTTGGAGTTGTGGGATTAAAGTAAAAAAACAATTTACACAAAACTTTATTATGATAATCATTATACATTTTTAATTTCTTGTACCTGTATTGTGGAAGCCACTTTGTGATAGGAAGTTTGGTTTTCAGGTTATCCTTGCTGCAGCATTCATTGAGCTGCTTTTTAGCTGTCCTCTTGACTAACACAGTAAACCCCATGCTGTCCCCTGCCTCCTCCTGAGATGTCTCCGGTACACTGATACTCTGACTGCGCTCCCCAGAATAGTTCGAGTTGGTTCTCCTTCTGGACTGGTCCCCCAGAAGTGGCTCTCGTTCCCCAGAGTTGCGACTCATGGTTCTGTGCTGCAGTCATCCTTTTATATATGCAAGAAGAAATTGATAAATTTATGGGGACAAGTTCAAAAGAGGCAAGGTTTGTTTGAATAAAGGAGAGATAACACACTGCAGCCATATGCTTCTGGTCTACGAAGTGATTGTTCTGTTAAATATTTTTAGTTAAAACAAATACATGTATATACAAATTTAATAATAAAAAATTTAATAATCAAACAACAGAGGTTTAACAATCTGATCATTTTTAACTTTTTTTTAAAGCTTGATATTGTCTGAAAATATCACTTTTTTTTAGGATAATTAACAGAACATTAATTCTTTGAAAGTTTGTGAATTAACAAGAAGACCTTTTACAAGTACACAATGATCAGTCTAAACCTAATTTATGTTAATGTCTTATCCATTTTTTTCTCTTTTTTTAACAAAAATATATCAAAGCCAGAAATGAGATTGGATTTTTATGCAAAACTCCATATGATTTTTTTTGTTATTCCCACAATTAACTATGCACAACTGAAAATAGTATGGGTTTGTTCATTAGTTTTTTTTTTAAGGGGGGGGGGGTCTGCAGGAATGTGGTTATTATTTTTTAATATATGTGAACTTAGGGTTCCATCTTTGAGATCTTGTAGCACAATATCTCAAGCATTTGGATATCTCCCAGATTTTTTTGGTCCCACTGAGTTCAAGATAGTGAGGTATGAATATTTTCAATAAATAAATGCATTTCATGATAAAATCAAAAGGAGTTAGAAAAGCTTAACTATATAAAAAAGAGAATTATCTATTATTTTTCTATATTTTTTTTTAAAACTCATGTGATAATTATCACTGAATACAGAATAAATGGTAAGTAATATGGTAACAGAAAATGAGCTTATAAGGAAAACAAAATGAAATTTAAATTCAAATTTACATAAAACTGGAGAATGAACTTGAATTGATAAATATTTAACCTTAGTTATTATTAACTTGTCTCCATTTTGCATAGTAGGATGTCCAAAATTCCATATGCAGGGTCTACATTTAATTTAACTGACATCCTCCTCCATGGCTCATCAAACAAGATTGAGACATAAAAATCGGAATCATTAAACATTTTGTAAATTACATTTTATGAGAGCATTTCCAAAATGAAAAATAAATTCTGACTTATAGAACTTATAAAATATATTATAGAAAAATATTCCTAATAATCAGTTATCTCTCAAATACCAGGTTCGCACTTTTTAGGTCTACATGTACCTATAATTTATCAATTATTCCCTCTTCTACATTAAACGTTTTACACGTAAATCCACAAGGACTCTTCTCTCTAGGTATGATAGAAATTTTCCCCTTATCTTGGAGGTGGTCCTAAATGCAGTCCTTATCAATGATAATTATTGGAGAGCTCTTGAAATCTCAGATCACTCTGCTTTACCTGCAGTTGTAAAGTCTTTTGTTTCTTTCATCTTGATTTCTATTTCCCTTTGTAATTTACAACATATTTACCAGCTGTTCAGGTGTTTTTGATGTTTTCAAAGACCCACTTTTACAAGACTCTACCAAAAAGTAATATATAGTTTGTATACAAAATGTCCATTTCAAGTTTGTTTTCCATAAGACTTGCTTTGAACATCCAAAACTCAATAGCTTAGGTTCAGGGATATTCTAGTTTGTCTTAAACAATTGTAAGCCTGTTGTCCTAAAGACCTAAAAATTTATGACATATTTTGGTAAAGTTTCCTAAAATAAAATGTCCTTAGTCCTATTATTCATGTTTACACCAATAGTGCATATGAGTACTACTTGATCTGCATTCTTATGTAAAAAGTAGGTGATCTTGAAAAACACGAGGCTCCAAGAGCCAGAATTGCTCACCTGGCTGTACTAAATCAAGGTATTGGTTTTTTGTGAACTCAACGCACTTAATGTCTTTCCGCGATCTATAAGAGTTTAACAGCAAAATCCATTTTTTGCTACAGTAAACCCTAAATATCTGCCCAATCAGAAAATAAAATAGGAATGCACAATGACATCATGAAATAAAAATTCTGTGAGATTTACAAATAGATCTCTGAGAGTTATTCAGGGTTTCCTTAATATTTGCATTCCTGACAATTTATTGAAAGGGGCATAAAATTTTACTGACTATTGAGAACTACAGCATAATGCTTCCTATCAAAATTGTACAGATAATTAAACTAACATGAGATACTTACTATTATATTCAGTGATGCACATCAGAATTTCAACAGAACACATCTAAATTACTTAAGATTGGATCTAAGAGCATATCTTGAATTACTCTATACTCAAGGCATTTATTACAATGCCCATTTTCCAATACTTTTTTAAAAGCAAATCAAGATTAGAAAGAAGATCATTATCTTTATAGATTTACATTTTACAATATCTTGGAAATATCTCCTTTGCAGACACATATTTTACTAAATTTTGAACTCTTTTACTGAGCACTTTGAACTTCTAGCTGATAATAAATATCTGCAATAGCCTACATTATAAAAGTGCATGAAAATTATTGAGCCGCTAGAATTGTGTCAAATGTTTCCATCACCTACTAGACATCCAACTAATGCAAATACTAGTACATGCAGCAGTCTAATGGCTGCCCAAATCTTTTATCATACAGGTCACTAACTGTGCTTTCAGACTACATGTACATGTATTAAAAAAACTTTAATTTTTATTTTGACCAGAAACAGAGAACTGTTTAAATATTTTACATCTGATTGTGCTGAGATTGTATAATTCACAAAAAATCAAAGTAATCGAGAAATTTTTTTTTGAAACACTTATGCCCCCTCCCCCTTGATATACATGCAAAGAAAATGAATGGAAACTGCAAATAATTGGATTTTTTCTCTAAGTCCTAGGGGCATAACTCTGTCAAAAATTGCTCGATCAAACCCAAAACAGAATATGACCTAGATATTCTTATATTAAATCTATTTTATTACCAAATATCATTCTCAGTATGTGCAACCTCTGAAAAAAAAATGAACGGAAACTGCAAATAACTGGAATTTTTCTCGGTCTAAGGGACATAACTCTGTCAAAAACTGCAAATAATTGGAATTTTTTCTAAGTCCAAGGGACATAACTCTGTCAAAAATTGCTCGATTGTACCCAAAATAATTTTGACCCAGATATTATGATAAATTTGTTTATCAAATTTCATTTCAGTTTGTGCAACCTCTACAAAGAAAATGAACAGAAACTTGGTGGACTGACAGACTGACAGACAGAGAGTTGCAAAGCAATATGCCCTCCCTTCTCCAAAGAGCCCTGGCTTAAAAAAGATTTTCTTGATGTTAAAAATACATCTTATTGGACAACAATCAAAATTTAATTACTTTTAATTGTATAACCATGATAAAGTGCCAGGGATGGACAATTTTGCTTCATTATATATATACATTTATATTTCATTTGCTTTATCCATAAAGTTTAAATATATTCTAAACATTACAGGAAATGAAAATCATTTTGCTGTAAACATCAATTCATTAAAAGTGTGTTTGCTATCAACATGTTTAACAGCTTTACAAGTTATATAAACTTCACATTTATAGCTCCACTGCTCATGATGTAAGGTGTCTGTCACAAATCTGATTGTCTGTATGTGAAAGATCTTTCAAAATGTTCCTCATTCTTATAGTTTTTGTCCATTTGATATATAATTTAATTTAAGTTGTAACATATCATTTGATTGAAAAAAATGATTCTATCCATTTTATATAACATAACTTGCCTACGTCACAATGAGTTACGTCAAAAAATATATTACTCCACTTGACGTTACTTTTAAAATATGCTATATTTGAAGCCTTTTTCTGGAGGAAAAATTGTCTCATTGTCTACACTGAAATTAAATTATAAGGAATGAAGCTTATTTTAACTTATGTCATATCGTATAACATAAGTTGAAATAAGCTTCATTCCTTAAATAAACTCTAATTTTAAAACACTGAAATAAAGGAATGACATTTCTCCAAATCAAATACCGTTTGTCCAACACATTGTGAAAATTGTCCGTTCTATGTTTAATTCTGACTCATTTCCAACGAAATTGGTTTCTAATGATATTTTCTCATTAAATAGCACATAATTCTGTCACAATTTATATCTTTATCACATTTTGCATGTTAAGCTCCATTTTGATATCATTCATGCAGTAGCAAAATTGCTATAACTTGTTGAAGTATGAGGGTGTTGGACGCATTTCACCCTAAAGCAAAAACATAGAGATATGAGAAAAAAGATAACAAATACAATGTACTTCTGATATCTATAGCACTTGTCCAGGGTACACTTGTCTGCTTCTTTCTGGGTGCATGGGTTTAAAAAAGTTTTTATGTTCTAATTTTTGTACGTACACCCACCTAGGTAAATCAGAAAAAAATAGCACAAAACACAGTGGGCTGTGTTAGCTAAAAAAAGAAATCTATTCTACTTGCTGAACATTCCATGACCCTCACTTGGTTCATTCAAACCTAAGTCATATTTCTGATACAAATGATAATTTTTTGACATAATGATCTTGATGCTAGGCTATGGACATAAAATATACATAAAAAAGTTTAACTAAATTGTTTTTATCAAGTAACTTTACAATACATCTACCTAATTGCATGTTTATAAACCCCATAACTAATAGTATACAATTAAAGTATATCATTGAGGGAGTTAGCAAGATTCCAGTTTCCCAAGACCAGGACTATTTCCCGAGGTGCAATGCGGTAGTAAAATCTAAAGTAGAAGTAAAATCTAGAGGATTACGGATATTTGGGGAATTAGCTTCAGAAGCAGGCATTAGCTCATTTAACTAACGCATGGGGAATTAGTCAATTCACTGAGATTTCTAGGGAATTATTCACATTTTACTGCCTTACTTTTATATGGGGAAAAATCAGTAGAGGTATAATAATTATTATTAACATATATAATATCAAATTAGTGACAATGAATGTTAGATTTTTGCTGTTTAACTTTTATGTATAGGAAATAATTGCAATAGACCATAGTATTACAGGGTTTTGAATTTGAGCCCCCTCAGGGCTGAATCTCCATGCAGGTGCTCTACAAACTGAGCTGCAAACTAATCCACCCTGTCTGACTGCCCCATTTCTTCCTCCTAGAACATGTTGAAGGTCTTCAGCCCTCAGACACCAACCCAGGCTCTTCCCTGGCATTCTGTCTTTCACTTGACACTTCCAGTGCCTGGCACAACAACAATTTTATTGAGCACTTACAAAGACAAAATGTATGGCTGGACCATGAATTGAACCTGGGACCCCTGCATCACCAGTCAGGTGCTCTACCAACTGAAAAAACCAACTGATCAAACCAGTCTAACCACCAGGTATAATATAGGCTTACAGTACTTTCAATCAGAAATATTTGTTGGGAATTTAACTTCATTCATTGCATTTTAAACAATATTAACTAAAGCAACAAAATCAAAAATACCATATGAAATTTTTATCTCTATATTGAATAGGGATTTTTTTCAAAGAACAAAATTTAATGGAATGAATTCTTTTTAATTGTCAATTAAACAAAATTTTATCCCCTTATTAACCACTCATCAAGATTAGTATGGAATCACTCTGAGACTGCAATGATGACATATATACCAGGCATTTGCCATCACCATCTCATGAAGTTCAAATTGAAGCCTCTCTCCACAAAAAAAATTAATTAGACAAAAATGAAAACATGTCTAACTTCCAAATAGTCAATGATACCTTAATTTTTTATATTCCTCGTAGTTAATTAATTATACACAACACACGTTCTCAAGCAGAAAGTGCATGTAATTGTGTGGGTCTCCCACTGGGTGAGTGGGGGTGGGGATTCAATGTTGATTGTTTGATTGAGGATTGAGCTTATTTTATCCTTTATAGTATTTGTGCCAGTTTATGAAACTTGTAAATATTAGTTTATATACAGTGTATACATCTGCTATCCCATTTTTTTCTCTCTTTTTTTTTTTTTTTAGATTAGGCTCTATATATGATTTTAATTAGTTCCTCCTTCCCGAGTTGTCTATTTAAAACCCTCTCAAGTTTGTTTTCCTTTGTAATTTACAAATAAGTATTTCAAATGATAGCTATATTAATTACAAAGGAATTTCCACCTCTGTTGATCAAGTGATGAGTGTATAAAGAAATATCAAAACCCAACACTTTACATTACGGTTGTTCCTTATTTCGTGAACGTCCTCAGAAAGAAATAAAACATCTAATCGCTTTGCAACTGTTTCTAGGAATGTATAAAAAAATATTAATATACATTAATATTGTCAACCTAAAATTAGTCCTTTAAATGTTCACTGTACTTCTGAAAGAAAACCTACCCATCCAAAATTTTGAGATAGGGAGCAAAGTGCTTCGTGACATTCGGAACTCCTCTATCTTTAAAATGAAAGTAGAATTGTTTTGATTCTGACGAATTTATAACTCCTATAAATCATGGAAAGATTTTATTTAGTTGTCAAGTTCATAATTCTTATATACAATATATTAGACTGTACGTGTAAAAACGTTTTGTTGATAGTCGGTAAGTTATGTAAAAAGATCATGGTACATGAATCTATAGTGTTGCATCACTGTCATCACATGTTGCACACACATATGTCAAAATCACATGAGGAAGGGGTAAGAATGCATTGAATGGGGGAACTTTTTGCCCCCCCCCCCAAGCAATTAAGGTCAGACGACACGTTCCTAAAAAATATATAACTTTTCCTAAGAATTTGTCATTGAAGTTAGTATGCAGGTACTAAAACAATTAAGTTTCTTCACAAAAAATTAGGGTACTTACCAGGCATTTGGACAAGATACCACAGGGTCATATTTCTTATATAACCCTAGTGCGTAATCTTTTGAATGGCATATATCGTATATATGGTACTTATATTTAAAAACATTTTGAAAACAATGTAGAAATATAATCAGAAGAGAATGACAAATACACTGTATGAATATTCTTATATATAATACCTAGAGATACAAAACATAAATTTGAGGAACGTGTCGCCTGACCTCAAAAGGTTAGAGATTTTCTATAATGATGATATATTTTCTTTGAACAGCTGATGATGCTGGTTTTGAGACACAAGTCTACAACAACAGTGTATGTAAAACTCCTCATCTAAACAAGCTCGGATCTCAGAGCCTCATTTTCACTCATGCCTACACTTCAGTCAGCAGCTGCTCACCTAGCAGGTAAAGGATGCAAAGACATACGTAGCTGCAATAATGTAGCCCTCAGTATTACTCTGTATAATTAAGACACTATTTTGTAAGATTATACGTGATGAAAAATAAAATTGATAATGACCTATAGGATATTATATGACAAATGACACAACATGAATTGGGTTGAAATTCATGTCAATGACAGAAAAAATGTAAATATTTGCCCCATCATTATTAATGATCTGACAGTTTGACGTTGACATGATTTAGGTAACTAGTAGCAGAAAAAATGTATATATTTTGTTTTTACCAGATTTCTTTGAAGTTTAGACTATTAGTATAACATGTTTCATTCATTCAAATTCTGTCCGCTGACATAATATGTAATAGAGTTCTAGATCTTTACAGTTGAATCCTAATATTCAGATCACTAGAATATGAGTGTAAGTCTTTTGCTTACAGATCCACTATATTATCTGGACTACCCCAGCACCAGAATGGAATGTATGGACTTCACCAAGATGCCCACCATTTCATGTCATTTGATGGAGTCCGCAGTCTTCCAAACTTATTACGTCAATCAAATATTAAAACAGGTATGAAAAAGAACTACAGTAAACATTTTCTTCTTTTCAAAGTATGTTATACTCTATGTTTACATTTTTTAAAAAAAGGACATATTTACAAAATCTTCACACGGAGAAAAAACTTAAAAATTAAATTTTGGCAAAATTCAAATCCGTCAAAGAAAAAATATGTTAATCACTGAAATATGTCTCCAGACACTGTGGCATTATGTCAAATGCATTTGCTTCTGCATAAAGTGACGTGATTTGCAAATGACGTCATAATAGCCTTCCCCACGCCTGACTGTCGAAGTAAAAATTTAATTCGCAAGTTTAGCATTAGCTGTCGTGTGAACGCTATTTAATTCGCATTAGTTTGATTCGCATTAGTTTACTTCGCATTAATTTACTGCGAATTAAACTCGTCGTGTGAACAGGGCATTAAAAATTAAATTTTAATTTCTAAAGTAAAGCAATTAAAGCTCCCAGCAGTACGTGTGTTTTAAATAAAATTAAGGTTCATAAATCCTCTGCTCACTCATATAAAATGTTCCTTTACCTTTTATGATTTTCCAAAAGAAATGTATTTTATAAAATAAATACAAACAATTATGGCATAGCTTCCGGGGCAAAATTAAACAAAAAATACATTTCAACTTGACATATCATAAAGGAATGATAGACATTTATGTTATTAAGAGTTATCTCTCTTATCAGAGTATCAATGAACCTTAAATATGTGCTATATCAGTTGTTATTCATTTGCCAATGTATTATAACTATTCCAATGTTATGGAAAAACAAATACATAAGTTGTTGCTATTGACAGGAATCATTGGGAAAAAGCATGTTGGACCAAAGTCTGTGTATTCATTTGACTTTGAAGAAACTGAAGAAAACAATTCAATTTTACAAGTTGGAAGAAACATTACACACATCAAACAGCTGGTGAACAAGTTTCTCTCCCTGTATAGAAGCAGGTTGTATTTCTTAGTATTCCATTATAAATAGAATTTTTCTGTAGGTTGATCAGGTCTCCATATTAATTGTGGATGCAGTCAAAAGATTTTTGGTGTACATTTTATGATTATGAAACCATCAATTTGATTATCTTTCGCCAGCATAATTTTATATTTCAGTTACATGTAAATTTTCAGCCCCTTCTTCTTGTACATTGGTTTCCACGACCCACACAGATGTGGACACACCCATCCTCAATATGGAGCCTTCTGTGAGAAGTTTGGGGATAACTCTAGTGCTGAAATGGGCCACATACCTGACTGGAATCCCATTCATTATGATTTTCGTTCCATTAAGGTACCATACTTCATCCCAGACACACCTGCTGCTAGAAAAGATATTGCTGCTCAGTATACCACCATCAGCAGGCTAGATCAAGGTAAAAATCTGAAACAGATGACAGACCCCAGTTAATTGTATACATATTGTAATTGGTACATGTATTACACTTCTTTGTTGTAGAATAAACATAAAAATGCAAAAAGGGGGGTAACTCTTTCCATCAGATATTAAAATTGTTGTACTCTTATGCCTCATGTGAGGCCTTGTGTGAATAAAAAGTTTCAAAAGTTTCAAGACTTTTAACAAGGGCACTGCAATATGGACCACAATCTTGCAAAAGAGCATTCCAAACCTCACTTCTGTTACACACACACAAGGGTAAACTAACCCACCCACAAATACACAGAAGTGCATTACTTTATCCCCTCCAACTTCATCTTGAGGGGATTAGAATGGGTTTATCTTCCAAACTCAGATGTAATGATAACATGTTTCCTTTCCAGGAATAGGCCTAGTTCTAGGAGAGCTGGAGAGACAGGGGCTACTACAGGACACTCTAGTGATTTACACCTCAGATAATGGTGTACCATTCCCCAGTGGTAGAACCAATCTGTATGAGCCAGGGATGTCTGAACCATTTCTCTTGTCCTCTCCCTACCATAAATCTACCTGGGGAAAGGTAAATGAACTTTAGTTTTAACAGTTAAAGATTGATAATCTTTTATTGATTAATGCATAAAAGGCATGCATGATTACGAAAATAAGATTTTTTTGGTCACTCATTTACCAACAACGAGCACAGTATTGGACCATTTTTTTTCCTCTGCTCTGTTTGAGAAAAGAAATACAATGTGAACTAGTCCACTGTAATGCCAGTAATTTGAATAAAATATCTTAGAGCTAGAGGTACCACTACTTGAATAATGGTTTGCAATTCTCCCTTTTTTTTCTTTCAGAGAAGCAGAGCCATGACAAGTTTACTGGATATTGTGCCAACAGTGCTAGATTGGTTCAAAGTGCCATACCCCCAGTACAAACTTTTGCATCATCCTGTACACCTGACTGGGAAATCTCTTCTCCCACTTTTAGATTCTGATAATACAGAATCATGGGATACTGTGTATGCAAGCCACAATTTACATGAAGTTACCATGTATTATCCAATGAGAGTGATTCGAACGAATCAGTATAAACTAATTTATAATTTAAATTTTCGAATGCCATTTCCCATTGATCAAGATTTTTATGTTTCACCAACATTTCAGGATATTCTAAATCGCAGTAAATCAGGAGACCCCACTCATTGGTCAAAATCTTTATACAGCTATTATTATCGTGATGTATGGGAGCTATATGACATCATCAAAGATCCACAAGAAAAAGTGAATCTCTGGGGAGATCCTACACATAAAAAAATCCTGGAAGACTTGAAAAACAAACTGCACCAATGGCAGAATTTAACCTCTGACCCCTGGATCTGTTCCCCAACAGGAGTGCTTGAGGACAAGGGACGGTATCAGAGCAGTCCGCAGTGTTTGCCACTATACAATGGATTAGAACCAGGATAAATCTTTAAAAATCTCAATACACTGAACTGCATAATAGAATTATTTGTAAAGCCTTGTATATTGTGTTATTCAAATGCAAGATTGCTTGCTCATTATGTTTAATATATTTTTAATGTACGGATGTTTTTTTAATACAAGATGTGACTTAAGTAAATGTTTTAAATACTGTTACTTGTATGACTGTTTTTCTTCAATGTTAGCAACAATTTTGGCCCAATATTTTGTTTTGAATTGAAGCAATTATTTCTATTTATAGTCCCCACTTAAAGTGGAATACATCCGAAAAGGATACAGAGATACAGTCAAACTTTGTTATCTCGAACTCAATGGGACTGAGAAAAAACTTCGAGATATCCAAGGATTCGAGATATTGAGGGTAAAAATACTTAAAGAATAAGTGTTTGAGACTTCAAAATCACATCGACATATCCACGGTATTCGACTTATCTGTGTTCGAGATACCAAAGTTCAGCTGTACTTTAAAACAAATAAAAAATACTTGTTGATCATTTTATTAATAATCTATACATACCAATGTAAAAATAATATGAATACATGTATATAAATATATGTTGGATCCTCTCAAATATAAAACCATTCACACACCATCTCCACTCATGCAATACATCGTACACTTAAAATGGTTATCATCGTGAAATGTCTATGCAAACATCAAAAGTGATGTGAAGGAATATTGGTATCACAGCTTTAAGCAAATATTTGATATTAACTGTAAAGATCATAGATTTTGAATAATTAATATCAACTTGTTCTTGCTTAATATCCATATTGGCAAACAAATTTGACAAAAATAATCCTTTTTAGTGCATTCTCCCCTTAAATTCCTGGAATTTTTTATACATAAGGTGAAATATCGGCGATCTACAAATTAATGGCTGGCTTGTATTTTGAGATCAATATTAACAATTTGTTGACAACCGGGAAGCACAGTTCTCTCTAGAATAGCTTTTTGAAGTGCTAGTCAAAAATGGATACTATGTCCGTAAAATCCAGGACTGAAGTGGTCAAGTTTATCACAACCCTCCCTATGACTGAACCCCTCTGCCGAACCCCTAGGCTAGTTTGTCCCCTGACTGGGGGACCTTGCTGACGTAATTCATCACGGCCATCTGTAGGACCTGGGCCCTCTGCATCTCCTCCTCCCTGATGCTGTTCACCTCCGCCTCCCGAGTCTTCAGACGTCTCTTCAGACTCTCTATCTCATTCTCCTTCTCTTCTAAAATTTCCCGATGTCTCAAAAGTTGTTCTGTAAAACAATTAGTTTTCTTTAAATCAGTCTGAAAATTTTAAGCAAGCCTAGGCATTCAATCTCTTTTTTAGCAGACATGTAAACAAGAGAACTCTAGGAATTTTTCTTAACATGCAATTAAAATGTTATGTACTGCACTAAGTTCTTACCTGACATCTTCCTATCAACCTCCCCTAGTTTCTCTCTGAGTTCTGTTTGAAGTTTCCTCTCGGCTTCTAGTTTGTTGACGGTTTGGTTTAGCTCAATTTTAACTTTGCCTACTTCTGACAGGGTGATGCTGTTCTTTTCTGCTAATTGCTGAAATTAAAACAAACACAGAAATAAAATCCGAACTTTGTTTAGAAGAAAATAAGACCAACAGAATTGTCAATTCTCGACTTTTATAATTATATCTATGAGTAGCAGGGGAAAAATAGTCCAAGAAAATTATTGGAAAATATGTACCGTAAATATAAATCTTCATTATAGCATTTTACCAAAGTCCCTACCATAGCATTCACTCTATGAATATTTGTAAATAATTGATATAAACAAGATATACAATGAAGCGCATTGAAATGATAAAATTTTCCATTTGGATGAAATTTTTTGAGCTACATGTATCTTTAGACAGGCCCATTTCTTTAGAAAGGAAAAATCGGTCAAATGATTCAATCAAATACCTGTAGAACAGGTATTCCATATATATAATAGCCAATCAAATTGACGGTCTACATAAACACCGAGTAAGCACATGTTCGACTGATACATGTGTTATGCTAACTCCAATAAACATGATAAAATCATAATTATGTACAAATTTGTTTCAATGTGTGTTTTACAGAAGCAGGGACTCTATATATATATCTCTTTCTTATTTAAAAATCTTCATTTCAGTGTAACTCGTGTTGCTTGTCGCGGAAAGTGGGGTGTCCTAAAACATTACAACAAATATTTCTTTTTCTTTTCTAAAGAAATGGGCGTGTCGTTATGTTATAATTGACGTTCAAAACATGACTCAGAACGTATCATCCAAATGGAAAATTTTACCACTTCAATGCGCTTCATTGTACTAGAAGGTGAGGACATTCATTAATCTTGGAAATTTTCCTTAAATCTGTTTGAATACCTCATTAGATTCCTCCACTCGTTTCTTGGCATTCTCTAGTTCTAACGTAAGTGAACTGATGCGTGACTGAAGCTCACTGATGGTTGAGGACTGTTGATTACATCTGCTCTGTACTTCATCCTTCAGGGCCATGCTGACTCGTAGCTTCTCCTCCATCTGCCTGTACCTGTTTTCCTGAAAAAGCATGTAAGTGTTACACTGGAAAAGAATTCCTAGCTATCTCACATAAATAAATTCACCCACGTGGTGCAGTGTTTGGAGCATCTGCTCCAGAGTTGCGAAGTAAGGAGATAATCCTTGTGTAGCAGGTTCAAATCCAACTGTGGAACATGGAGACTGGTCATTTGGATAAGACAGAGGTCCCATGTCACAGTAGATGCTGGCACGAAAAAGATCCCTCACTGCTCAATGGACCAAATATAGGACATAAATTTGCAGCTATCCACTGGCAAATGGTGGCATCTCCATATAAGTGAAAAATTCTCAAAAGGGACGTTAAACAACATACAAATAAACAAACGACATAAATAAGGTGTTGTGAAAACATAGGGGATCTACAGTAACGTTACCTCATCAGCCTGAATTTTCTGTTTTGCCAGTGATAATTGTTCTTCATGCTGGATTTTCTCAACCATGGTGCTGTTCTTCAGACGACTGATTTCTTCTTCCAGTTCCAGACGAGACATTTCCAGTCGCTGAATTCTCTCCCTTAGAGTGTTCTCTGTCTCCTCACATTCCTGTCTCACTCTCCCGACCTGGAAATTAGTTATAAACATGGATTTTTTAGGTAAACATGGCAGCAGTACCCCAACCCCACCTTACTCTCCAAGCAAGCACATACTGTAAAACAAGATGTCACACTTTTATTTGACTATTACCTCTTTGTGTCTCAACTGCTCTGCTTCTTTCATTTCATCCCTGTGTCGAGTTTTCTCTTGTTGAATTCGATCTTAAACATATGCATGAAATTTTGTTTACAAGAACTCTACTTTAATTTCAGTGAACAAAATGAATATCAATAAATATCTGTCAAGTTTAGATAAAGAAAAAGCAATTTTTTTCTTCCTGGTTGCACTCACCATCAAAATGTGATCCTTTGAGCTTCATTTCTGCCTGTAAGTGTGTGATTTGTTCTTTGAGTTCAAATATCTGTTCTTGCTGCATCCGACATCTTCTATCCAGGTCCTCGGATTTGGTCTCCAGCTGAATATTTTTTTCATGGGCTTCAGATAATTCTTTATACAACTTCGCTTCTAGCTTAGCCCTTTCCTGAAATATTACAAGCAAAGCACTTGTCAACATTCAAGGATTGAGAATTAGCAGTAAATTCTACGTGCAGCATACATTTACATGTATAAGAAATGAGATTTTATAAGTGCAACCCTCTTCTTGACATGATCAGGTTTTAATATATGTTTGATTGCTACCTGTATTAGTTTTAAGAAGTGAAGGATAAATTACAGCATTTAAGGACTGTAATGTCTCACAGTCACTCTTTTAAAACAAATACCTAATTGTAATGATTTACAATGTACATTTATAAACAATATCTGATCAGTTATGTGCAGGGGGAGAGGGGGCTACCTCATGGTCCCTCCTAATCAAAAATGTGCAGGAAGTTGAAGGAATCAGAAAACCTACCTCATGGTCCCTCCTTATCTCCTCCTGGTGCTCCGACACTTTGATCGTCAGCTCCTGTTTTAGTTTGGCTACCAGCATATTCCCATCATTGACTTTCTGTTCTGTGAGGGCAAGTTCAGACTCTGTCATTGCCAATCTGTAAATAAAAAACAGCTCTCATAAAATTTACACTCTAAATATTCTTCTAGATAGTTGATAAGGATCAACACAATAAAAAATGTTTTAAAAAGATTGAGGAAGTTACTTTGCAGCTAAGGAGTTGAATGAAGCTTTTCTTTCTTCAAGTGCATTTTGAAGTTGTTCAACTTTGGTACTGGTAGACCTGGAATATGAAAAAGAAAAATACCTTTAGCATGGTAATCATGCTTAAACAACCAATGCAGATTTTATTCTGAAAAATAACATTACATTACAATCTAAAGACTTTAGCATCATACCTTTTTGATCGCCTCATTAGATCTTCTTGTTTATCTATTGTATCCATTAGTTCACTGATCTGCAGACATAATGTTAATAATTTTAATAAAACTAAGATGGCTATAATAGTGCTCATAAAAGTGTGATTTCTATTTAGAGTTTGAAGAAAGTTCAAGTAGATTTAATGCAGAAATTCAATATATACATGTACATGCAGGTAGTGAAACTAACACTTGCATGAAGAATCTAACAACTTAGTACATGTAGATGAAATACTGATTTGTCTGAAACTGAAATTCGTTGTTTAAAAATTTTCTTTGCAACAACACATGGGACATTATAGAAAAACTTGAGAATTTCTAACCTCTAGTTTCTTCTCATGTTCCAGCTGCTTAACATGTTTGGCCATTACAGTCATTTTGGTTTTGTGGTCATCCTTTAAAAGAGCTCTGTCTTCATTCTGACTAATGGCTAAATCTGAAAATATTTCATAAACATTTCAATGAATGTAACTCATCTTCAGTTATATAAAATTCTCTGATTACTGTTGACTGCAATTTTTCAGAAAATCAGAAAAGAAAGAATTTTTTTCTTTAATCATAATTACAATATAATATATTTTTACCTATGGACTTTAAGATATCTCCCGGAATGTTGTTCCCTGCTAACTCCAAACGACATAATGTCTTGTTTGTCTTCAGCATTTCCAAAATGGCTCTCCCTCCTAGCAAACCAATGCTATTCCATCGTAAATCTGAAATTGTAAATCCATCTAGAGTGCTATAGAAATAAAATTTGAACTTAAGTTTTCGTGAACTGTATGCATATATGAATTACTAAAAAAAAAACATCAATGTATATGGGGACCCAATGTTTCTTGATTTTTTTTTTTATTTGCTAACCTCACCCCAAGAACCTACACCCAACTAAAATAACTTTGGGAACTATTTGTTTCACTGAACTTTCTGTATATATTAATATCCAACTAAACCACGTCCATGGAACCTGTAAAATTTTGGTTGCCCACAAACATCAACCATAACAAATTAGATTCCCTTACTTCCTACCTAGAGCCCGTAATGTATTGTTTCTTTTTAGTGCTGCGGCTAACTCCACAGCTCCGTCATGACTGATCTGGTTATTTCGAAGATCCAGGGCTTGTAAATTGTCGTTGGATCCAACGCCATCACAGAACATGGCAAAGGAGTTATCTAACAATCCAAAGGCATTCCACTCAAGGCATATACTGAAATCAGCCAGGTTATATTAAACTACTTTGAGTTCAGTAAAGCAAAGTGTATGTAGTATTGTTTGTTATGATATTACTAAATATGCATGTACAATATATCCACATACATGTACATGTACATACATTTATATTTTTATGCATGTACAATATATCCACATACATGTACATGTACATCCATTTATATTTTTATGCATGTACAATATATCCACATACATATATTCATATTTTTTAATGTTTAAATTTGCCACAATGAACTGAAAGTGCATTAAACACCAACACTGACAAATCAAGAAAATCAAGAAATCTGAGTATTTTTCTACCTATAGTATAGATTAAACAGATAATTCTGGGAAGTCATTAAAACGAAATGTTTCCAGCATGTGTAAGAAATACCCTTCAGATGATCTATGGATATTTTTCAATTTAAATGATAAAAATAGATTTCTGAAACAGTAAAACATCCTCATGTATATTATTTATCACAGACTGGCTTTCATTTAATGACCGGAGGGAGGAGGGGGGATTATTTTACAATTTTACATTAGAGTAATTCTAAGACAAAAAGCTCTCTTGCACACATTAAGAATTCATTCAGTTTTTTCCCAATATCATAAAGCAAACTTGTCTTCATTTGCTGGATCTGATCTAGGATAGTTAATTGTATTTACAATGTACCTTAGAATTGTGTGGTTGTGTCTCAGCATTTTTCCTATGGCCTCCACTCCACTGCCTCTGATGTTGTTACCCTGTATATATATAATTTTCACATGTGTTCAAATTAAACACATTTTAAAAATTTTACATCCAATGAGATAGAGAACAAGTGTTTAGCCAAATGAACCACAGCTTCATTTTGGAAAACTTTAAGCATGAAATATTTCAAGTTCATAAAGGAATGCAAAGAAGTTCATAGAATGGCATGTTTATTTTTAAAAGGATATATCTGGAGCATATACCATATTTATGTGTAACTCTCCTTTCATCATTTAGATTCACACCTATTATATAATTCAAAAAAACATATAGTCTATGTATTTTCCACTGCAGTCAACGATTACCTTCAAGTCAAGCATTTTGCAATAAGAATTAGTGGTAAGTCCATGGCTCAGACCTTTCACTGCTGCAAAAAGAAAAAAAAAAAGAAATCAAGAAAAAGGAATAAGGAACTGGTCTATTCAGATATTTTACTGGTAAATTCTTTACTTCAATTATATTTAATAAGTATGATTTCTGGACAATATTTATACAAACCATCTTCACTAAGCATACAGTCAGCAAATTTTATCTCCACAAAGGTTCGATCAGTTGCAATAACTTTTCCTAAAACATGACATGTTTTGGGGGATAGGCTGTTGGTTGATAAATTGAGCACTGTTTTGCCACGCTTGGGTGTAGATTCAAAACTGAAAGAAAGAATTTATACAAAGAATTGCAACTAAAATGAGCTTGAGGGTAATTCATTATGGAATTTTCAGTTTTTATATTAAGTTTGACAACAGTTTTGTCTAGTCTTCATAATTCATTGCTTCCAAAAAAAGTGTCAAAATTGCTGGGGGTTTCAATTTTTGAATATCATTACCTTTTTAAATAACTGAGGACACATTCCTGTGGCTCTACATGGTTGTCTTTGCACAGTCTTATGTAAGTGTACCGAAACTCCTCCATCACAGTGACTTTTTAATGTACATGTAAGACCATTTAATACCTATCTGAAAAAGAAAGCAGTGTATAATTCAAATTGGGAATCATTTTGTTTCTTGGAAATTAGGATTTTCAGGAAGAAATACACCACTCCTATTATGTGAGAAACATGAAATGGTCCAATATTTCTATCACATCATGGCTAAGACTGCGAAATATAATCTTTGCTACCCAAGGGTTTCTGATACGCTACTCTCCTCATAAGCCCTTGGCATACGGTGTTGAAAAATCAGCGATAGTTTTTGTGAATGACGATATCTGCTTCTGGGACATATTTTGACTTTTTACTCTCAGGAATGAAAAACGCAAGAATTAAACAATGATCAAATGCCATTCTATGAATAGATATGGTGTCATCAAAATTCTTAAGATATGTGCAAAATAAGAATGAATTTAGAATCTATATTGAAGATGTAGATTTGCACATTAAATAACAATTGAAGAATCAATACCTTCTTGTTAATTACTCTTTTAAAACTTTCATGATTTTGAATAATATATATTTCTGTTGATGATACACTTTGTGCATACATGTACTTTTTCACACGTGAGATCATGTGATTAAAACAATTCCGTCTTTTCATGGCACTGTGTCTGTATTCCAAGGGATTAAGAGGAGAGTGGTGTATGAAAAACCCTTGGCTAGCAAAATGGTGAAATACTGCCAGGGCATCTATCTTCACTAACGGTCTAAAATTAGTACAATATGTCATGTCAATTTTACTTCTCCCCAACAGTCGGACAATATGGGCTCAAAAAATCTTATTTTTCTCCACATTCTCTCTCTCTTTACAATTTACCTGCGATGTTGATATTTATTTCGTGGTTTAGAATTATCTATCGCTGTTTTTATTTTTTACTTAAGCAATATGTAGTATAAATTTTATCACTAAATATATATTGTATACGATCGTATAAATAACACAAAAATGTGTTGAGACATGTCCCAGTTTCAAATCTTGTGTCTGATTGTAGCAAGATAAGCTAAATTCAATGTTTTTCCTTTGAATTAAATAGGAAAACTGGTCAATATTCCTCTTGTATCAACCCATTATTTTCACAAAATTCTGTACTACCTTAACTTACTTTTTAAAATCATAAACACGACAACAGAATGATCAATTCCTCCATTTTTAAACATTCGAGTTGCCGCGAGTCTTTTTGTTGTTTTCATTTCAGAAGAGTTTCTTCTGTAGTCCAAGCCCGATCCATTATATGGCAAATAAAAACTTACTTTGTGCCATCTATCTAAAAATAAAGGCTTTTTTCATTTAGAATAAAATTAAATATTAGTAGTTTGTTAAAAAGAAGCAGATATTATCGAAAAATACTAACCTTCTTTTAAAGGATCGGGATCGTAATGCATATTGAATACCTTTCCCAGGGGTTCCCCAAAGGTAAAAATTACTCGGGGTAGATCGTGGCCCGAGTATCATTATGGCGAGTGGGACCGCCTTAGTGGCCAGAAGGCTCCGTGAGGCACAGGAATCGCAATCTCTTGGTATGATATTTGTTGTGTGTAAAATTTAAACACTTATGAAAACGAGATATTTTTTGACTACCTTCTTATGATGATGTATATTTTCAAACAATTGACATTTTCATTCATTTAGTTTTTTTTATGTGTCAAAGTTGTAAGGAAGATTTATTTGATGTGTGTGTTTTTAATTTCCGAGTATTAAGTCACAGAGGTTTCATTTAAAAAAAATGCAGATTTCTTTCCCCTTTTTGTGCCCCATAATTTGAATCTAGTCTTCACATTCAATCAATGTGGATTGAACTCGATGCACAAGTCATGTAAAACACTTACATAATTTAAATATTATATCTGACTTATACGAAATCTGTAAAATCAACACAGATTTTTTTTTTAAAGTAAATCAACGTGGTGTTAATGATATATGGTGTCAGTACGAATTTTGTTGACTTTTACGGTTTCACTAAATATTTAGCTGTATGATTGACCAATGTGACACTTTATAGAAAACTCATAAAAATAACATATGTTACCGGTAAAAATTCTACTATGCAAGTTACCACCTCACCCCCCCCCCCCCTTCCAAGAAAAAAAATTCTTCCAGTTTTTTTGTCCAATGGAATCCTGAGGGTGCGTATCTTACAGACACTTCAAATAAGACTTACAATGTATATTTAGCAGACATAAACAATCAGGAGGATAAAATGTTTCCACGGACACCCCCCCCCCAAAAAAAAGTTTAAAACTCCCATTTCTCGAGTTTGCAAGCTTTTTCCTGATGGAAAAAAGTGTTTGTCTAGCGCATGACAATGGTCACATTTTTATTTAAAATACTAATAAAAAGAACATTTTTCATGAAGTTCCTGGACGACAAAATAAAAGTTATGATTTATCATGTGCAATGATTTGGAGACAAAATGTGTTTCAATGAATTTTTTCAATTGTCAATCTACCGTTTCCGAAAACACAAGATAAAATTTGCCATTGACCATACATGGCACATTTTTTTAAGGTACAAAGATGGGTTGCCTCCCTTTCCTCGTTAGAGCTGCATGTTGTTTTTGACATATGCTATGGTTTTCTTAAATCGTGTGTAATTTTTTTTTTCATAGTTATATGCATTGAAATTTGGCAAGGGCTCCTACCAGAGGCGGATCTGAAGGGGCAGGACACCATTTAAAAACAAACAATTAAAAATGTATCAATGTTTAAAGTCTATAATAAAGGCTCATGGACAAGTTTTATGAGTTTCTCTTTGCATTTTACCTTTTAGATAAGAAAGAACAAGTCCCACCCCACCTACTCTAGAGATTTTGAATCCACCCCTGCCAACAACATGATGCCACTGGCATTGTTTATGAACGAGTTATTCTATGCATGTTTTTTTCCCTGTAGATTTATCTGGATGTGACTTGACTAAAATCCCAGATGCTGTGTACATGATGCTAAAGTCGGTATCCGTAAACAAATGCACTATGGCCAGCAACATGCTCACAAAGATTCCTCCAAAGTTCCCAACAAATTTCACAAGTTTAACAGGTTTTGTATTATACATCTTCAATTCTACACATTCTGTAAATTTACTCAATTTTTTCATAGGCGTCGGAAACGGGGGGGGGGGGCTTAGCCTCTCACTTTTTTTTTTAAAGATAGACATATAATATGAACATTGGAAATTGGGGCTTACCTTTTTTTCGTTGGTTTACACACCCCCCCCCCCACCCCCCACTTTTAATTTGCTTCCGACGCCTATGATTTTTTAAATGATAACTTGAGTTACCCTTAAAAAATTGTTTAAAAATCACGGGGAACTGAAAAGAAAAGTAGGAAGATGGTTATATATTGTATTTGTTGCAATGTCTTCTTATTGATTTGTTTTTATCCTGAAAATTTTAGAGCTGGATCTAAGTAAAAACAGATTGAGCCAATTCCCGCCAGATATGCACATTATGCAAAACATCCGGGTCTTGAACCTTTCCAGCAATGACCTGGCAGACGTTCCTCATTTCGTGTACTCACTGTCCAATCTTCAAGAGCTATTTCTACATGACAACTGCATAATGTGTGCGTATAGTGCAATTTTATGTGTAGATGTCCTTGCTTTATTTTTTTCCACAACCGACACCTTCTATAATTCGTCTTTTCTTTTTCTTTTTCTTTTTTTAGCTATTGATGTGAGTCGGTTAGAAGACATTGAGGGTTTGAGAAATGTTAACTTACAAAATAATCCTATTTCTGACGACCTGAAATCACAGCTACAGTCCTGTGCTTTTACAGTGATGCTTGGCAACCATATTACGTCCTAGCGACACCTAGCTACATACGCCTTTAATGTACGATTGAGAAATGACATTTTGGTGAATGTTGTGAAAATGAGGATTGGATCTTGAACTTTTGTTAAAAAAATATACACAAAATATGTCCCTTTTTCATTTAAATGTGCATTTATACATGTATATATTCTTCTGTGTGTCATATTTATAATTTAATTCCGAAACTGTTTATCATTTGAGAAGTATTAACTAATTGTATACTGCATATTTCATGTTTTATATGGATTGTTTATCTTAATTATTGTTGGCTTATTATTGTGCAATAATCTTTAACAAAATTTAGAATAAAGTTTAATTTTCTAATTTACATGTACCCTAGCATGATATGCTTCGTATATCTTTTCTTTCCAACTCCTTGAAGTTAACAAGCACACACCCATTCACCCTCCGAACCACCCCCACAACACATACACATCCTCCCTGATCCCTCCAAAATTCCCCCCCCCCCCCCCTTAAATGACACACACCTCCCTAAAGATAGACATAATATAATATATATATAATGAAATAAAGGAATAACTGTCTTATTTTTCGATTTCATGATGTGATCAATCGATTGGCTTGCGTGATAATTGCATAAACACCATAAAATTATCACGCAAGCCAATCGATTGATCATCGTCATGAAATTGAAAAATAAGACAGTTATTCCTTATATTTACATGCTTTTGATTCCGTCAGTCCACATATTTCAAGTCCTGCTTCCGTCTAGCTATTTGTCCCGCCCTGCACGTGATTTTTTTTAACCGCGCTTTTCGATGAACTAATACATTGATGGGGAAATAAAGTACATTTACAATTTGTAATTTTATCTTGGACAAAGACATTGGAAATGTAAATATTAATATTTTATAGAACTTTTTTCAGTAATTGAAAGAAAAAAACTACATTATTGCGACGAATTCTCGCATGCTAATCAATACGTAGCACCGACACATGATGAGATGATATATTGGATGTAACAGAAAGATAATGAACATAAATCAAACTTAAAAATCCATTGAAGCAATACAAATTGGAGCCGTCAAAAACATCAGAGGTGGGATCAGGTACCATGAAGGAGTAAGCATCCCCTATTAACAGGTCACGTCTGTCATGATCTGGCAAAGGAAAAAAAGTAGACATTATTTGTGAAAATAATGGCCTTACAATTTTAATGAAAAGTGTCGCTCAACATAAGACTTAGTGATATAGATTGTACTTGCTGACAAGGTCATTGCATC